CCCATAACGTGCTGCCCGGGGCGACTTCCCCCTTAGCACGCCACTGCTCCCGCTTCACAAAAGGTGTAAGAAATTGGATAGAAAATCCGAACTAAGAAAAACTGCAACTTGCGAAAGGCTATCGGTACGTCAATACAGAATATAGCAATAGCTATCAGGAAATACATACTGAAAGTCTGACCAAACTCAGTGACCGTGCACCCTCAAATATCACGCTTTCGAATAAAAGAGCGCATCGAAAACGATCGCATACTAGCGCTGCTTTTTCTAACAGCCGTACTTTAGTCTCGTTCCAAAACCGTGTTTTATCTTGCAAACGATTCAATTTTTCTGAAAAGTGAATAAAAACCTGTTGTATCATTATTACTTATCGATTTTAATCGGTAAGTATGTTGATAGGTATTTGTCTGTCTGTATGTATGTCTGTTTGTCTGTTAGATGCACGCGATATCTCACGAAAGTGAGATTGAATCTGCTCCAGATTTTGCATGTGCATTCATCTTATCTCGGACCAGAAGCCTATTGATTTCGGGCGAATTATGTCGTATAATTAGCGAGTTATCAATCAATTATTGATATAGTGATTTAGATTTTTGTAAAGCGAGAGAATTTTGAGACCCGCCGAGTGTGTGTGTGCGATGCGCAGTGCGCAAGTTACAAGAGCGAATGAATCGAAACTGCAGTTTCTGTTTTGGGAGATCCCCTAACTATCGATCGATGAGTCTTCGGTTTCCAACCGATATTCTCGTTCTACCTTCACTATTTTTCGCAGACGAGGCATAGTTGAAAATTTTGTAACTTTATCTGATCGCCCCAAGGCGCGTAAAATTACGAAACCTGATATGCCTTTGGTACCCGGCAAACTTTACCGCTGAGTTCAAATGATTGATACTGTAATAAAAACACGTGGAACTTAAATAAAGTTGGGAGTGATTTGGACTTTAGAGCATAGAAATAGAATATTATATACTGTATATGGGAAATTTTATCGGTATCCTTGCAATTTTTTTAAGTGTCGTGGGAAATGGATCGTTTTATTTCTCATTCACTTTTACCAATGAACCTTTCCCCGAGCAGCGACTTCCTTGTTTACTTCGTGACATTGGCCAATCAGCAAGATGCAAAAAGTGACGTAACAATGCCCCCTTTTCGCATCCGCTCAGACAATTTTCTCACTCAGACAGATTTTCAAGCGTGGTTGTAAACATTACCTCGTTTTCGCGTTTTTGAACTCTATTCGTTATTTTTCAGTTGTGTTTCGGAAACTGAAATAAAAATCAGATAATTCAATGATCACTCTGTCTTCCTAGGAGTTTTAATTTAATTGCAGTAATAAAAGTTAGTGTAGAAATAGCTGTGATAGACTAGCCTGAAATTCTTTACCGGTACTTTTAAAAAACAGATTGTTGTATGCGATGAATCATAATGATGGTTTGAGACACATACCCCATTTTAGAGGCGCCAACTCGCAAAAGCACTTTTAAAATAGCCCTGAAAATTTTGCAATGGTAAAGTATAGGAAGAATTTTCCGGGGGTCAAAGGTCGGGGGAAGGTCCATTACAGGCTATCTCTTGAAATATCCGCTTCATTCCTTTTTATATTATCTAGCTAGTTTATGGGTGAAATATTTTAAAGTGAATGAACACGTAGCACTCCTATTGTCAACGATTTTTTGGAAAGTTTGTTAGTTGTGACTTTTAATTTAGTTCTAGTTGCTCTGTTGATTCGGTTTGTATTAAATATTTTATTGCGTAGGCTATTCTGGATTACCCAGAACACCAAAAGGTGTTCTAAATCCAGTGCACAAACGAGTTTCAATGAAAATTATTGGAGGCATTGCCTGCGTTTCAAACCGCGCACAAATTCTATCTCAGGGAGGAATTTCGTTGTTTTTTGGGGAAGGAAATACGGAAATATTACCTTTCGCTTTATTGTGATTTTACCAAGTACTTTTAGTATTATTGCAATACATGGTAATCCAGACTATTTAAATCACAAGCCAGAGTGCGAATTGTGCGTAATACTAGTCGTAGATCTTTTAAAAATTAAACGAATAACAAAAATGCACAGTTAGGTAAGAATGAAGTGATCAAAGTAGGCAGAGGGAAGTATATATCGAGAAAGGTCGGGAACCACGGGGTTACACAAAGACTCGTCAACATACCATTTTTAGATATTACAACTTACAAGTCAAGTCAGGTTTATATTTTTAAAATCTCACTCGAGCCCAAATTATAAGAAAATGCTAATTACATTGGGGAAGGGAAGTCGCGAGGAACCAGAGCTAGTTACTAACACGCGTCCGTGATCCTAAAAAAATGTTTCCCCCATGTTTAGACATAACATGATGCAAAGGGTTAAAACTGGCATGGAGACCCAGAGGAAAATGCCTACGCCTCGCAACACCAATTATTAACATTTATTAATGACGTCATAAAACACCCTGAATTATTAATATTTTTTCCATAATGCATATTATGACGTAATAACATTTCTTCAAACCCTTTTGTTGTGTCACTATTTTCATAATACTGTAATTGAAATTCATAATATTATAACATCATAGCATTGCGTCTCGAAATTCCAATGTTTGTTTCACGAGCATAGATTTTTTTGTTTTTTTTTTCGTAACAATCACAAATCCGGTGTTTTTTTTCTCTTGTATTTTCAGATCTTTGGAAGTTGCGAGAGATTTTTCGCAGACTGAAAAACTTCTTTGCGGATTTTGCTCGACGTCCAGAATTCCACATTTCAAATTTGCGAGTAGTCTGGTCGTTTGGGCCATAGGACATAGGTTCTCAAAGTGCTCCGTACGGAGCCCCAGGGCTCCGCGAGAGAAACCCAGGGGCTCCGCGAGCTATTCGATTACTCTTCAAAATACTGACTCAAAATTTTGTAACTGTTCAAAGAAGCAATGACAGCTTTGATAAAATCTGACAACAATATAGCCTCGAAATATGGTAAAGAGGCGGAATCAACTAATGACATTATTTATAAGCAGTGTCGCAGCCAGGATTCTTAAGAGGGAGGGGGTTTAAAATTGGAATCGGAAATTTCCGCGCGACATTCTTCGCGATTAAAAAAAAGGGATAACGAGATTTCTGTTACGTAAAATATTCAATCCATGACCAATGGAGCATTTAACGTGACTCGTCGTTATAATGTCGTTACTCACGATTGATTCGAGATTACTATTATGATTACTAAAATGAAAGAATACTATTCTAAAATAACATAAAATATGTCATAAACTGCCAACTATAAATAAATTGGGGTCGTATTTTTGCGATCTTGGGATTTGTCAACCTTGATTTGTTCTTTCGCACTTGAGATTATTTTTAAGCAAGATATCGCCGTTTAAAAAATCACAATGTCTGGGCAAAATACGAACAATTGAAAATTATTTTATTGCATTCAGCTCCGTCGGTAGTTTCAGAATGAAAAAAGGTACATCGCGGATCGCGCGCACAATTGATTGCGTGCGGCTGCGTCGGTAGTTTCAGAATAGGAAAAAACAGGTACATCGCGCGCACAATTGACTGTGTTTCGATTTCGCAGTTACTACGATAAAAAGCTAACATAACACCAACTTGTGTGATTTACAATGTGTATAAAAGCGTTTTCAATCTGAAGTGAGTCTGCTGAAATCTGCTGTGTCTGCTGTGATCTTCCATTTTAAGTTTTAATATTTTAGAATGCGGTTTTTCAATCAAGAAATTTGAGTTGTGGATTTACCACTTTATTGATTATTATTTTTAGCATTTTGTCGCCGATGACTATAATATGGTAACATGTTTTTAACATTGAACTCATAATTCCCCATAAGAACAAAAAAGCAATTTTACGTCGTCATTGTGTAACAATACATGTATATGCCGAGGGAAATATTTGATTTAGGGAGAATAAACACCGGCGTAAAGATGTTTACATGCTGACGAAAAAAATCGGCGATTGTAACGAAATGAAATCGCGAACGTTATTAACGGCCTTTTATGTCTTCCAAAAATGTCAAAAGAGAAAAGATTCGACCCCTAATTTATTAATATGTTCGTCAAGTGTCAAATTTACAGCTTTAGTATGAAATTTAGATTTATTTATGAATTGTGTTAACCCTATTAAAAAAGGTTCAGCATTTAAAATAATTATAAAGTACATTTAACTTGCCCAGGAATATTAATCTGAAAGTAACAATTTTAACATTTATTTTGGGGCTCCGCGAATAATATTCAACCTTTTAAGGGCTCCGCAACATCAAAAGTTTGAGAACCCCTGCCATAGGATATGATAGGATTTACATATTTATCCCGGGGCAGAGGAAAGTCGATAAGACGGCTTATCCATATGGCGAACCACGGCCTCTCGTCCGGTTAGCATTCCAAGTCGGGTATGGGATTAGTTATATTGTTTGTTTTCGGAAGCATGAACTTGGCGGTGGAGGAAGCCGTAACCGACCAGCGGTTACGTGAACTACCCAACGACGGCAAGGAGTCCAGCAATCCTTTCGCACATAACCATCCCTGCATGGGATACGAACCTGCGAACCCACGCAGAGTAATTAGAGGTGCGGTGGCGAGCGTATTCCTAACGCTTAGCCCGTTGAGCCACACCGCCGCGGCGCTAGCGCTCAAATTGTCATGTGATTTAGGAACAGAGCTACTGTGTCTACTTCCGCTTTACGGCGATGGTTTCCGACCTTTTTGATATACTACAATACAGTATATAAAAAATACAGTCTGATAGCAGAAAGAAATGCTCTAATTTTTCATATAAGCCTATACTGTCCCAAATGTGAATAATGTAATAATCTAAATTAGACACCTTCTTTTAGCAAGGAGATACAAAGAAAAATTCAGAAAACAATCTTGTTAAACAAAAGTTCTGCTGGCAAGGTATTCCTGTTGTCTGTTTAGAAAATTAAGCTCAAATCTTTCATTTTCCAATTTTATTGGTAACAGCTGTACCGGTACAGAATACAGGAATAACAGTTTGTAGAGTTTAAACTTGTTTTTTGTGGTTCTGGTGAATGAAAAATGGATCTACAATCAAAAAAGCTTGTCCGAGCGACTCAGTCAGATTGCCTTACGGTATGTCATCATTTGAAGGGTTCAAACAAAATGGGTTTCTTTGTGATTTTGACGTTGAGGTTGGTGGAAAATCTTTTCGAGTGCATCGTACTGTCTTGGCAGCCTCTTCAGAATTCTTTGAAGCCATGTTTTCAAGCAACTTGAAGGAAGTTCATGATAGTCACGTTAATATGAAGGATGTCGATCAGGACGGGATTGCACAATGTATAGAGTTCATGTATAAAGGAAAGGCAGATTTGAGAATGGAAAACATTCAACATATCCTGCAAGCATCCCATTTCTTACAAATGGCAAACTTGACAGAGCATTGTTTCCAGTACTTGCAAACAAATGTTTCTTCTGGGAATTGTCTATTTGTGATCAACTTGGCTCAAATGTACGATCGTCTCGATATAAAACAACAAGCCGAAAAGGTCGTGATAACTCATTTCAAATCTGTTATTTCTTCTGAGATGTTTCCATTCGTCACCAAATCAGATCTCTTGCGTTACATGAGAAACCAGACTTACCAAATGTCATGGAAAGCTGTGGTAACATGGGCAAGAAGAAAAGACGATGTAGATGTTTTTGAGCTTGTTCATATTGACAAATTTCCATTCAGATTTATTCTGGAAACTGTCCTTGAAGAACCCATTGTAAAAAAGAACAAAACAACCAAAGATTCAGTGATTACCGCGTTATTCTCTGATGTGAAAAAACTGGAGACAGGTCTTGAAATTGACAACTGCTTTACTTTGAAGAACCTGGCTGAAACGCATCAAGTTAATGATCCGAATGCAGTAAAAAATGTGATAACTTGTTTTTTGGGGGCAAATTTCGAACGAGTTATTGAAAAAAGAGAATTTCTTGATATCGGCATGGATGACATATTGGCACTTTTCAAATCTTCAAACACAAAATATTCTTCTGAGGATGTCAAATGGGAGGCGATGATGAAATGGGTGAATCACAGTGTCGGAAATAGGAGAAAAATATTTCCAGACTTGTTCAGTTTTCTCAAACTTGAGCATTTATCTCTCGAGTTTCTAAAGGAGACAGTCCGAGTTGAACCCTTGGTTAAGAAAGCAGAGAAATGCAATGATATGCTGATGGAAGAAATATTTTCCCGAGCTTCAAAAGCTGTTCCACAAAGTAAAACAAACAAAGATAATTGATAAATAATAATTGCACTGGCTCTAGTGAAGTAAACTGTAACTTAAATGACGGCTAACATAAATGTGATGCAGAATGAATGCAGTAACTGCTCAAACAAGTTTGCAATCGGAGATTTCTGACTCATCGATCTAGCGGCATATCCTTTGCTCTTGACTCAACAGCGAAACCGCGTGTCCCATCACTAATTAATTAATAATTCTCTAATTATACGACATAATTCATCCATCTTAAATCAATAGGCTCCTGGTCTGAGATATGATGAATGCTTACGTGAGATATCGCGAGTGTCTAACAGACAAACAAATACATATCAACATACCGATCGAGATCGATAAGTAATTACACCCGTATTGTCTTGAAACGTCGACGTAGAAAATGCGAAAAGGTGGACGACTCACCTGTCCTCTCCTGAGTCAAGTTGTCTGACTCTCGTATATCCTATACATTTAGCGTATTGTGTTAATGCAAGACGAACTTTTAATTTTAGAAAAAAATATCATTTGTTTTGTATTTTCACACACTTTTTTGTTCGTCATTAACTAAGCACTTACAGCGTTCATTGTTACACCACATTTGTTTGGTTTATTTAAGCAGTTATGGCAGTTGCTTCACGGGACACAATATATTCCCTCTTTTACAGTTTCTTCAATGCCCGTGCCTAACTCCACAACTCGTCGAAGGCAGATTGAAAAAAGGCAAGAGCAGAAAACACTGAAAGAAGCTTTCAGAGGTAATCCAAAGCCTGTGTGGTTTCCTCCAGTAATCAACTCCTCCATATCAGTTCTTGGCACAGTTTTCACTCACCTATCACAATTCTCCAAATTTGATTTAGGATTGAAAATCTTCTCTTACTTACTTTTTGTTTTCTAGTTTTATTCTTTTCACCAGATTAGATTAGATTTCAGTTGTTTTATACTTCATTATTTCTGCCCAAATTTTCAACCTGATAATATGAATTAATTATGAAGGAAATCGAGATCATTATCAATATTTTTCAATCAACTCAATATTATTTTCACTCGCATCAATTTCCTTATAATATGTCAATGTTGAAGCATTTGGAGTTTTACATCCCAATCAATGGTGACTATGATTCTTACACTTGTATTACCGATACATTAATCTTCATCAGAATGAGCGCTAAATAGTTTATATGTCTGTATGGGTATTTTTGTTCACAGCTCAACGAATAGCCGAGTCCACTAATCACCGTGAAATGAATGTTCCTCATCACATATGATTGAATAAGTTTTCTTTTTCATCATAATAATTTCATAAATGATGTCGTAGATAGGCCTACTATACCATACTTAGGGCTGGGCAATATAGAATACCGAATCCGGAGGATTCAAATCCCAAAGTATTCGAATCCAACGGGATCCGATAACAGGATTCGGTTTCCGCCTCTCTGGCGCCAAGCGTCAATTTTTGTATTTCGGGTTTCTAATTTATCAATTATAGACGAGCGTTTTTCTCGCGTGGAAATCTCTCTCGTTTAATTAAACTTGCGTCTGCTCGCAAAGAACCCGTAAATCGGTAAACATCAAACACTGTAATTTCAATCGGCATATTCAGGACAAGAAGTCGGTAATATAACCTCACGGCGAGGACTCGTTATTGCACCATTTTTGCGTTTTCCTTCTTTGCTACCCAGCTAGCGTTATTTGTGCCGACTTATTGGTGATATTCCGATAATCTGAATGCAACAATCTTTAATTGTTTACAGACGTGCCTTGCCTCATTTTAAATTAAATGATTTTTCGCGACCTACGAGTTTTCCCAAAAAAATGATGCACGTAAACCAAAAGCCAGGCGTTAAATGTTATAACATTACTCGCCATTAATTTAGATCAAATATTATTTACGAATAATTTTATCATACCATTTTCCGAAATACAAAGTTATATCGCAAAACGCGAACAACTCTCACATTTAAATTTCACTCTCAAAAGATTACATATTTTTCGGTCCGTTTCTATCGTTCAAGATAGACGCACGTTTGATCGAGTGTCTGTAGTATTTTAGTCGCCGATAAATTTTGAAAAAAGTTGCCGCATCTGGCGAAGATAGTGACGTATTGAATTTGAGTAGGGCTAAGTCTGGGTAGATAATGATTAATGATAAGATTTCTATCGTTCAAGATAGACACACGTTTGATTGGAAGTCTGTAGTATTTTAGTCGCCGATGAATTTTGAAAAAAGTTGCCGCATCTGGCGAAGATAGTGACGTATTGAATTTGAGTAAGGCCAAGTCTGGATAGATAATGATATGTAACGATAATCATAGAAAAATGAGTTCGTCTTCAGATGTTATTACATAATAACTAAGAAATCGCGTTTACGGGAACTTGGTTTTACGTGGGTTGCTCTCACAGAATAAAAGGTTGATTTTAATTGATAGTGGTTAAATTTAATATTTTACAACGGCGCATAGGTTGCAGTGGCCACACGCTGGTTCTCAGCGGGTTCGTTTTAGTATACTCGGCAGACTTACATTAATAATGATTTAACGCCGTTTCATGTCTATTTTGTATTTAACCGCTTACTATTAAAGTGTCTAAAGCGTGTCTTAATTTAGCATATCAGTATTTATTAGTATTTAGGGATTACATACACCTTTGGAACAATTAAAGGCAAAAAATATTGTAATATTCCTAAATTTTATTGTCCTGGGAACTGCCTGTTTAGTATCAAATGAAATCCAATGTTCAGGACATTTCCAAATAGATAATACATTTATAGTAAGTAATACATATGCAATTTTTCACCATCTAAATCCAGCAATGTAGAAATTCCCACTATTTGAATAAGTATAAAAATAGAATAGGATTCGGTATTCTGGATTCGATTTAACTATTCTAGAATAGTAAATTATTCTACATTGCCCATCCCTAACCATACTTAAAATCATGTTGTAGGTTCTATACCAGGGGTGGGCAAGGTATTTGGACCAGGGGCCAAGAATTGTGCCCATCTAGACTGGTGGGCCATGTAAGTGTGAGACAATATCATAAATGGAATTCGAGTAAAACAGACAAATGAGTGCCAAATAGCATCTTGTAATTTTTGTGTCTGTGATGATGTTAATATTTATATTCCCTCTTTTACAGTTTCTTCAATGCCCGTGCCTAACTCCACAACTCGTCAAAGGCAGATTGAAAAAAGGCAAGAGCAGAAAACACTGAAAGAAGCTTTCAGAGGTAATCCAAAGCCTGTGTGGTTTCCTCCAGTAATCGACTCCTCCATATCAGTTCTTGGCACAGTTTTCACTCACCTATCACAATTCTCCAAATTTGATTTAGGATTGAAAATCTTCTCTTACTTACTTTTTGTTTTCTAGTTTTATTCTTTTCACCAGATTAGATTAGATTTCAGTTGTTTTAAACTTCATTATTTCTGCCCAAATTTTCAACCTGATAATATGAATTAATTATGAAGGAAATCGAGATCATTATCAATATTTTTCAATCAACTCAATATTATTTTCACTCGCATCAATTTCCTTATAATATGTCAATGTTGAAGCATTTGGAGTTTTACATCCCAATCAATGGTGACTATGATTCTTACACTTGTATTACCGATACATTAATCTTCATCAGAATGAGCGCTAAATAGTTTATATGTCTGTATGGGTATTTTTGTTCGCAGCTCAACGAATAGCCGAGTCCACTAATCACCGTGAAATGAATGTTCCTCATCACATATGATTAATGATTGAATAAGTTTTCTTTTTCATCATAATAATTTCATAAATGATGTCGTAGATAGGTCTACTATACCACACTTAAAATCATGTTGTAGGTTCTATACCAGGGGTGGGCAAGGTTAGGGATGGGCAATGTAGAATAATTTACTATTCTAGAATAGTTAAATCGAATCCAGAATACCGAATCCCATTCTATTTTCATGCTTATTCAAATAGTGGGAATTTCCACATTGCTGGATTTAGATGGTAAAAAATTGCAATGTATTACTTACTATAAATGTATTATTTATTTGGAAATGTCCTGAACATTGGATTTCATTTGATACTAAATAGGCAGTTCCCAGGACAATAAAATTTAGGAATATTACAATATTTTTTGCTCTCAATTGTTCCAAATGTATGTAATCCCTAAATACTAATAAATACTGATATGCTAAACTAAGACACGCTTTACGCACTTTAATAGTAAGCGGTTAAATACAAAATAGACATGAAACGACGTTAAATCATTATTAATGTAAGTCTGTCGAGTGTACTATAACATACCCGCTGAGAATTAATTAGATGCAGAACCAGCGTGTGGCCACTGCAACCTATGCGCCAATTAAAATCAACTTTTTATTCTGTGCGAGCAAGACACGTAAAACCAAGTTCCCGTAAACGCGATTTCGTACTTAGTTATTAGGTAATAACATCTAAAGACGAACTCATTTTCTATGATTATCGTTACATATCATTATCTACCCAGACTTGGCCCTACTAAAATTCAATACGTCACTATCTTCGCCAGATGCGGCAACTTTTTTCAAAATTCATCGCCGTCTGAAATACTACAGACTTTCGATCAAACGTGCGTCTATCTTGAACGATAGAAATGTTATCATTAATCATTATCTACCCAGACTTAGCCCTACTCAAATTCAATACGTCACTATCTTCACCAGATGCGGCAACTTTTTTCAAAATTTATCGGCGACTAAAATACTACAGACACTCGATCAAACGTGCGTCTATCTTGAACGATGGAAACTGACCGAAAAATATGTAATCTTTTGAGAGTGAAATTTAAATGTGACAGATGTTCGCGTTTTGCGATATAACTTTGTATTTCGGAAAATGGTATAATAAAATTATTAGTAAATAATATTTGATCGCAAGTAATGTTATAACATTTGACGCCTGGCTTTTGGTTTACGTGCATCATTTTTTTGGAAAACTCGTAGGTCGCGAAAAATCATTTAATTTGAAATGAAGCAAGGCACGTCTGTAAACAATTAAAGATTGTTGCATCAGATTATCACCAGTGAGTCGGCACAAATAACGCTAGTTAGATAGCAAAGAAGGAAACCGCAAAAATTGTGCAATACCGAGTCTTCGCCGTGAGGTTATATTGCCGACTTCTTGTCCTGAATATGCCGATTGAAATTACAGTGTCTGATGTTTACCGATTCACAGGTTCTTTGCGAGCAGACGCAAGTTTAATTTAAACGAGAGAGATTTCCACGCGAGAAAAACGCTCGTCTATAATTGATAAATTAAAAACCCGAAATACAAAAATTGACGCATGGCGCCGGAAACAGAATCCTGTTATCAGATCCCGTTGGATTCGTATACTTTGGGATTCGAATCCTCCGGATTCGGTATTCTATATTGCCCATCCCTAGGCAAGGTTTTTGGACCAGGGGCCAAGAATTGTGCCCATCTAGACTGGCGGGCCATGTAAGTGTGACGTAAAAGTGAATTTCAGTAACAATATTTACAGTGTTATGAAAGCAAAAGTGGAAAACAATAAGCCTCGTACCAAAACTAAATTTATTTACAATTTCAACAAATTCCCTGAGGTATTTTTTAGGGAAAACATCAAAATTTGGTTTTAGTTTGGTTGTTGCCCATGTCAAAACAAATTTTAAACACAATTTCAACAAATTCTTGAGTTTGTTTTTACTTGAGACATCAAAATTTGGTTTTAGTTTGGTTGTGGCAGCATCAGGCGGGCCAGATTGAGTTACTCAACACGTCGGATTTGGCCCGCAGGCCGTAGTTTGCTCATATCAGTTCTATACTCAATTTCTGTGAGTATAGTTTCGTTTATTTTTACTAGGATCACTGTGGCAAATTTTAAGGATCAATGTGCCGCCATCTAGCGGCCGAATGACAAGAATGACACAACAAGAAAAAATTGTTATCACCTACTCATTTCCTGCTGGGAATCTTGAGGTGAGTTTATATTTTTGAATTCTCAGTAGGTCAAAAGGCAACCTGTTAATTATAAAAAATGTAAAGCGTGAGAACTCTGTTGTTTTCAAATTTCACCTGCCCCACTTGGTTTGGTGATGTAAGTGGTGAAAATTTCAAAATCATGAAAATTGTTCCCAACGTTCAAGTTTATGTTTTAAACTGGTTGAGAGACCATTTTTCACCTTATGATAAAGCTTTTATTAATAGCATTCCCTTTTAAACAGTAAATATGAACCTGCTTATGTTGGGTAAACTATTTGAATATGATGTCCAATACCAATACTTTTCGGGCAACACTCTTCAATATTTTTACCACCATAGGACAGGTATTCGAGTTTTGAAGGCAATTAATCGTACTAGTACAGCATACTCAATTTATTAGTATATGTGGATGAAACGATAAGAGTGGGGGTGTGAACCTGATATCTTAAAACATAATGATTACCACATGCCTTGCGTGGTGCATCGTGCTAAGCGTTAGGAATACGCTTGCCACTGCACCTCTGATTACTTGCGTGGGGTTGCCGGTTCGAATCCCATGCAGGGGTTGTCATGCAGAAGAAGCTTGTTGGACTCCTCGATGTCGTAGGGTGGTTAACCTAACCGCTGGTTAGTTAGGGCTTCTTCCATCTAGTCCCATGCGTCCGAAAACAAATATCTGGCTAACTAATCTCATACCCGACATGAACTGGTAACCTGGGAAGAGGCCGTGGTTCGCCATATGAATAAGCCGTCTTATCAACTTTCCTCTCTCCTGGGATAAATTTGTAAATCCTATTCTATATACGGTACCTCAGTCCTCAGATAAGATTCAACCAAGTTTCTATTTCTTGATCTGCTAAATTAAGCTAGTATTTCAAGTGGGGATATCATGAAATAGCAAGTATATTAGTGAGCTTTTGTAAGATTATATTCATAGTATAACTTCTTAAGACAAAAAAGATATAACTGCAATGATAAAGAGCATAAATTTTGAGTTATTATCATAAATTTTCCAAATGCAAGAGTATGATATACCTCTCATTCTCTGCCTAAGATTTCAGTTATCTCTTCCAATAAATCAATGCGTCTTGCTGTTTCGGAATCATTTTAAATCTGCTGAATTACATGATATGACTGTAACAATAATATTTCTGTGCATTTCCTATTCAGGGATATTCATACATAGCTCATGAATTCACTGAATATTTGCCAAATAACGGGAAAGGAGAAAGGATTTTTCGAATGCTTGAAGAAGCGTTCAACAAAGGATTGATTTTCAAGATGGATAGAAGGAACGGAGTAAGAATAATATGGGATGAGAAGATACCTCATTTGACAGAGCCGCGTATGACAGCTGGAGGGTGAGATTTTTTACTATTGGCATCGTGATTGTCTGACACTTTGTTGAAGCTGTATTCCTTGGTTTAGGGAGTACATTCATCATTCGGTACTTCCATAGTATGTGTACCAGGTTAGGGTCAATCCATAATTTCAGGTACAAATATTACGGGACTCACTAGGCCAGTCCCCGAACATGTAATAGAACTAAAATAAGGAAAATTGGAATAAATTTATGGCCTAACCTTGATCTGGTACACATACTACTTTCCGGTGTCCACCATCTTGCTTCACATACTTTGGGAGTACCTCTTATTCAAGTGTTTTTAGTAATGAATTACCTGATTAACACAGAGGCATGAGTGGGTTCGATGGCAGAGTGGTAGGATTGTTACTACATAAATAAGTTTGGTTTCAACCCACAATCTATATTTGCTCTGCAAATCTTAAAATTACTGCCTATAAGTGGATGCTTATCCAGAGCCTTGTTTGGAGCAAAAATGCCTCATAACATATGTGCTATTCCGTAGCAATATACCCATTCTGTGAATCGATTATTATTGTCTGCTCTCACAAATACTTCCGCGTTGTCTGATACTAACTTCTGTCTAATATTAGCTTCATTGTTATTTTCAGGGATTATCTTCTAAGACTTACTGAAGCATTGAACAACATGGGAATTTATTAAATATGGGATTTTGTTTCAATGAAATAACTGCATTATAAGAGATTTTCGACATATTCAAACGATTTTTCTATTTATAACCTGAGTTACTTACTCAGCAGTGCGACCTCTCCTTTTAATAATGGCCGAGCAAACATAATAAGGTTTTTAGTTCCCTTTTTTCACAAACAAATGCACGAGTACATACACTAGGCTTTATTTAATTCACTAAAACTAATTAGGGCATCTTAAAGCAGTAGCAAAACATAACGCACATACAACAAAGTCCAGAACGCCAAAATAAGCAATATTAATTACACAAATTAAATTACCACAATACACCTGAATTAGTATTTTTAAACATGGAATACAGTATATACTAAATACTATAGGACAATTTCAAATCATAGAAACTGGATTCGGTGATACTAATTATTTGAAATAAACAATGCTTCGATTATTTTTTCCGTTAAGGCCAGAAGTTGACTTAAATGTTGTGTAACCGTTATACTGGCCTAAGATGTTGCATTCGCAATGAAAGAGTTTGCTAATTACAGACAATCATGTCACATTTTCAATGCAGTGTAATTAGTGTCAGCAAGTTGCTTATTCCATGATATTTTATGATTTTTTAGGCTGTAACTACCTTGTGTAATAATAACACAATTGTATAACACTTATTATGCAATTTTTGATTTTGCCAAATCCTTTAATTTTGAATGAAACATGATACGGTGTAATTTATTTTTTATAATCGAATAAGATGAAACTTATTCAAAATCATATTCCCATTCTGTAGTTATGCAGGTATTATCAGAAGTATTACGGTATTGATTTATTTGAAACTACCTTGTGTAATAGCAATTATATCACACCTATTATGCAATTTTTGATTTAGCCAAAGCCTTTCATTTTTAATGAAACGTGATTTGACTGTGCATACTATAATTGACCGAAATGAAATTTATTTATGAAAATATATACTACATTCTCATGCTGCAAACATGCGAGTATTAGTGTAGTAAGCTCTTGTTAGGTTAGGTACTCCTGTAGTATGTGAACCAAGATGGCGGACACAAGATCGTAGTATGTGTACCGGGTGAGGCCATAATATGATAATATCAATATAATAATTAGGCCATAATTTTAAGTACAAATACTACGTCCCTGAACTCTCAATATACCTGAAATTATGGCCTGAGTGTACCTTATAATGAATGTGATAAAGTTACACTCTGACATGCAGATTGCGGAGTGATATTTTTGAGTATTTCAACAGTTCCAAACAAGCCTTACGATTTCAATATCTGTGTTGCCATCCAAAAATAAACCAGGCAGCGTATTACTGGTCGACGATGCTATTATGAAAATTTTCTTGAGATTCCAATCACAAGATACTGAAAAACCGGACCTCTGGTAGAAAAAAAATTAGATTTTGGCTCCAATACGGCTCAGGATTTACAGAACAAGCTTTTTCTATTTGTAGAATGTAGAGAATGGTTATGTTTTTGACTCCAATATTTGTACAACTATACCGGGGACCCCGAAAAGTTTGCAAACATGATTCAGCTCTGACGAAACTAACCTACTTACGTAGTCCAAATAGTCAGCAGCAGAATGCAAAACGTATAATTGAAAACTGATTATGAAATCAGGAGAGCAAACAAAACCTCAGATAAGGTTTGCCAAGAGGAAGTGGTATGTTCACCTAAAATTAATTAATTAGGACTAAGAAAGTAAGAGGTTCAATACTACCGTAATTTAGAATGTTTGATAATAATATATATATTTTGGCCAGAGCTTAGGTGGCACTTTGGTATGTGACCCTACTTACCTGGCATGATCTCAATCGCATAAAGACATTACATTCTCATAGAACTCAGTTCCTAACCTTAACTAAAATCACTGGGACAACACACCTGATGAGAACCAAAATTTAAAATGACTAAGAATTTATAACAGCTCGGATGTCATATATTTTAATCGTTAAAATTTGATTTTCTCACGAGACTGGAGCAGCAGTCAGAGATAAAATTTTCAGAAAACTAGAGCCGGGCTTGATTGTTAATTTTCCTAGACTCCTACCTTATCAGGATTTAAGCCTACTTCAGTAATCTAATTTTGTTTGCCTTGCACAAAACAGAAACGACACCTCGATGGATATTGGCAAATCCAAATTAGTATAATAGATTATATATGAAGAATTAATTGCATATGCATAAAAGAGCTATTTATAATACAGTGATTCTACAGTCTTTTTAGTCTCTCAGCATGTGTTCAAGATGTTTCCACAAAGCGCACCAGTGGTGGCATGAAACCATTCTATCAGTGATCTCTGTCGGTGGCCATAACTAATCATCTTCTACGTCGTCCTCCCCTCCCTCGTTGATTACCAAATCGATAATTTACCCTGCGTTCATCAGAAGAATCGCGCGTGTGCCTTGGACGGACTGTAACAAAAAAAACTTATAAGTTATTATTCATCATACGTCCTAAAAAACGCAGCGCAAGATTGAAAATTGATGGAAAAGGTCACCAATGCCAGATGACAAGCAGTTCAAGTTGAACACCAAAATGAAAAATGCCATGCTGGGCTTATTTCACTCATAATTATGATCACAAATTTGGGGCACAAAAAGAAGACATTTTGAAAGTATATTTAGATTATGTATATTATAATAATTTTGAAAGAGTATACTGACGCGACGGTGTGGCTCATCGTGCTATGCGTTAGGAATACGCTCATCACCACACCTCGGATTACTCTGCGTGGGTTCGAATCCCATGCAGGGATAGTTATGTGTGAAAGGATTGCTGGACTCATCGCCGCCGTTGGGTGGTTCACGTAACCGCTGGTCGGTTACGGCTTCCTCCACCATCAAGACCATGCTTCCGAGAAGAAATAACTAACTAATCCCATACCCGACATGGAATAGTAACCGAACGAGAGGCCGTGGTCCGCCATTAGGTTAAGCCGTCTTATTGGCTTTTTTTTTTCTCCCCTGGGATAAATATGTAAATAAGTATAACATCTGTGAATTATGATGTAGGTAGCAGGTCCGTTGCGCCGTTTTTATTTTTATTTTTTTTAAATAGCTTCATTATATTTGACTTTATTTGCTAATATATTTTTGTTATGTAAATATAACTGTTATAGTTTTTAACAGATCAGTGGTTGCTTCAAACTATTCTATTCGTGCTCCCGTTTTTAGCTAGTGGCCCAAGTTGCATTGAAAATATATCACCTATACGTACGTTCTGGTTCAGGAATATCACGAGCAGATGCTTCGTCAGTAACTGCATTGTCCCGTGACGGGCTTGTATTTTCGTTGGATGATTCATCATCTGTTACAGAAAATGGAAGAAAATTGATGTCATTGCATTTCTCTGATTATTTAATTTAGGTACGAGTCTGAGTGCTTCTTTTAAAAATTAAAGTAGTAAATTCTCGAGTTTAGAAAACCAAATATCTTATTTCTCAGCGAACAAGTCTAACCGGCCCGTTTTTAAGCCTGAAAAAGGTGATTTTTGCATATAGCCCCGCAATAAGATGGGCGGGGAAATTGCAACTCTGTGGTTCAAAATCGGGATCAGAAATTTCCATGCAACGGCTTCTGAGCGGTAGCCCATAATGACTTTTTCTGTCGCGCAATATTCAATGCATGACAACTACAGGAATTTAAACTGTCTTTTTATTTTAATTCAATGTGTTCAAAGTAACTCGTGGTTGCGTCGACTTAAAGATTTAGGGAGAATAAACGCTGAAATAAAAGATGTTTACGGCTTAAATATCACAACACGCTGGCGAAAACAATCGGCGCTTTACACAAAATGCAATCGTCATAGCCCTTCGCTCGTGATGCACATAGAAATGCGACAACTTCAAATACGACAATCACAGCGTTGACATTCCAGAACAGTGCAAGAACGTCATTTCATTTAAACTGACCTGACGGGGAGGCATGTTATCGTCCCCAAGATATTAAACTAAATATTAAGCCAACCCCGGAAAAATGAAAATTACCATACTCACCCCCCAAAAATAATCAGGGTGAAAATTTGGGTCCTGAAAAGCGACTTAATCGCTGTGAAATACGGTAGTTCTTGTAAAAACATGAATCCTACCTTGGAGGTCGTAGTTATCTCCATAATTTACACCTTTAATGGCTCGAGAGAACCATCCACATTGCATAGCAGTCGCCTCCCTCTGGGAACGATGATTCACAGAAATAGAAGCCACCTGCCTCTGAGAACGTAGATTCATAAATTCAAGGATCCCCTGCCTCTGGGAACGGGGATTCATAGATCTAGGAGTCACCTGCCTCTGGGAACAGGTATTCATAGGCATGGCGCCTGAAAGCAAAAAGAATATATTCATCAACATTAATACATGTAAAGAAACCATTCTTTCCCATTCAACATTTATTCCGATAATTCTGTGTGAATTAATAAAAGTCATCAACGAATATTTCAGTTAATCTACAGAGAATTTGACATCTCTGCTGCGGACAAGGATTCATACAAGGATCCATGACATAAAGGATATTTGCTCAGCAACTGCAGAATTTAATAAGGCCAAATACGAAGATTTGTGAACTAAAATGTTTGTAGCAAGTGCGTTGAGTTGCTCATTGCTATTTAAAATGACTTAAGCCAGTAGATCTCTTTTTTAAATTGCCTTAATTAATAAGCCTTATTCTTTCTGTTATATCACAAATAAAAATGCATTTTCACAAAAACAGTGCTTGGTATCTACTATTGAAATGTCATGCCTTTGATAATTTAATTAAAAAATTGTCGGTAAATAAAATCTCTAATGGTTTGAGTCTGAAAGTTTCTTTCAAAAACTAAAGTAGCAAATCATGGAGTTTCAGAAAACTGAATAGTTCTTAAAATAACATGCTTCCCTACCCCAAACATGGGGTTCAAAATATTGCCCTTCATTTTCTGTTCCTCCATAGTCTCCATATTGCATAGAAGTCCACTGCCTCTGGTAGGGGGAATACGTAGGCATGGCACCTGAAAGCAAAAAGAATATATTCATTAACATTAATACAAACATAGAAAGTATTCTTTCCCATTCAGCATCCATTCTAACAAACTGCAGTGGAAATGTGAATTAACAAAAGTCAACAACAAATATTTAAGTGGGTCTGCAGAGAATTGCCTTCACTTTGAACCAGGGTTCATACAAGGAACTGTGACACAGAGACCATTATAAAAAATATTTTTTAGCTGAGCAACTGCTGAATTTGATGAGGCCAAGATTTGTGAACTAGAGTGTTTATAGCTGGTTTGTTTCTCTCCTTATTAAGTTTAATATGGCCCAAGCCAGATAAGCTCTGAGCTGGGATGGGCACTGTTTATGAACCAGGGGCTAAAAATATTGCCTACCTACACTGGCGGGCCATGTAAGTGTGATGTAAAAAGTTACATTTTATGTAAAATATTTACAGTGTTACAAAAGCAAAGGTGGAAAACAATGAGCATCATGCCAAAACTATATTTAATCGCAATCTCAACAAATTCCTAGAGCTATTTTTAACTGATTTTCAACAAAATTTAATTATTCAACGGGCCGGCTTTGGCCCATGTCTGCTCTAGAATTTACTCTTCCTGTTACATGATCGAATAAATAAAAATGTATTTAAAAAAAACGATGCATGGTATCTACCATTACACTATCATACTGCTCTCACATGAAAAATTTGAGCACATCATTTTTTTTTAAAATAAAACCAGGGCTATTTTAGAAATATAAGAATATATTCATTAACATCAATACAAACATAGAATTCAGCATTCATTCTGATAATTCCATGTGAATTAACAAATGTCATCAACAACTGTTTCAGTTAGTCTACAGAGAATGGCTTGACATCTTTGCTTTGAACCAACATTCAACTACGACACAGAGGCCATTTAAAGCAAAAAAAATTAGGTTATTGTCTCAAGTTGTATCAAAAATATATCACCTGTATCTCCGAGTTCAGGAATATCATGAGCAGATGCTTCATCAGCAACAGCCTCATGGTCCTGTGACCAGCTTGAATCTTCAGTGGATGATTTGTCTTTGTTTGTTTCACTTTGTGGAACAACTTTTGAAGCACGAGAGAATATTTCTTCTATGAGCATGTTGATGCATTTCTCTGATTTTTTAACCAGTGGTTCAATTCGGACTGTCTCCTTTAGAAACTCAAGAGGTAAATCCTTGAGATTTAGAAAACTAAACAAGTCTTGAAATGTCTTTCTTCTGTTTTTGACATCGTGTTTCACCCATTTCATCATCGCCTCCCATTTGACAGTTTCCGAACGATACTTTGTGTTTGAAGATTTGAAAAGCGCCATTATGTCATCCTTGCTGATATCAAGAAACTCCTTATTTTCAATAACGTGTTCGAAATTTGCCCCCAAAAACCTAATTATCACATTTTTTACTGTGATCCGATCAGAAACTTGATGTGTCTCAGCCAGGTTCTTCAAAGTAAAGCAGTTGTCAATCTCGAGACCTGACTCCAGTTTTTTCACATTGGAGAATAAGGCAGTAATCACTGAATCTTCGGTTGTTTTATTCTTTTTTACAATGGGTTCTTCAAGGATAGTTTCCAACATAAATTTGAATGGAAAGAGCTCGATGCTGACAAGATCTGAAACATCTATGTTGTCTTTTCCTCCTGCCCATGTTACCACAGCTTTCCATGCCGTTTCGTAAGTCCTGTTCCTCATGTAACGCAAGAGATCTGATTTGGTGACGAATGGAAACATCTCAGAGGAAATAACAGATTTGAAATTAGACATCACGACCTTTTCGGCTTGCTCTTTTATATCGCGGCAATCATACATTTGAGCCAAGTTGATTACTGAGAGACAATTCACTGGGGAAATATTTGTTTTCAAGTAATTGAAGCAATGCTCTGTCAAGTTTGCCATTTGTAAAAGATGGGATGCTTGCAGGATATGTTGAATGTTTTCCATTCTCAAATCTGCCTTTCCTTTATACATGAACTCTATGCATTGTGCGATCCCATCCTGATCGACATCCTTCATATTAACGTGACCGTCATGAACTTCCTTTAAGTTGCTTGAAAACATGGCTTCAAAGTATTCTGAAGAGGCTGCCAAAACAGTGCGGTGAACTCGGAATGATTTGCTACCAACATTGACAGAGTAATCGCAAAGAAACCCATTTTCTTTGAACCTATCAAATGATGTCATAAGGCAATCTGACTGCGTTGCCCTGACCAACTCATTTGAATTTGAATCCATTTTGTAATTTAGCAGAACCTGTCAGAACACCCAAAATGATGCACGCATTTAAAGTTATGTCTCACTGAAAATAAGTATGAGTGTAAGTTTATTTCGACTCCATAATCAGCAAAACAATAACATGAATGGTAAAAATAAAAACTGATTATGAAATCAGGAGAGCAAACAAAACCTTAGATAAGGTTTAAAACGTACAGAATGTATATAAGATGGAAGGTTTTGCCAAGAAGATGTGGTGCGTGTTCACTCACCTAAAATAATTGAAATATTTCACACACGCTCACACGCACCCACACACACAACCATATAGAAGTTATTAAGTAAAGGGAACATGAAAAATTACATACTGGTAGTTAATAAAAAATAAATAAATAAAAATTACTTGCCACACCATATTAATAAATGTATGATGATTGCCACTGCCAAATTGATCAATTTTATAAATGGGAGTGAACAATAAAGATAAACTTTTATAAAAAAATATATTGCCAAGCTGATTATAGATGGGAGTCAAATGCCCAACCAAAGTTAGGATAGGATTTACATATTCATCCCGGGGGAGAGGAAAGCCGATAAGACGGCTTATCCATATGGCGAACCATGGCCTCTCGTCCGGTTACCTACCATTCCAAGTCTGGTATGGGATTAGATTTACTGTATTGTTTGTTTTCGGAAGCATGGACTTGGTGGTGGAGGAAGCCGTAACCGACCAGCGGTTACGTGAACCACCCAACGACGGCGAGGAGTCCAGCAATCCTCTCGCACATAACCATCCCTGCATGGGATTCGAACCTGCGAACCCACGCAGAGTAAAAGAATTGCCAGAATTGGGTGCATGAAGAGGTGGGCTAGACCACTTCATTGCCCAAACTAGAGCCTATTATTGCCAAATTATAGTCCAGATTGTATTAAGTATTCAAATCTATCAGTAACTTTATAAGTATGAGTACCGGTAGGCTAATTATAATTAATTAAGGTAGGAAGACAGGTAAATGTAGCAATATTGTCTGCTCCTGGCTACGCTTATGCTTGCATAAGGAGATTGTTGTACTTTTAGTTAGATGCTGTCACTTTGTATTTGTTTATTATTGTTGCAATGCTTATTTTTAACGTCATCTGCTCTAAACAATGACTTTCTGACTTCTTCACGGCCCCTGCGTCACCGTCACCTGAGCCGTCGCCATGGAGAGGGTTCAATTCACTAGCGCCTTCGCTGGAAAGAGAGCTTGACGCAGACGACTTCGCGACTGATTATGTTGTGCGTTTTTTATATGTTACATTGACTGGCCATATTTATAGCGACGATTTTAAATATCTGGATAAATAACTGAAGTTCACATTTGACGACGTATATCTCGAAAGACATGTTGAAAATGAAGGCAGCGCGAAAAAGGGGATACGGGTTATTTCGGGAATCGTTCGCAGTGTGGCATGGTACCACTCGTAGATAGATAGATTTATTTTGAAGACTCCATAATACACACAAAACATAAAATGTGGATTCTGGAGAGCGAGCAAAACCTTTAAAAAAGTTTAAAACATGAAAAATATCATGTGCCCGCCCACCAGCACACACGCAAAAAAAATCACAAAAAACACAAACCTTTTTAAACAAGGCTTGGGCCAGAAATAAACAAACAAAAGATACGCGAATGTATTGAACCTTCGGGCTGTTTTACTTTTGAAGCACTCAATCTACAGTAATATTCATTTAGAGAGAATCCAGTACGGAATATTTGTATAGGTATAGGCCAAATTTAAATGTCTTGAAAGGATTGTTGAATCGAGTTCTTCTGTGGTTTTCGAATAATTCAATTTAAAATCCTCGAATCCTTTCCAATGCTTCCAACATTAATATGGAATTTCCACGCACAACCACCATTTCAACAGTTGCAGTCGTCCCGTCTTTTCTGCGCCCTGTTCCATCATCCACAACTAGATTCATAAGAGGATCGAATCCTCGCATAACACCCGCAAAGGATCGTCCAACATTCAACTTTGAATCCATTCTTTTATCCATAAACTTCTTTATTTCTGGTGGGTGGGCCTTGCTCATCTTGATATTACGCGATAAAAGCAACAGTAAATACAGAACGACATACCGGCAAGAAAAGATGATTGCGGCGGGCCCTTGATACAACCAAGCCACTTCAACACGAAATATTTCTTTCAACACCTATTGATAAGTTTCAGTAACCAGGTATCATAGAATCCATGAGACATCATCATTTTACCAGTTCCAATCATATTATTTTTGCTAAAGATCTTTGAACTAACGTTTCATAATACAACCAAATACTCCAATAATAACAGCATCTTCGTTTTTACTTTCAAACATGATCTTAAGTTAATAATGACTTGTGACATAATCTATTCGGGATTCCGAGTCTCATGCATCTGAAACAGATAATCGGATAACGGGTCTTACTACTTAATGAATGGATGTTTCCCCGAGCATCGATATCCTTATGTTTATTTCCGTAACAATGGCCAATCAGCAAGTCAATAATAACGTACCAATTGAACCTCTATGCGACCGCTCAGTCACTTGTTTCGCCCACACAGATATTCAAGCACGGTTGTAAACATTGCCTATTTTTGTTGTTTTACGTGTTACTTGCTAGTTTTCAGTTTAGTTTTCGAAAAGTAGTTGTAAATCAAGTAACTTAATTGTCATTACGTTCTCCGGTGAGCTTTACTATAGTTTCAATAAGCCCTGGGACAAGTGGAACACGACATTATTGAGACACCCCATACATATCTCCAATTTTACGGTTCCAGGAATTAGAAGTATGCAGTTAGTCCACTATGAGTTGACCAAGACTGTTATTACGATTATGCCGGACATTAAAGTCAATTTGGATATTCCTGTGAATCAGATTCAGTTACGTGGCGATAACAAAAATGTCAATTATAGCATTTCATTGTACAGTATATTTATTCGATGAATGGAAGAATAGATTTACCAAAAAGAAATATTTAGGAAAAAATAATATTTGTTACCATGATATCGCGTGGATGGTAATGTGGCGTTTATTGTCTGGAGTTATAGAAAATATTCTTAATTATAAACTTGAGTAAGTATGCTGTCATGGGTTATGGAATGACAATAGCCTAAAAACGTCAGGTGCGCAAGAAACAAACGTATTTTGCGAAATATTTGAAATTCAATACTTTTATATTAAAAGCCTCAAAAATAATATTTTATTCCCTGTTAAATATATATCTATAGGTCCCACTGACGAACAGACACGAATTACGCGTACAATGTCGGTTTGAACTTTTTTACTTTACCTTTTAGTAAAGGAATAAATAAGTCCTTCAATATATGACCATTTAGAGCAGGGGTCGGCAACCTACGGCCCGCGGGCCGGATCCTGCCCGCGGAGCAATATAATCCGGCCCGCGACGCCTCACTGAATTTATAGTAACAAATCATAGCTGTTTTGTCGATTATATTCTTTACCCAAAAGAATTTGCGTGTAGACTAAATTATAACGTAACAAGTATATAATTCACAATTACTCGTTTAATGAGCCTATAATTTAGACAAATGGCAACAAAATGCAGAAAAGTTGATGCTAAGTGCTATGGTTTAATGGCGCAAAAAATATTCAAATGGTCAGTCTTCGCGCGCTGCTCAAAATTTAACCTCTGATCTGTGTGATAAAATGTGATTCATCGGTCATCCATTCGATTTTTAACTTTCTAAAAATATGTGCGGCCCGCCAATGACTTGCAACCTTTAATTTTGGCCCGCGAGCGACAAAAGGTTGCCGACCCCGGATTTAGAATTTTCCATGAGGCACTGCATTAAACCATCTATCGAGTGTGTCCTGACTTTAAAATCCGGCCTGGATAGTTACTAAACAAGCAAACTTTTTATTCAAATCAACATTTATTGCGGCATTTCCCCTGTTTCGCGCTGTTTTGCTCTGTGCATGAAAATAATGGCTTTTCTGAGACTCTAGTTTGACTCCCTGGGCATGATGAAAGAGTTTTGGCTCAATTACACGCAACGCCTATAGCAAAAAACATTATGATACAGAAAGCTACTCACACAAGAATTCAAGTATTGATGTACCAATTAGTATTTTAAATTCAATGCCTCTAACAAATTAATTATGCCCGAACGCTACAATGAAAAAGTCAACTCATCTCTAATTATTCAATCTATTAAAAGTGATATACGTCGAGCATTTCAAATCAAAACATTTAAAAATGATAATATTAAAACCGAGCACTAAACAAAACAAGTAATTATTCAATAAATACTTGTTACGGAGACGAAAGGATAATTTACAAATATCTGAACTGGAAGTACCTTTATCGTTAATAATTGCGCATAAATTAGAATTTTTTTGAAGTAGAAAAAATTGGGTAAGCAATTAACACCATAGACATGAAAAGTACAAAAAATTATTCAAAACTAATCGTCTTCCAGAAATGCTTGTATTTTTTAATATATAGAAATTTGGGCGCTCCCGAAGTGTGTACACCAAGATGGCGCACAACCTGAACCCTAACCTGGTACACATACAATGTTCAGTTTGTGCGCCATCTCGGTGCACATACTTCGGGAGCTGCTTAAAAATTTCGCTCAGTAGTTGAAGAAAACTATTGCAAATATTTCAACTATAATAACAAATTAACAAAAATACTTGCGAATAAAAAGCAAATCAAGGGATTAAAAGTATGCATTCATTACAGAAACAAGAAAGTTACGCTCAAATATATGGACACGTAGCGCCACATAGTGGCAAGTTGTGATGACGTCATAGCACACACAAAAACGAATCCCTAACAGCTCACCGAAGTATTTGAAATAAGTAAAAGTAATAGCCTTCTAGCGAAAAATTTAATTTTCGAGTACTGAAACTTTCGAAGCGAACAAAACGATCTTTATTTCCACTAACGTGTCCAACAACATCAACAGTTATGCTAGCTAGACCATTCCGAACATTTCGCTCCGTAACAACGCCGTTTGCTCTTCGAGGCTACTCCCCGAACACAAGTTATCTGGTTCATTTTGAACATCCTCATGTGACGAAGGACGGATTGCTCGACTCAGATTAGTGAGCTTTTTAGATCTTTTCAGATTGCCGATTTCGTCTTTTGTGAATGTAAAATGTTGAAGGGCTTCATTGCAGTCATTCACAACTACGTCGTCCGCAAGTTCATCGTCATCGCCCACGATTGCCATCAACAATTCAATTACCTTTATCACTCTATTTCTATTGAATTTTCGAAAAAAACTAGGGTGTTTTCTGATGAAATACACGATCAAGCGAAACTTCACTTTGTCCCAGAAATTCTGAGCATCTCTGTATTCTCTTAGAATATTTTTCTTGAATTCTTCCTTCAAATTTCCGAGTTCCCCCTCCAAACGTTTGTTTTTTTTAACTAATTTTTTGAAAATATTGTTCATTTCACAATACAACTTTTTATCGGTGAATCTAAAATGCAGAAAAGCTTCATTGCAAGCTCTAACTTGTTTGAATTTTTTAGCTTTCCTTAGTTTTTTAGATTTCATAATTTTTTTTATAACATTCCATATGAGCTTAACTTTATCGGTCGCACCCGCTTGGTTATCTTGAATTTCTGCATTTTGAGAGTTGTCATCAAACTTGACTGTTGCGTAAAGGTTTAAGAATTTGGGATAATTCAAGACTGCATATTCGATGTGCTTTTCCTTTGGTTCTTCAAATACTTTCATGGTATCTTTGGCGAATAAGAAATCTACGAAGTCGTAAAACAATCCTGTAGCAAGGGGATGAGAACATTTCTACAACATTTTCATAAAAGATGCATAATTATGTGGGGTAGTATTCAAAGTAAACGATTCAATTACCCAGCTCTTCCAAATTCCATATGCCGTGGACGCGCATTGTAAAAAGCAAGTGAGGGTAAAAAATCGAGAGATAGGTAGTAGATCTTCGAAAGAATGAGCTATATGAGAAAAGTCTTCTTCGGGTAATTTGCACTCGGAGTGGTGGGGTCGTTTGCCAGTTTATTCGAAACAAAAGAGAAAATAATTGAAGTTGTTAAGGTGAGAGTGCAAAGAAGAAAATTACGTATGTAGTAGTACGACCATATGTCCACAGGTAAATTATTTCTATATGTCCAAAGTTGCACACATGCATCTCTAATTTTATTTGTTCTTTGTGGGTCTTTGCCATCCTTATACAAGTAGAACTTGACACGCTTTAGATCAGTCAACGTCATTTGGAGACCATTTATTGTCTTTTCAGATGCTGAGTAAGTGCGAAATGCATGAATAATTTCTGCTTTTTGAAGCCATAATACAGCGGTCAGATTAATTACCATACATAGTGTGAGAGACAATGTGCCTGATTTTATTATGTACCATTTCATTTTGTTTGCACAGTAGATATTGACAAAATTTGCCTGGGTATCCGTGAAAACTATTAAATTTTTCTGATTAGGACGTTCTTCTGGTAAGCATCCTAATTGTGGCGGTGACACTAAGTAAAGCATAGTAAGAGAAGCTACTACACTTGCCACAAAACAGCCTCCGCGAAATTTTTCCCACCACGGCTTCATGTTGCATTGATCCAATAAATCATGCAGTATAAAGACAGATTTGGATATTGCCGTCATGTTAAATTCTATGTAAGCAGATAGTGAAATACTCAATTAAGCAATTATCCTGTAAAACAAATTCAAAACTTTCGCTCAAACAATCGTGCCATGCATCGGTCGGCGGTTGTGGCTTTCTTCACCACCAAGTCCATGCATCCAAAACAAATAACTAGCTAACTAATCCCATAATTTTTGGAATAGCGAAAGTTTCAGTGAGTTACGATTCACCACGAATTTCAATGCAGTTTGCAGAAAACGAAAATTTACTCGAATGTCGCAGCAACGATTTAAATGTAGTCGCACACAACACCAAAAATATCAACCAACAGCAGCAGTAATAGGAAAATTTAATTGAATATTATAATTATTACCCGATAATCGGTTATGCTTCCCCGGGCCCTTTTTCAGTGAAAGTGTGTTCCTGATTTATTCATAGCAATTTGCGCACGACTATTTTTTACTGACTGGGAAAATCTACTTGACCTAATTTCGTCTATAATTTAGCGTCCTCGCAGGTAAAACTGGAACTTCACGCTTACTCTCTGACTTGATTAACTACATCATTTTCTGTATACTAACGCAAACTCCTAAGTGAATAAGTAACCCGGTGATGACCAATGTTCTATGCAAACAGTGGTGTGACAGTAGTGTACCAATACAGCATAACGGAACAACAATTGGAAATAAGAGTAAACATACTTACCTGACAAGACTGTGTGACGTTAACACTTCAAGTATGGATAATTGCGTAAGTCTATCGACCAGGACTTTGTGGATATTATGTGCGTTGTTTCCGACCTAAACAACAAGGACATATAGGTTCTACATGAACGTAAATAGTGGAGCAATACCGGTAACAAAAATATATATAATGGCAAATATACCATATGGCGAACTTTATATAATCTTTTTAAAATTTCTGTAGGTAATTTCGATTATCAATATGAAAAGTCTGCAACTTCGAATCAGAGAAATAATCTACTCCAACTCCACAGCCCCTCACTTTCCTATAGTTCACGGGTCAACAACCGTTCGCATTGAAAGAGCCATTTGGCATCGTTTCCGTCAATATCAAACTTATCTGGAACCGTAATCTCTACTTAATGTCTTTCATAAGTTTACATTTACACGTAAAACATATTGAATTTGTACGTTTTTCTTTTCATCTTGCAATGCAAATGTACCAGTCTAATTTAAAAAATAAATTACCTGTCGATTATCTCTTTTCTTAACAGTGATTGCTGTGTAGAGCCATGTTCAGAGCTAAAGCTCCAATCATTACTTCAGGAAATTTGAACTGGGTTTTTCTTTTATACTGTAAAGCAAATGTACCAGCGTCCGTTAAATTACCCATAACTTATTTCCCTACGTAACAATGTTTGCTCTGTAGAGCCGTAGTCAGAGCGAAAGCTCCAATCATTAGTTCACTGAATTTGCACTTGCTTTTCTTTTTACTTGGATGACCATATATGGTCGTATCGCTCCAAAAAGTATCAACAAATAAAACTGACAATTATGTAGGAGTACAAGAGAGCTAAACTCAAATATATGGACACGTAGCGCCACCTAATGGCAATAATTTTGATGACGTCATAGCAGAAAAAAAAAGTAATAGGCTTCTAAAGAAAATTTATCTTTAACCACTGAGAATTTTAAAGCAATTGGTCCAGTAATTAAAGAAAAAAGCGACTTTTCAAAAACGTGTCAAAGAACAAGAACAACAACAACATATTATTGAAACGATCGCTATGTCCACTACGTGTCCAATAAACATGCTTATTCATAATATTTACATACAGGTATGGTACATTCCTATTTAAAGGTGATGATATAGGTCCGTTCCTCTAAGTTTGGGTGAATAATCGGTGAGTTCGGGTTTGTTCGTAATCATTGCAAACCGAAATAAAAACACAATGAGCACAAAATAGTTTTTATTTTTTATTTACTGTGTTGATTCTATATTATCATGAAATAAAGTTTTCATACAACTGGTATGATTCAATTTATTTGCTTAATTCAACTTCAGAGAGTTAAGAGAAAAGCTATGTAAAAAAAGCTGCTCAGTGCTCTACTGTTTAATGTAACCATGCCAGAGAAAAAAAGATTTATCCCAGGGGAGAGGAAAGCCGATAAGACAACTTAAACATTTGGCGAACCACGGCCTCTCGTTTATGTCGAGTACGGTATGGGGTTAGTCAGCCAGTTGTTCGTTTCAGATGCAGAGCCCGTCTATTTATTTAAACACAGTAAATTTTCCGCATGTTTAATGGAATTATGTCAGTCTTATACAATTCTTATCTTTAAGTTTTCTAATTGATCTTTGCTCCTGATACCGGTATGCTTGAAAAAGGATTGTACTTTTGCACAAATTTTATTGCCGTAGCGGGTCAAAGGTTACGAGATTGCCACGGGTCTGACGAAAGGGCAAAGTGCAAGTAGTTGCAAATTTTAGGTGGAATGGAAAATGAAATAGAACGCAATTTTACTTGAAACGTATTGCTTAGTATGGTAGGTGAACTTGTATTTTCGTTTGATATATTTTTTATATTCAGTATCCTTTTTTTTTTATAAATAGTGTACAAGAGTAATTAAACTGTTTGCCTGCAAGGATGTTGTCCACTCAAATTATTCGAAATATGTCAACAGCCAATCGATTGTCACAAATCAAGAAACTGGTGGTAATTGGTGGGGGTCAAATGGGGTCAGGAATTGCCCAAGTATCCGCAGTTGTTGGAAATGAAGTCATAATCGTGGATCAAAATGAAGAATTACTTGCAAAATCAAGGTCAACAATTAAAAAAAGTTTGCAGCGTGTTGCAGCAAAGAAATACAAGGATGAACCAGAAAAAGGGAAAACATTTGTGCAAGAATCTATGTCTCAGATACAAACAAATACTGATGCGGAAACTGCTGTCCAAAACGCAGATCTAGTGGTTGAAGCCATCGTTGAGAATCTTAAAATTAAGCAGGTGAGGGTTTGCCCCACAATTCTGCCTACAGAATTGGTGAAATATTCTTGCTTGCTTCTTGCAAATTAACCAAGGACATTTGGTTGTGCCAGTTCAGTTGTAGTCCCATAAAGTTTGTATAAAGCTGTTCTTGTTGGCGAAACTTTTGTACTCGTGTCAGTATGGCACACTATCCAAATTCCAAGAATTTCCCTCCATTGGGCTCAATAAAACAAACTATGTGTCTCACAAACGAGGGGTGTCTGGCACCACGTCAGATGCCTCATATCGCGCCATACTTGTCTCAATAATAATCCAAATTAATCGCAGCCGTCACATGACCAAAATTGCCGTTTTTTGCCAAAAACTCTCGAATGCCACAGTAAAAATCGGTTTATGCCACTTCGGTAAATCGGTTTATTTTTTCTCAAGGAATTCAATGATTACGTTATTAGATTGCGCTTTTGTAGTATTTTGCAACTTCATTACACTGTAATATTACCGATATTGAGGGACAGCAATGTTCAGACGTCTCCCAAAGGAGGGGTGTCTGATCATCAGTAAAATGGGTTTCTCTGAAACGAGACAATGTCGCTCGATCTGTATAGTGTGCCGTACTATGTGTGGCTAACTTACATGAAACCTGAATCTCAAGTTCTGCATTGTTATTAAGAATTTATTATTGAAAAAATGTCCCATGAATTGTTTTAGATAATTATAAAAAAAACGGGTCTAGTGAAGTAAACGCTGTAACTGCTTAAATAACGCCCCACAAAAATGTGGTGTGAAGTCAACCCCGTAATTGCACAAATAACACCTAACAAAATTGTGAAGTGAAATTTTAATGTAAAAAGATTGAAATTACATTCATATTGTCCTAAAATGTCGCTGTCGAAAAGGTGGACGATTCATCTGTCCTATCGTTAGTCGAGTTGTCTGCTTTCCCTTTGACCCATGCGTATTATGTTCATGCAACACGGACGGACTTATTTTTAGAAAAAAAAATTTGGGTTGTGTTTTCGCATCACATTTTGTTTGGCATTCAATTTCACACAACATTCGTGTTTGGGGGTATTTAACAGTAACGGATCCAAAAAATCAATTAGCCAATTCACTTCATATTGTTTGTTTTCAGGATTTGTTTAAAAGCCTTGATGCTGTTGCTCCAGCCAATACAATATTTGCTTCGAACACATCATCTCTACCTATCAGAGACATTGCTTCAAGTACAAAACGAGAGGTGGGTGTTTGTTGTTTGATGAAAGAAACTCAGATTTTGTTCTGATCAGTTGATTTTGATTAATAATGTAGAAGTTAGTGATAGTTAATCAAGGAATAAATAGATATCACTATGAAGTTCATTCATTGGAGAATGACTTGACGTTGCTGACATAGCATGAGGTATCCTTATTTTAATCTGTTAATCTAAATACTGAAATTAGGAGGCTGGGCAATAATAACCAACCTTTGTTGAAGAGAATCGAACTGGTTGACATCACAGTATAAAGACGATATCGAAGTAAAAATTACGACAGAGAGAGTGAAAGTTATTATTTTATATGGCTATTTAAAAACAACCAGTTGAATTATTCAATGAATTGCAGTAAATATCCCACAAATCGCATTTATAAGCACAGTTATTCAGAGCATTTTTGGTAATGTGTTCAAAGTTTTCCAAAGTGGCTTTTATAATTATCATTTAACATTCTTCATTTATGTCAATGGAATTTTAGGATCGTTTTGGAGGAGTTCATTTCTTCAACCCAGTTCCTATGATGAAGCTTGTTGAAGTCATCAAAGCTCCAAACACAAGTCAAGAAACATTTGATGCTTTGTTTACATGGAGTAAATCTGTAAGTTTCGTCAATCAGTTGGATTTTTTAATGGCTGGTTTCAGACAGTTGAGCAAGGCACTGATGGCTGATATTTTTTGTAACAACTGGAAAGTTTTGGCCCATGAGCTACCCAGTTTTATTGTACTTCGGGATGAGATGGGATGGTTTTATGACTGTTGGGAATATGCTCCCCATCGAACCTCTGATTACCCTGCACGCAGGTTCTAATTCTGTGGGGGGTGATTATGTGCGAAACGATTGCTGGACTATTCCCCGCCATAGGGTGATTCATGTAACCGCTGGTCTGTTGCGGCTTCTTTCAACACCAGATCCATGCATCTGAAACAAATAACTGGCTAACTAATTCCATTCCCTACATGGAATGGTATATGGACGAGGGCAAGATAGGGGGGATCTACTATATGTTGGGAGGACAGGAATCTTCCTAGTGCAGCATTACCTACCCAATTTATTACACCCTGGGTGAGGTGTTGGGCATGGGATCTGAGTTCTGGTTTTTAAACTATTATGCCAACATAGTCGAGGAACATAGGAGAAATTATCTTACTATACCTTTGGGACAATTGGTTGTTTGAGTTATTATTATTATCAGTCATATTAATAATTGATTTCATTTTTCAACAGCTTGGCAAGACTGCAGTTTCATGCAAAGATACTCCTGGATTTTTAGTGAACCGACTACTCGTCCCTTATACGGCAGAAGCAGTTCGCTTATATGAACGAGGCCATGGATCTATCAAAGATATCGACATCGCTATGAAACTTGGAGCTGGCTACCCAATGGGTCCTTTCGAGCTGACAGATTACGTCGGGCTTGACACTTGCAAATTCATTCTAGACGGATGGAGAGAAGCTATGCCTGATAATCCATTGTTCGATGGCAGCCCGCTGATGGATAAATTAGTTTCGGAAGGAAAACTAGGTGTGAAGTCGGGGGAGGGATTCTACAAGTATAATAATAAAGGACAAAAAATGTAGATTTTTCCATGTGTGTCAGGTTTCGAGTAATTTATGAAAATTTAGTTTGCAAATCAATTTAAATTACCTTTCTGGTTGGAGTAATTTCTGAGGCCTTCTATTATCTTCTACAAATCTATCATCCATTATGGGTTTCTTGCTCTGAATTTTTTCGAACGGTCTTTGGCAGCAGAATACCCACATTAAGAGCTATTATTTGGCATTAAAAAATTCAATCCTTACTAGATATTTTTGTAGACCAGTGATTGTTTTCAACTTCAGCAATTAGTGCACTTATGACTCAACTCAACCATCCTCAAATGTCATTCATACATTTTTTGATTCTTTTACATATAATACAACAGATGTCAAATATTATTGACCAAATGATATGAATCAGTCAATTTTCCTGTTTATCTTCCATGGTGTAGAACAGTCGGGGCCCCCCGAAGTACGCGTCCACAAGTACTTCTAGTGGGCGTAGCATAATGATTTTTGCATATAATATTTCTAACCCCCACCTGACAATGTTATCTAAAAATTGAGTCATTATGACATCACAATTGCATCATAGAGCTTGCTAAAGTAATGAACTCACTAACGCCAGCAATCTCTCTCTTATCAGTATTGTTTCAACGAGAATATGAGAGAGTCTGTGCATTTTAGACGACCATACTTATACTTTGGGGGGCGTATTTTCAGATCATGTGGGGGTTAGGAATGGCACATTCAAAAGTTGTTGAGGTAAACCAACTAGAAGTACTTGTTGGCAGGAGACCGAACAGTGAGTGGTATAATACTCAAATATTGCACTGCCTGTACTTCCTCATACCTAACAATTATCGTAATTTTTTTAGTCAATATCATAATATATTTCTTAATTTTGTAAGTTTTCTGATTTAATCAATTTGCCCAATCAATAGTTGCTTATTGGTTTTGAAAAATAATGGAAAAAGTAGTACAAGACCATATTATAGCCAGTTTTACTATTGAATATGATAAACCAACCTAGGCGATGCATAAACGCTAACAACCCTTTTTGATGTTCATCCTGGTAGTAGGGTAAGTTTTTCGGTGCTAGTATTCATTCAATCATTATTTACTTATTATTTTTGAACAAAAAAAAGATAAATCTCATGTAAGCTGAAGTTGGCAAAAATTGTTGAATACACCTATTTTTTGCATTTGTTAGCATCCGTATCTCAACATAGGGTTATAGGGGAATAACCTCTGCTGAATTTTGTCAATTTATTTACTCTGGTTATGCATTTGATGCCCGGACCTTGGGTCCCAAAAATTCTCTGAGAAGGTTGAAGTTCTTGGGTCCCAAAAATTCTCTGAGAAGGTTGGAGTTACCCTTTTGGTTTCTAGTGAGTAACATGACTGTTTATTTGTTACCTCTATGCAATTTATAACTAATTTATTGCTTATTGTTTAATTTCAATCAGCGATCAATAAAATTGTCAAATCAATATATGTTGTTCTTGTAATGTTTCATACTGCACTTATATTTAAGATTTTCCCTTATTTTATTATTGATGAGCGTCTAATCGGATGTTGCTATAGGGATATAGTTCTTAGAGTTTCATACTCAAATGTAAATATTCATGTTCTGAGTCTATGCTCTTGTGTTGATGTTGAACAACTGAGAGGCGCACATTCCCACTGGAATTCAACCACTAAATGAAGAGTACTCCCGACGCATGTAATCAAGATGGCTGTCACCGGAACGTAGTATGTGTACCAGGTTAGGTCATAATTTCAGGTACAAATACTACGGGTGCCACTTGGCTAGTCCCCGAATCCGTAATAGAACTAAAATGAGAAAAAAATCATGGCCTAACTCCAACCTGGTACACATACTACATTCCAGAGTCCGCTATCTTGGTTCGCATATGTCGGGAGTACCAAATGAAGTTATCTGCGCATAGGAAGTGGTAAAATGTATTTGCTGTCATACTACTGATTACCAGATGTGATCTGCGGTTGCAAATCTTGTGAAGGAATGGTAAAGCGAGAAAAAGGTGCTAAATTTCAATGTTCCAGTGTGGCAGCTATTTACACCATTCAAGAGCCAGGCTTGAGTGATTATTTATTCCCTTGCCAATACAGTCAGGTCAGCTTTCTTCTCTTAGGGATATATGCAAGAAGATTGTTTACTAGTATGTTCACTCCAAGACTAAGAATCTGCCACACCTATATAATTGGGCGCAGAACATGGATCCTAACTGAATTTAAGATCCTTAAAGAATTTAAATGCCGCCTCGTCAATGTAAAATAGTGTCGGTATATGGATGTCAAAATTAACAGTGTTTAGGGTTACAAGCTTCCATTCACTCGGAGTTGTAACAGTGTAGTGGGACTAAAGCAGTTATTATATTATTAAAGCGATAATTATATTAAACTTTATGATGTAACTGAACTCCTATTTCTGCGCTAATCACTAACGGTAGGCACCTTCAGCTAATTGCTACAAAAGAGTCATGCAACAGCCATTGTTATGACATATACTGTGCGCAGGTAATATTGAGTTAATGAGCAACTTTTGTTTTGTACATTAAGTGTGAAGTCGTTAAGAGGGCCACTCAAAAAATTGTTTGTGGGCCTTGTTTGACGACCACTTGTCCAGACGATAACTAGACATAACTTGGAAATCAAAGTAATTAATGTGGTTGACGCTCTGATGAATTGTCAAGAAGCCGCAAAATTATGAATCTCTAATCGCAACATATCAAGAACATCAAATCCAGTGTTATCAATTTATTAAACACATGCCTGTGAATGTACAATATGTTGCAACTTGCAGCAAAGATTGAGCTGTTAACCCTTTCCGTGCGGTGGGCACGTATACGTACCTACGACAAAACTCGCTAGATTGCGGTGGGTTCGTTGATGTACTCCACTGTTTTATTTAGCAATCGGTCCCAAACTGTTGGTCTAGTTTTTCCGGGTTTTAGTTTATTGATAAGAAGTCTTCTTCGAGATTAACATAAGCGACGGTAAATCTCGCTTTCGTTTACCATGGGAATTTTATTTGCGGCGGAACGAGGGAGTGTTTTTGAAATTTATGCAAGTTTCGGTGTTTTTTGGGTGGTAATAGAAGACATATTATCCCTTCCATCTACCAAAGTATTTTGAGTTAGATAACGAAATTGCTACAGCAATATTATGCTATTGTTTGCCAACCAAGAAGCGGTAACAGTAAAGGATTTAGCGAATATTTCTATTTTTTATCACGGTTTAAAGTTTCAACACCCAAAAAAAAAAATGCCTTTTTTCTATCCCGTTTGTGACTCAGACCACCCCTTTAAAAAAAAAATTTTTTTTAATCGCCAATTGCAAGCTCTTTAAATAAGTTTTCCAACGAGCCGTCAGTGGGCAGCAGAGGATCATTACTTTTTCGTTAGTCGATCGATTAGTTGTGGGGGTACAAATGCATAAAGTCGGCGTAGCAAATACGATTATTTGATAAAAAATAAAAATCGCATGGAAAGGGTTAAGGATTTAGAAGCATTTCCCAAAACTAGGCTTGACTTAGGTCCAAGCCCTATCAGGTCCTCGGAATGAAATAAGGAGTCAAAAGCATGCATTGGGCACAAAATATTAGTATCATTCTCCAAGAGGGACAATGCTGTTCTATCAGAGTCTGGATACACATTTTCTTATGCCATGATGCTTAAAGCTCAAATCCCCACAGAAGTCTCGACTCATCCACAGGAGAGAATATGAGCACGACTTACAGACACAGTCTTTGGAAGATGTATTCGTTATGTTACTTCGTTAAATGACTTTTTAAAGGCAGAATGAGATACAAGCATACCGAAGTATAATATACATTATGTTAGTAGGGAATGGATACAGGGTGTCCATAAATTCTCTTTACAATTTCAATGAAGTCAGTTCTCAATATATCTTAACCAGGTTTGTTGTTTTTCATTCAGTAATTGTTCAAGTATTTTTACTTTATTTTAATACATCAGTAAGGGCCAGGACAATATATGGTATCGATAAATTCCCTTTGGCAGTTTTAAAGAATTTATTCTATGGACACCCTATATATTGTCCCTGGACTACTTTGGGCCATTTTTACTGCAGTTCAGCAGTAGATCCAGGCAAACAGCTATTCTGCAGTCGCTAAGTCTGTTTTCAACGAACGGTTTTCTTCTTTTTTGCAAATGAAGCTTTTTTCTTAAACACCTTCGATTTATTGAACTTCTTCTGACCTTCGAACGCTGTGTTCTTTGGCTTTTTGAAATTTGAATCTTTACCGGTCTTTCTTCTTTTCTTTCCACCAAATTTTTTAGTCACTTCACTGGTTGCAAACGTTTCTTTGTCAGGTTCCTGTCCAACTTCCTTTCTATACCATTCTGCGTCATCATCAACCTGTTCTAACTTTGGGGTCTCGGGTTCAAAACCGTCGTCGCTATCTTCATTTTCTTCTAACTTTCGTTTCATTCCAGCGAGTGATTTTTTCTTTAAAGTTTCTTTTTCCTCTTGTTTTTTCGCCACATTTTTTGCTTGTTCAGCTTTCCTTTTAGCTTTCAGCTTTTTCTTTTCCGCTTTCTTTTTTAACGTTTCCTCCAATTCATCTTTTGTCTTGTCAATCAAGCTATGATACAAAACATCGCCAGAACATAACCCTTCTTCACACTTAATGAGCCTCAAAGTCATTCTCGGACCAAGTTCAGTCAACCGTATCGCGCATTTTTGGTTCAGCAAATCGTCTTTCCCTGAAACACTCGTAGGAGGTAACTCAACTTCATTATGTGGGCCGTCGGGATCAGCTTCGGACTCAGACGCACTCCCTTCCCCTGGTTTTTGAGTGAGATATTCGCTAATATCACTATACTTACTCAAATCTGGTAAGTCTTTTCGAGCGACAAGTTTCTTCAACCGTCGACTCATTCCCATTGGTTTTACAGCGATGTTGAAATGTCGGAATTCAATTAGATCCGTTTCTTGGTCGTAACTGAAGGACACGCAACGTTTGACTTGATTTAATTTGACTTTGTGGATGTTGATAGAAGGAAACATATTCTGTAACATTGTGGCACAAAGCTTTCGTGGATTCACTTCAAAGTTGCCTTTATTTTCATCAGATTTGTTCGGAGTGTCTTTAAAATTATTAAGCACTAGTAATGGCGGGTGTCTAAATTGTCCTTCAGAAGTTTGAGGTCGTTTCAACGCTGATACAATATCATGATTTAAACTGTATTTTGTAACTTGAAAATATAATGTCGGACCTCTGGGAAGCCTCGCAATCCTCATATTCGTCCCATTTGGACTTTTACTAAACATAATAAAGTTTGTGACATTCAACGGACCCGCGATGGACACAAGATCTTTTAAAACATTCTTTTTACGAAGTTTTAAATTCGTAGCCGTATACGGTTCCATAACCAGTCTCATATCTTTCGCTAAAGTTGATACGTTATTTCCAACATGGCCTCTTTCGAATACAAATGAATGAGGAGCACGACTGATTTCTTCAATTTCTCGCAAAGCGTTTTTCGAAGCATTTTTCTTCGCCTTTCCTTTCTTTTTCCGAGCCATTATAGCGGTTTATATTCTATTTATAAATCTGTATATACAAAAATAGAGAAATTGAAACAATGATTAAAAAACTCAAGAATAACTAAAATTTTATGATTACTGAAGTTTGCAATGTGGACTCTTTGAATCCAAAACTTTATGTGTGATGTTTACCACACCTTTGTTTCCAACAATATCCCAAGGTTCCCAACCGGGGGGCCATGGCATTGGTGGGGCCACAATAATACGAGCAGAGTTGATTTTACATTTCTCTTTACAAGAAAACTCGTACTTCTTAACTCTTTTTTTCCGTATGACGAATATATTCGTACTACCATCCTTGGTCATAATGCTTATTTTCAGACTATTTTATGTTTATGTTCATGTTTTGTGAAGCATTCCGCACTAACTAAAGTCATTTTAGGCATCCAACTATGATCCGTGCTTGATCCATCAACAATTTTTTTTTGTAAATTTTTTATTTTACTACTAAGTGAATTTTATTTGTGTAGGTATTTCAAAGCTTAGAGATACACGAAAGTATTTGTCATTACTTCAAAGATAAGTCATTTGAACGAGCGGGAAACAATTTCGCACACATATTAAACAAACAAAGATTCTAGACAACTATCGTGAACATGCTCTCACATATCATTGATTATTTCGCGTTTCGCTTCGCTTGCGAAGCTGAGTCTGTTTTTTTTGCAAAGGTGACGTAACGCTCTTTGAGAAGAGCGCTTGAATTTATTTCCCTATGTTGAGCATGAATTGTTTGAACATAATGGGATATGAAATATGCTGATCATAGTACCACTGGAATGATTAAAAAAGGGCCATAATTCTCTGGAAAGGGGTCACGAGCCATAAAAGGTTAGGAACCGCTGCAATACTCTATGCCAGCACATAAGCTGAAATGTTAGAGAACAGCTAGCTATGTATTGAAAGGAGTCTTTTTTGTTGGGTATATTGCTATTTTCTAGAATCAAGGTGGTGGCCATGGAATTTGATCCTAAGATATTTAACTTGCAACACCAAAACAATTAGGCCCAGTACTTTAATCACCAGAATTCACCAAGAATATTGTATATCATAACCCATTTCATAAACATATAAATCTAAAAGAAATAAACACAGTAAATTTGTATAGCAGAGATGGTTGTTTAAATTAGACATATTTAAAAGAAACTTTTTTAACGGTAAAATAATCTGATCCAATACCTATTAGGAAGATTCGACAAGAATATAGGGGGAAAAAAATCAAGAACTGACCGAACTTAAGGAGAGGACTTAAAATGAAAAGAGAGAACTAAAATCTGATGCAGTCAAAAAAGCATCAAGCCACATACTAGGCATATCCAATGATATCAGAAATACACATGCAGTAGCACAAATTAATAGAAAATTAAATACCAATATTATTAGAAAATTTAATATAATATGAAGTAAGCCAACTTTATTTATTTGGCAATATAAAAATGTTTAACCATACACAAATTCAAATACCCTTTAGTTAAAAATGGCCAATTTAGTTGAGCCAAAAATATTATTGAGTTTTGCCCATCATTAACAATTTAAAAATGTTTAAATTGAAGTTGTGTATTTAATGAAAGAATTATCTTGGACACATTGCATGTCGTCCTCCATCCACAGGTAAACTCATCCCTGTGACAAAAGACGAGGAATCAGACGCAAGATAAGCTATTGCTTCTGCAACCTCAATAGCTTTCCCAGGACGACCGAGAGCATGAGTGGTTTTTGTCCGCTCAAGAAATGTTTTATACGCGACCTCATCCATTCCACTTCTTTTATGTAATTCTGTCAACGTTACACCAGGATTTACACAATTTACTCTTATACCTTTGGGCGCTAATTCAAGTGCGCTACAGCGTGTCAACTGATTTAATGCAGCTTTTGATACATTGTACGCAAGCGCACCGGGAAATGAACGTATTCCATTCACGCTTGAAACGTTTACAATAGAACCCTTCGTCTTTTCGAGATGTGGAAGGAAGAGTTGCATCAACTGAAACACAGATCTTGTGTTGATGTTCATTATATCATCAAAATCAGTGAGAGTCGTATTTTCAATTGTTCCTGATTTGATTATTCCAGCATTATTAACTAATATATTGACTTTCTCAAATCTTTTTGTCGTTTCATAAACTATTTTATCTATTCCATTTGAAGAGGTAACGTCTGCTACAACACTGATGACTTTCGATCCATTTTTTTCACATTCGTCAGCAGTTTTTTTCAAATTTTCTTCATTTCTCCCCACTAGACTCAAATCAGCTCCAAGTTTTGAAAATAATATGCTGGTTGCTCGTCCAATTCCTGAACTTGCTCCAGTTATTACACCGATCTTCCCAGATAATGATATCATATTTTTACACACACTGAAATTTTTAAATTCATATTAATATCAACTGTTTATAAACATTGCGAAATAATGCTAGTAGTTCTGTAGGTAATATATATTTTGAGTACACTTGGTGCAATATTTATTCTAATACACAGCTTAGAAAATGCTTAACTTCAATTCAACATGGAAAACAAGCAAGTTAATATCTGAATATGTATGTGAATGAATTATGTAACACATACTTCATTCTGTCATTGCTGCATTGGGAATCACTCACTAAAAACATGTACATTTACAAGGACTGTGTCAGTACGACTAAGAAAAAAGACCTATCACATCCAGTTTAAATATAATTTATTTGAACTCCATTATGGTGTTACAAAAAATGACAACAAACAGCAGGACTGGTATGGTTTAGTACCTCATGCACTTCTAGTTGGCCTGGCTCAACAATTTTTGCATATGTCATTCCTAACCCCCACCTGCTGCCCTGACTATGTAAGGCCAAAGACCTTAAAAAAAGACTACAAAATTGAGAAAAGACGTGGTAAGATAAATGTTCCAGTAAGAAAAAAATAGTATGCAACCAAATCAAACTAACTAATGGATAATAATTTTACGTTCATCGATTTTCGGTCATTCATTACTGCTTTGTTGTTTGTAACAACAAAAATGCATTTCAGCCATGTCTTTTATGAACATCTTTCGTAGTTTTACATCATCAGTATAATTTAGTTTGATACAATTTCCACCTTGTATTTTTGATTCCAAACAGAAGTTCATATTGTTCATTGTGTGGACTTGGTCTTTATCCGTCGTCTGATTCTTTTCTGAATTCGTACCATTGTTCCCTTATGCTGTGATACCGGTACCTTCATTACCATCTTTACTGTTGTTTTGTTGGGTGACCTTTAGCGATTTAGACTCCACATCAGAAGGCTTGCTATCCTTTGTTCGAGATCACCATTTCTTTTTTGCAAATAAGAACATGTTGGACGTTGTAGAAGACGATGAAGACATGACAAAATGACATCGATCCGATCCAGACGAGGCTTTTGCCTCCTCGTCTCTCCTTCGAGCACACGACTTGACTCCCAAATACCAACCCTCCTAAATATTCGATTGAAATCCTATATATACGGATATGTGTATGGTGATATCGATTCCATTACCGTTATTGATTCAAGTTTGGAATACTAATTACTATATATCATCGATCCAATTATATTTTTGGTTGTCATCTGTTCTTTAATTACAACGAGCCCTATATCAATCCAATTCATGAATTTGGGGAATCTTGCAATAAAAAATTCCCAGTTTTTTTATGCATTTCAGCTGAAATAACGAATTTATCCCTAAACATATGGAGAGAGAGAATTTATTATTTTGTCAACCGGAAAACACATAATATAAAATATAATAATAACAAAATAAGTGAAAGAAAAGTTTTCGGTATGACTGGGAGGTAACGATACGACCAGTTACGGTCATCTGAGTCAGTTACCACCCAATACAAGTAACACATGCAGACATGAATAAATACCTAAATTGACACCGGTTCTTTTTTATTTAACTCTCAGTTTATCTGTTTATAGAGAACTATTTACACTATTTACAAAACGAGGATAAATCTGATTAAAACGAGGATAAATTTTGGATTCATCTAATCAGGGTTGGGAATTTATTGTGAAAAATGACACATTTATACCAGTAACATAATGGGGCTTTTGTTTTAAATTAATTTAATGGTAGAAAAAGAGGAGTGCTTTTCCGAAATAGATACTTAATTCTAAATGAGCCTATATATGAGAATCAATTAGTACATCATTTTAACACTAAGAAAAAATAAAATAAAAAAATAATACTACAATAGTACATAAATAGACATATGCAAATTTAAGCAGATATAATTTGTTAAAGACAAAGATGAGACAGTTACAATAGTCCAGAAACCATTTCAATTTTTGCAATAGGACATCGCAGCATTGGCAATAAGTATAAGTTTAATCTCGCTTCCTATGGCCTCTCAATAAGACATGAAAACGTGTGCTTAACTGCACATTGAACCTCTACATTTTGACGCTAATAACTTAGCCTACTTATGACAAACAACTGCAATAAGCAAAAGCAGCAAGAGAGATCCAGATAACAGATAACAGATAACAGAGATCCAGATAAAAAGAGATCCAGATAACCAGAATGGCACACGTGCCTTTGTGAGGTACCGCACATCTGTCAATCAAAATTTCCACCGGATCCGGTTACTCGGTCTTGGAATGTATTTTTGTTCTACTTATATTTTTTGTCCCGTATTGTGCGAATATTTAACTAAAATTTAGATTTATTTATATGTACTTCTAATAAAATATTATCTTGTAAAAAAACGCAAGCAAGTCACTGTCCGCGGAAATGCATACACCCGCTCGAGGCGTTGAAAACAACTTTGTCTCACCCGAAATGGCCCCAAGGAGGCCGTGGTTATCTATCAATTTAACAGTGTTGATAGAATATGTAGTCATACTATGAAAACGTGATACAATCTTATAGGGGCAATTTATTTCGATATTCAATGTTGGCATTCACCATGAAATATCCGGAGAAGACCCGTTGTCATGAGCGAAATTATTCGTGCGGAACCAATGACGCTTCGTGCCTTCTAGATCCAAATAAAAAAAAAATTCAGGTTACTTCTATGAGTCAATTTTCATTCCTTCAATCATTAATCAGTCATTTTCTTTCGGCATAGCATAGCATAATAATTGATTAAACTGATAAATAAATTGAGAGAGCCATGAAGTATCCAAAAAGGTATCTAGTTTGAGCCGAAAGTTAGCCTCAGCCCCATTCTGCAATTTGTGCAAATATTTCTAGCTGCAGAGCAGCTGCTGCTAATACCATACTGTAATACAAAGCCTTGCTCAATTAAAGTAATGCGTCTTGGATTTTCTTGACCCCAGTGGCGATTTTTACTATTCAACTCCTGCTTTTGCGACTTGCGATTGAGGGAAGTGGATTTCAAAATATTGAGGATGTTGGGTTCAAATTCTGATTCCTAATCCTAACTGGTGTGTACGATGGAGAGCAGAAAGGATCATTTTGGAAGAAGTAGCCTAGCTCCCAATCAGTGTCCACTCGCACTGCGTTTTGTTAGAAATGAAGGTCCAGAAATGTAACGTAAAAATAGCTTTGCCGCCTTTTTTCCATTTTTTAAATAATCACCATGCCAAATTTTGTTCATATTTTTGTGCAGATCAGTCATTTTATAGTTGAGTCTATTTCTAACACCAAAATGTAATGAATATACTAACAGACTACAAAGATTTTAAAATAAAATAAACAACAAAATGGCGCTGAGTATTCTAACTCCATCGAATACTAATGAATCAGAATCTCCAGAGGATTTGTTGATGAATGAAGCAATAGGAGATGAGTATGAGAATCTGTTCCGACCTTCACTGGCTGATCGTCTGCAGGTCGGATTTCATATTAGAATAATACTTTTTATATTTATCGCAAGAGAGAAAAACTGATAAGACAGTTTAAGTTTATGGTGAATCATGTCCTCTGGTTTGGTTACCAGTCTATGTCGGGTTAGTTAGCCAGTTATTTGTATAACCGGACCCAAGGATTCCAGCAATCCATTACACATAGTTATCCTCCACAGATCCAAATCTAGCCGAGTAATTGCATTTGAAATTATTCATGATAATTCCAATTATATAGAATTTATCCGTGGTGGTAACCATATGGTGAACCACAGACTCTCGTCCAATTACTAGTTCATTCCGGGTATGGGATTAGTTAGCCCAGTTATTTCTGTATTTATTTTTTTCCATAAGCGTGGATTAACTATATTACGATGTAAATATGTATGTTCTATTCTTAGCCTTTCAATAGCTGTTCAATACTTATTGACTGCAACAAGATATCATACCCACAAACAAAATAAAAGATTATTCTATCTTCATTTTCAGATTGGGTTCATGCGAGCAGACAACGCCACTCAAACAGTTGAAACAGAAATCCTAGAATTGAAAACTCTAACAAAAACAGTTCAAGAACTTGTATCAGAAATGGAAACATTAAAACGAGATTCACATTTTCACAAACAATTCATAAAAGCGAAATACATTAAAGATCTTGAGGACACTGCACAAAGCTTACATTTTAAATTGCAAGAGAAGTAAGTAAAAATTGATATCTTAAAAACATAGGTTGGATTCCCAATCGAACATTGATGAAAACTTGATGTAAAATGTGTCTAAAAAGCATGAGTTGCGGAAACTGGCGACCCTAAGTATTGTAAGAATTACTGATTGAGTGTCATTTTAAAGTTTACTAAATGGACTAAATTTAGATTTTTTCAAGCAATTGTCGTTTTGAGGGCAAAATCTTCTTCATAAAGGCGCAAATATTGTGTTTTAGTCTGATATGATATATAAAAATGTTGTTTATGCCTTCCCTTTCCCTGGGATAAATATGAAAAAATTATATAAACAAATTCTTACACAAGATTTTATCTATTTTCAGAATTGTAGAAATGGAAAGAATCCATGAGGAAAGAGTGAGTGTAGTTCGGCGCAGTTTTAAACAACAATTACAAGATGCTCTCGTTAAAATGTCAATCAAATACAAGAAATATTATGATGAAAAACTCGGGGGCAAACTTGTCCCTACAACGCCATCCGGTACTGGTAGAAACAAGGTTTTAGCCCTGGAAGCTGAATTACAAAGAAACCAATCAATTATTCAAATGATGGAGGTAAGGAATAGAATGGAATGGCTTGCTTGTTGGCGTTAGGTCTGTTAAGTCAAGGTTTGGCATGTTTTCCACGTCAAGTCATCCAGGGTGTCAATAAAGTTCCTTCACAATTTTAATTTTAATATGAAGTCAGTTCTCAATATATCTTAACCTGTTTGTTGTTTTTCAATAAGTTGTGGTTTACGTATTTTTACTTCATTCAATACATCTGTGAGGGCCAAAACAATATATAGTATCGATAAATTCTTTTTGCAATTTTTAAAAATTTTGAGACTTATGGACACCCTATATATCTAAACCTGACCGAGTCATAATTCTGAAATTACCGGAGGTAATTTATTTCTTTACTATGCTGAAAAAAATATGCACTATACAAACACAAATTAATAAATGAAAGTATAGAGAAACCAATACCGGTTATTGGTGACAGAGTTGGATACACAGACATTCAATGGTATTAATCAAAGTCAAATTATTCTACTCGAAAACAATAAGCATTAAGTCTAACTAGCATTTTATCAAAGAAGGAGTTTGTAGTTTTATAAGCCTGGAGTAAGGATAGGATTTACATATTTATCTCGAGAACAAGGAAAGACGATAAGACGGCTTAATTATATGGCGAACCACGGTTCATCGTCTGGTTACCAGTTCAAGTCTGGAATGGGATTGGTTAGCCAGTTATTTGTTTTCACATGCATTAACTTAAAGCCAAAGTTGAAGTCCAGAAGAACCAAGAATATTAAAAACTCAATGGACAAAATTTTTCTTAAACAGAAATCGGATGATAGTTATTTTTATACCAAGCTTGCAAGCATAGGTCTTAAAACAGATTTATAACTATGTTTTATGAAAATTCGAATAAAAGTTTATTATTAAAGTACCGGTAAATAGCTCAAACAGACAGACCCTATGATCAACATATCATCACGGACAGACTTCACAGCTGAATGAACAGTATTTATACAAGTGACCAGTTAGGGATACATTGAAATAATGACATGACAGTAATGATTACTGTGAACAAAAACATAAGATTTATGAAAAACTATTAAATTATCATTTAACACTGATCTTTGTTTCTTTAGGTGCAAATGGAAGAATTGAGGAACGAACTTGCCTCAAAGCCAGAAGTTACTGAAATTGTAATGGATACTGCTGAATTAGATGCTGCACTGGCACAGAATGAAGCTTTACAGGTAATTTTTTTTCTCTTGTATGAATTTGAGAAAAGAGATTGAGTAAGAAAGGGTTTATTTGATATGTAGATTGTCGAACGAGAAACACAATGCACACATATAAAGGGTGTCCCAAAATAAATGAACCCATTGATCTGATCACCATTTATTATCAAAACAAAAGACGTTAAGAAGTTAACATTTTCTGCGAGATCATATAATAACAATGGGGTACTGAGAGTTTTGGGGGCCTTTGGCTAGATCTGAAGGTTCATTTGAAAATAAAGTTTTCGCAGAAGTTTATATAAATATAAGAAAAGAGATTGTGAGAGAGGTTTATTTCATATGTTTATCGTCGAACCAGAAGCACATAAAAATAAATAAACAAACCAAATGTTCTGGTAAATTTATGAGTGTTAGCAGTACAACCGTATGATACAAGGTTTTACGAGGGTCGTCAATATATGTTACCACCCTTGTCTTAACAACATTGACACTGAGGGAATTCGGGGCGACTTCATTTTGAATTTTATTTTCATTACTTCTCACCCCCGATATTAATAATATGCAACCCTAAATCAAGTGATTGCAATTTTTGCAAAAGTTTTTATGTGTATCATTTAGTTCGGGGGAGGGCAATTACTTTTCTAGGTGGGCCAGTTACTCATAATATATTTGGTTTCTGGGCCAGAGGCTCAAAACTTAATATGAAAAAGTACCGGTATGCCTAAAAAACAGTTTATTTACAAAAGCTAGTCCAACAGGCGGAACAGCTAGGCTAACGTTTATATAGTAATAAGAAGCACAGCGTAACGATTGAGTCATGATGTTATTTTTATCGGTATTTTCAACGAAATTTATGTCCATGAAAACTATAGTTGTAATTTCAGCAGAAACAAGGGGGTCGTATGAAACACTCTGGTTTTCAACCTTTTTTATCTCATGCCCAATTTATATGAGAAATTTATTCCTTGATCCAAATAAAAAAAATTTGGTTTGGCAGTAGCTAAAATAACTCGCTTTGCTTCGAGTAAACTTCTTCCATCAAAACATTTAATTTTCAGTCGGAAATATCTCAATTAACAAGTCGAGTTGATGAACTTCAAGATTCGGTCGAACTCAGAGAGGACAAAATAAAAAATCTGAAAATGAACGTTGAAGATCAAAGGGCTGAAACAGAAAAGGTATCAAGATTTTGTAATAATTATTTTCTATTCAAAAATGAAAATAGAAAAATGAGTTTTTGAAAAGTCTTGCCATGCTCCAGGAATCTCAAAAATAGTTTTCTATATTTTTCAAACATTTCATTGCTAGACTGAGAAATAATCAGCTCCAAGAAATTATGATTGAATTAAGACAATGGTACTCCGTAGTATGTGTACCAGGTTAGGGTCAGGCCATAATTTTATTCCGATTTTCCATATTTTGGTTCTATTACGAGTTCTGGGACTGTTTGTGTTAGCCAAGTGAATATACCCCTGCCCATAGGTTTCAGTCCCTTCACACAATTTGATGTAAGAAAGGCGAAAAAAATTAGTTACCTCCATACTGGTACACACACTTCTGGAGCGCCGTTTTGTACTTCTTGAAAATTTATCGCTAGACTCAGAGTTATATAGGTCCAAGATATTACGATTGAATTAAGATGATATTAAATTTTCATAAAGTAAGTTGTCTGGTCAGACCCCGGTCAGACAAAACGTTACAGAAATACATTTGTGTTAGTGTGCAGCAAGACTCTTGAATCAAATAGTAAAGTAAGTTATAGTATGGATATTTTTTGTTGTGAGGTCTTTCACTGTATTCCGAGCGAGTCAAATTTTAAACTTTTTCAAAGGAAAAAGAAACTTCTCGCAAACTTGCTAAGAAATTAGAAGATCTCAAGAAAGAACTCGAGAAGAATCAAAACGAATGGAAAAAAGACGTCGATAAAATGAAAAACTCGATGCAAGAAAATATGGCCGATGAAATGAAGAAACTGATGGATGCTCAAAAAGCAATGCTCGCGGTGGGTATAAGTATAAGTTTATTTCGATTTCATAGTCAGCATAATAGATGATAAAATAATTGATAAGAACAAAACGAGAATATCCGTCAGAGACCGAAGACTTATCGATCGAAAGTTAGGGGATCCCCAAAACAGCGCTTATACTCCATAGTGACACCTTGTGTCCCATCACTAATTAATTAATAACTCGCTAATTATACGACATAATTCGCCCAAAATCATGGGGCTTCTGGTCCGAGATAAGATGAATGCACATGCAAAATCTGGAGCAGATTTAATCTCGCTTTCAAGAGATATTGCGTGCATCTAACAGACAAACAAACAGACAGACAGACAAATACCTATCAACATACTTACCGATTAAAATCAATAAATAATAAATAAAACTGAATATAAAATGCGCAGATTTTGGATGGAAAAGTTTTCTGAAATAAAGTACCAGTAGTACGTGTTCGCTCACCCAAATGAGAACATAGTTAACTTATAATAACAGCTTAACAGACATATATTATTGTATCGCTCCCAAGCGCAAATCCCAATTATGCAGTATCTCATCATGTTTTTTACTTACTTATCGATCTTAAGATCGGTCAGCATGTTGATAGGTATTTGTCTGTCTGTGTGTTTGTCTGTCTGTCAGATGCACGCGATATCTCACGAAGGCGTGGTTGAATCAACTCCAAATTTTGCATGTGCGTTCATCGGTGACCGTACATTTGAACCCATGTACATTTGAACCCATGCGTATATCCACGGGTTCAATCTATATGCGGGTGCTAAAACCCATGGGTTAGGGTTAGTATGGGTTTAACTATCCGTGAAACAAAAAAAATTCCATAGGTGCAATAGCATACAGGTGCAATTGTCATGGGTTCAAATGTACGTGGGTTCAAATGTAATGGAACCGCGTTCATCATATCTCCGACCAGAAAGAAGCCTATTGATTTTGGATGAATTATGTCGTATAATTAGCGCGTTATTAATTAATTAGTGATGGGACACGCGGTGTCACTATAGAGTCATGATTCGAAACCGCAGTTTCGATCGATAAGTCTTCGGTCTCCGATCGATATTCTCGTATTCTATGTCACAAAGTGAGTTTTCCTATGTACTTTTATTTCTCATTTCAAACCTCACTTCAAGTTTTGACAAATAACCTGAATTTTCATCTTATATGTGTGTTATTAGCTTAAGCTTATTAGCTCATAACTCATCACCTCATTTAAAGTCTTGGAAATTTTTTTCCTTCCGGTTTATATACCATGCCAAAATTAGAAACTTCTTATTGCATTCCACAGGACCAAGAAAAAATAGAAAAACAAGCTGAAATGGAGAAGCAAAGACTTCTGGAAGAAGAAAGAAAGAAATATGAAAGGATGTTGGCGAAGGTAAACAAGAGAAAAGTTGATCAAGATGGCACTCGCGCTGTCATAACCTCACTTTAAGGGCTTTAACTCAAAAGTCAATAAGTCTTGAAAAAAAAAATTATTTGAGAAAACGAGGAGAATATTTGAAATTGATATACAAACATCGTTGGCTTTTTAAAAGAAATAATTTGATAAATATGGCTTCAACATTTGATTAGAAAGCCGACTTGAAAAGTAGCCAAGTTGTTTTGTTGAGAATATTACGAATTTTATCGTAATTTGCAATTATATCTGTCAGTAATGTAATCTATGTTTTGATCAGCGTTGACAATATGTTAGTACAAAACACTAAGTAGCAACCATCATTACCTTCACCTTTTATTCCAGGAAAGAGAAGCCGTTGAGAAACATAAACGTGAAGTTCAAGAAACCAAATCAGTCGAGCTGATTCTTCAACAACAACAAAGTGAAGTCTCTGTTCTAAAGTGAGATTTATGTACATTTTATTTACAAGGATCTGATCAAGAATGCATTAATGTAGGGGCATGCAACCTGCGAAACACAAGGAAAAATTGCGCTACCCGCGGGAAAGTGTCAATTTTGGATCATGTATGACCAGCGAAACGAGTTCTTAATTTAGTTTAATCTGGCACATGCGAGTAATTCCAGATCCTTTGACTATGACGTTGAAATACCATACCAGTTGCTTGTCCAAAGCGAACAACGCACGTTATTAGATCAATACCCAAATATTTTGTGCTTGCAACTACTAGAAAGCCTATGTTGAATAAAAGTACAGCCCGTGGTTTTACACTGTTATTTGTATTAGAAGTTGCACACCCCTGCATTAGGCCATTGCACCTATGTCTATATATATCTCTTTGGGAGTGGAAAGGTAACAAATTGGTTTAATTGTATGTCATTTGGGTGTCGCTGCTCGATAACCGGCGCAGCGGTGTGGCTAATCGTGCTAAGCGTTAGGAATACGCTCGCCACCGCACCTCTAATTACTCTCCGTGGGTTCGAATCCCATGCGGGATGGTTATGTGCGAGAGGATTGCTGAACTCCTCGCCGCCATAGGGTTGGTTCACGTAACCGCTGGTCGGTTACGGCTTACTCCACCATTAAGTCCATGCTTCCGAAAAAAAAGTAACTAACTAATCCCATACTCGACATGGAATGGTAACCGGACGAGAGGCCGTGGTTCGCATATGGATAAGCCGTCTTATCGCCTTTCCTCTCTCCTGGGATAAATATGTAAATCCTATCCTAACCAGCTTTGTCTCCCTGTGGCTTCCCTTCCCATTAAATATCAGTACGTGGACTTGCATGGTGGAGGAAGCTCTAATTGACAAGCTGTTATGTGAACCGCTAATCATTTTATCAGCTTTTCTTTACCCAGATTTAGAAATATAAACTAATCTGAGGTCGTTTTTTCAGATCTCGGTTACAGCGGACTCAAAAACAATGGGAGAAAAAGTTCTCAGTTTTGCGATCGAGTCTCCATGCTTTGAAAGATGAAAGCTACATTCGTCAGCAACTACAGAAACAATCCGCTTCTTTAAAATATGCTTCGATAAGTTACGGAACTGACAATATGGTCGCGCCTCACCAGTCAGCTGTCCCGCCCCCTGCTGCAGGGCCATTGAACCCTAATAAACCTCTGGTATGAAATATATATTTAGGATTTTTCTTTTTTTTATTTGGTAACTGATTTGCTGTAATTTCTCACCTATTTATAAATGGGAGACACTAAATGAATTTAAGATGACTGCTGACAAAAAATTTTAATTCAGGCCAGTTACTAAAGCTATTTTCTCAGTAAGAAACATAGGGTAATTAGGGTAGGTAAAAAAATGGACAGTGTAATTTTGTTGTTTTGTATCTTTCTATAAACTTTTTATTTGATAACTTGATAACTGCTTTTTTCTGAATATTTACTCAAACATAGACAAAGTGTCTTAAAGCATTGCAACTTTAATTATGATTCTTAAACAAGAGAGCTATGCTCAAATATATGGACACGTAGCGCCACCCAGTGGCAATAATTTTGATGACGTCATAGCGAAAAAAAAAAGTAATAGCCTTCTGGAGAAAAATTTTATCTTTAACCACTGAAAATATCAAAGCAATTGGTCCAGTAATCGAAGAGAAAAGCGATTTTTTAAAAATGGAGACGGAGACAAATAATAACAATAACAACAAAATTTTGAAACGATCGTTATGGCCACTAAACGTGTCCAATAAAGCACCGTGGCACCAAAGGACGAGCATATCAAATGTCGCAGTGTAATATTCACATTATTGGGTTTCATATACAACCCCGGTAATGAAAGTCGATAATAAGGCTTAATAATATGACAGGCCACGGCCCCTCGTCAGATTATCGGAAAGTCGAAAGCAACCAGGGGTTACTTGAACAAACCTAAAGCAGCGCGGAGTCCAGCTGTCTTCTAACAGGATTTGATTTTGCTAGCCAGTGCAGGATAATCAGAGCTGAAATAGCAGACATATCCCTAACGCCCACCACGGTGCATCAACCCCCGAACAACTGTGCTGAGTGATGGTTTCTAGAGTTCGGCACACAAAATACCATGCATTGAATTTTTCCTAAGTGATTCAGCACGAGTCTTGCTGCACACTACTATTGAATCACTTAGGACCTTCACTTTTGTTGCTACAGCATTCTTGCATTATATGCATACAGATCCATTGGCACGAAGGCATAGAAGAAGAATAAGTAATTAGTCTCGCAGAAACCTACTCATTAGCACATTGGAATCTTTGATTAATATGTTATCTAACCCGAATTATACTATTTCAGCCTGCAATACGAGGTGGCTCAGGCAAGAGGCCTCCACTTCCAACAAATACCTTACCAAGCGGACCAGGAACAGAAATCTTCACTACAGGTTAGTATGCAGATAGAATAGGATTAACATATTTATTTCGTGAAAGAGAAAAGTCGCTAAGACGGCCTAATCATATGACGAACAATGGCCTCTTGTCCAGTTACCAGTCCAGGTCAGGTATGGAATTAGTTGGCCAGTTAATTGTTTCAGATGCATGGACTTGATGGTAGAGAAGGCCATAACCAGCGGCAGCAAGAAGGAGTCTAGCAATCCTCTTGCACATATTCATCTCAGCAAGGGAATCGAACATGCGAACCCATGCAGGGTAATCAGAGGTGCGGTGGCGAGCATATTCCTAACGCTTAGCACAACGCGCCATTTGCTGAAATTAATCTTTTGATGTTTTACCATTATAAGACTGGGACACTCAAACTGTTACAAGAATTGTGGTAAAAAATGTCATGTCCCACACCTCTAACAAGTGATGCAACTATTCAAGTATGGAACGTGTACAAAATGTCATATGAAGATGCGCCAGCGTGGTATATCAGTGTTTCCTTACCTATGGGTGGCGAAATAAAAACTGGGTCGCCTGGGAATATTTTTGGGTCGCTTGGTTTTTCAAAAATATAAAGTAGAAGTTACCAATTTAATTTTTTAGTAACTTTTATCGTTTATTTTAAATTTCGTTTTGAAGTGTTGCTTAATAGTAATTGTATATGTGGGAAGTATAACAGCGTATAAAACAGCAGCATATATTTTATTTTTTTAAGTTAAACCATGCCACGTTTCCAGGAACTCGCCGAAGGCAAACGAGCATAGCTTTTCTTACTTCGTTTTATATCAGTCATTCTATTTTACGGCCAGACAAGTACTACATGCTATTCAGTATTTGAGCATATCCTTGGATCACAAGATTCTACAAAATTTATTTTTTGGAAAATTTTGGTCGCTTGGAAAATAAGTTGGGAAACATTACTCAAACATTGTATCAAATTTGAAAAAAAAATAAATAAAAGTAAAAGCCTTCTGAAGACACACACATAGATCCACTTTGTGTTCAATAACAGTCTTGATCTTCTAACACAGGAGCAGTAGACTCAGGAGATGAGCAAGAAATAGCTGAATACACTGACGGTTTCGTTCCGTTACCAAGCCCTCCCCATTGGCAGAGACATCAGTTTGGAGAATACATGCCCAGTATACAACAACCTGTGAACTTCTCATAACTTTTTTTTTTAATTTTACAATTTTTTTCCATTTTCCCACCTTGACTAGTAGTTATCTAAGTTTAAAAATCCATGGTCCCTTTTCAAAGTCTTCCCAACAAAACTAATTTTGTTTAACAGGTTTTCTTCATTTATTTTAGTGAAGTAAAATATAAAGTGCATTACGATCAAAGAATGAAAATTTTGACAGTTGATTACTTTTTATCAATTTGGTCCTCACAAATATAAGTTAAGGGCTTTGCTTGTGCCCCCAACAAAATGTTCTGTTGCCTTCTTAAGGGCCGCGAGCCCGGTTTGAGAGATCATTAAACAAAATAGAGTAGAAACTGGAATAACTGATAATAACTCTCTAACAGTACAGCCCAGTACAGTTTTGCCCCAGTACCTGTACTTATACAATATAGGAATTATATATATTTGAAAATAGCAGTTTTTATGCTTCGACATTGGCAATAATTTGGAGAGGCAAAATTTTGTTCTCCACCAAAAAAACAAATTGTATTAGGGTGTCACATTTTTATACTATGACATCACATTTAATTTGTTCATTTTGTTCTTAGTACTGGATACACCCTCATTTAGATCCCAAATTCTCCATTTACGACCACTTAATTTATCCAGAATCGATTCAGGGCAATACATGACATGGGCTGGGTTCACTCACTCATGTATAATATTTCATGAGATTAAGACCAACGAAGAATGAATACCTTTATTTGTTTGTTCGTCTAGTTATGATAAAAAATATATTGACAATTACTAGTATTAGAAACGGGATGCATACACAAGAACGCATTGTTTCTAAATATAGCAGGCTTAGTCCGATGCAAGAACTAGATTCGTATTTTATATCAATTCCACTTCTCTCTCAAACGGAATGGTCATTGCTGACGCAAATTGACGCCATTGGTCCCAGTTCTGCTACATCTTGAGGTCCGCTATGTTCTTTACATTGTCTGACATCCTTGTTTTGGGTGGTTCATGTGCCAGGCGTGGTGCTAAAGAGCAGATCTTTTGTCAGACCGATCGTTCTTGCAATGTGTCCCAATGTGCATTCTACTTCAAATGCTATAATTTTGACTCTCTACTTCAACTGGTGTCGCCAAAGTGCTAGTTAGAACTATTCTACTCATTATTGTAACACGTGAACTATTCCACATAGATTAATTTTACAAAAGTCTTCCTCACTTAGTGCGAATATGTATTTTACTGTGATATTGCTTCTTCAATCGGTTCCTACTAATTTTACCTTATTCCCTGTGAAATTACATTTTCAATAGCTATAATTTTTATACATTTTGAGAATGAAATATATTTTTTATTTAGTCTTCCGAAATTCAATTCTATATTTCTAACAAATTCAGATATATGTACTTTCATACGAGTAACTTTATGAAAAATAAAATTCATGACCAAACGCAAGTTTTGGTTTTTCATCTCCAGAAAGCTGTAATAGTGTTATAGCCTAGAGTTGCCATACCGTCCGGAAAATTCCGGTCATGTCCGGAATTTAGGGTTAAATTTTGCCTCCGGGAAGATTTTAAAAAATGCTCAAATGTCCGGAATCCGAAATTTTACTGCATCTGCAATCGTACTGTGCACACTGCTAATAAAGAACATTGTTATTTCGTACCGTGCGCATATTTTTTACTACGAGGTCATGAAAATAGTCATGCACTGTCCGGAATTTTGCTTTTTCAAATATGGTGACCCTATATAGCCTATATTTAATGGCGCTTTAAATCTGTACTACAGTATTTTTTGATCGAGCAGCGACTCTGACATGTAGTTGATTTGGGGCTTCCCGCCGCCATCGTAGCTCAGCCCATACATATGGGTTAGTTAGATATTCACATCAGTGCTTCCCGCCGAACAGGCATAGCCAGAGTGGGCGAGGCGCCATGCCTGCTTTCATTTTCCTTTGTTCGAAGCAAAACAAATTACGTCATTGAACAAAAAAAAAAAATTGGCTCCTTCCAAAATTTGGGCTGACTACACTCTTTATTCCCAACCTTTTTCATACATTTTCCCCCTTTCGTATTCTGGATCGATTCAATCCCCCTAAATATGCATGAAAACTTTTAATTATAATTTCAACAATTAAAGAACCCTTAGCTTCCGCACAGTTTGAAAATTGCGTAATGTGTCCATAAATATGTATTACGATAATAGTAAAGGTACACTAATATGAAAACAAATATGAGTAAAACTACACTATAGACGAGGCGTCATTTTCGGCGCTCCCGTAGTATGGCGCACAACCTGAACCCTAACCTAGTACACATACTTCGTTCAGGTTGTGCGCCATCTTGGTGCACATACTACGGGAACACCATATTTTCTCCCCGAAAACAACAAAATTCTTCCCCGTTTGAGCAACGCTACTATATTGATATGGATCGCTAACTGAATTAGTGAAATTGACGATGAGGCCGTTTTATTGTCTTTCATACCCATGTAGTTTTTTTCATTATTTGAATGCGAGTGATTCACGAAATATCAATCATTGTATTCCCTCGTAATTACATGAAAAATAAATGTGCAAACAGTGTACCGGAAGTGCAGATATATCTGGAAATATATCATCACCTAAAGTTAAAAACGCACCCACCTACCAACCAAAACAATGGGATTGCACAATATTGAGATCGGGCAAAACTTCTTAAATAATTTAAAATAAGAATAAACGAAACAATTGAATAGATATTTCCTATTCGGCTTTGCCTACTCAATTTATTACACCATGGGATTAGAACCTCAGATGTGCAATCTGTGACCTTATTCCGAGTAAATTCTGTAAACAACAATTTCGCTTTGAACAAAATTAGCTGAACGTATAATCTGCATATTCATCTAGTTTGCATGGGTTTGTAAACATTTGTTCATTCGAATGTATCCATTTGTTGGCCACCCATTTTATCCCGTTAAGTACGGGACACGCAGCGTGGCGAGTTCTTTCATCACATTCTCCCGATGTTAAAATATTGAACCAAAAGATGGCGCTCCCTTTGATTGGTTCAACATAAAGTTTTTGCGGCAAAAATACAGTCGCGCCGCCATATTTTACGTTTGTTAAATACAGCAAAACAGTTGCAATTCTCGGACCATTATCTCTTTCTATATCCGTTTGCTCATGAGCGCGAAGATAGTCGACGTGAGGAAGAAAATGCCCCCCAATACCATAATTCGACAGCTGTAGCGGTTCGGCTGTTTTTATTCCGAGTCCAGTTATGGCTGACATCCTCTCACTTAACTTCTGAACAACTTGGTGTTTTCTGTCTGTGAGCCATGCAGTTTTCCCTACCCTATGTTTCGCAGGCTTTTTACCGTTTTCGCCAAGCTCCTCGTTCAGGATAGTAGCTCTTTTAAGTTTTGGTTTCGCAAGTTTTTTAATAATGTCACTCTCTTTATCGGATATAATATCATAGAAACGAACAATTGACGGTGACTTCCAGAGTTCCTCCATTTTGATTGGCTGAACACGCATAAAAGGATGATTATTATGCCACAAATAACATTTTAAATTTTTTGTTACGTCACTCGGAACAGGATCACCACCATCTCGACAAAGTCGTTCGTACAATGCTTGTCGTTCCGTTTTGTCTTCTGGGCCCATCACTGCCCCTCCTTGGGTGCCATCTTTGGTAAGGTCGTCAACTTGCTGACTAAGAAGAGCAAAATTCGCTAGTAACCTAGCGTTATCAGGTTCTGCAGTTAAAAGTTCTCTCGTTAAAGAAAAAGCTCTTTCAAAGTTTCCAAGCTCTGATTGTGCGTATGCTAAATAGTCGGAAACTTCAAACCTAAAAATATGAGATTATCATTAATAAGGTAAAATACATAACGTATTACTGCACAAATTCAACTATGTACAACCGATATAATTAGTTGGAGCATCAAACTCGGCTCTGAACACAGTTTTATAGAAATATCATTCAAAACAGTATTTTTATAAACGTAGTGGGTTGTTTGATAAAATTGATTGTCATTCATCAGAGCGCCGTAACTAATATGAAAACTTACTTCATGTGCGATTGTCTTCAGATAAATATATTGCGTGATCCCTAAACATTTCTTTATTACTTTTAGAAATATTTATTTAACACGTTAACTCCTGTTTGTTTATGATTGTACCCAAAAGTTTCAGCAATTCGGGACGCTTTGCACAAGAGTTATGTTCTCTCTAGATTATAATATATTCTAAGGGTTCTGTTTTTGGGCGCTCTTCTCGTAGCTTACCATCCACGTGATGTATCCCCCTCCCACACCCTGTTGTATGCTTCTTCCATCCACGACGCGCAGCCATAGAAGTCTTTGTCAAGGTAAGCTGCTTCACCAATCTGGTAACAGTCATCCGCTGATAGCGACCTACCGGCATTTGCATCCTTAACGATCCCTTTTGCCAGTTGCTGGATGTCTAGTTTGTAAGTAACCTGAATTGAAATTAGTGTGTTGAGGTAGAAATAATTTGGTATGAACAAATACATGTTGTATTAGAGCAGGGGTCGGCAAACTACGGCCGGCCTGCGAAGCAATATTATCCGGCCCGCGACGCTTCACTGAATTACATTTTAACAAAACAGCTGTATTGACCATTATATTCTCTACGACTTACGTGACAGAATTTGTTTTGAGACACTAAATTATATTATGGCCTAACAAATATATAATTCACAATCACTCGTTTAATGAGCCTATGAATTAGACAAATGGCAACAGAACGTAAAAAAGTTGATGCTGAGTGCAAATGGTTTCGCAGAAAATATTCAAATGATCAGTCTTAGCGAAATGATTAAAATTGAACTGAAATCTGTGTGAAAAAGTGTGATTCATTGACCATTCTTTCGGTTTTTAACTTTCTAAAAATATGTGCGGCCCGCCAATGACTTGCAAACTTTATTTTTGGTCCGCGAACGACAAAAGTATGCCGACCTATGTATTAGAATATTCTGTGCGCAAAGGTTGGTTATTGTCTTGACGCTCTTTCAAGAAGATATCAGACAAAATATATAACTTGGTAAGTTTTGCAGTAGGATGATGAAGAAGGCTTTTTTATCTTGGTAACATGGGCCTCATTTCCGATAAAATTGTCAAGAAGTTAGAGTTATGTTAATATGCAGGTTCTGCCGATTAAATATATTCGACTTTTCTGATAAGCTAACGGTACCAGAGCAAGCAAGGAACGATGCGTTACATGTGAAAGTCCTTGCCTCTGAAAACAAATAAAATAACCGGCTAACTAATCTCATAACGGGCATGGACATTTAATCGGACGAGGGGCCGTGGTTCGCCATATGATTAAGCTGTATTATCAACTTTCTGCTCCCCTGGGATGAATATGCAAAACCTATTCTATCTTGCGGGGAAGCAAGGAATTCGATATACTGTACCAATTTTCTGTGTGCAAAAGGCAATGATCACATCTGGCAGCTTACCTGCAATCTTCTCAGCGCAGTCGCACTTTCTTTAATGTCTTCTTTGTCCGGAATATTCGACCTAATCGTTGATAAATGATCAGCAAATGTCCTATTTCTATCAATTAAATCTTCTATCAATTCAAACCCCATTATCAGACGTTTAAGTAGCAGATATTGATTGACAGGATGACCTGCAAACAAAATAAAACATTTTGTAAAATGAAATGTGTGATCCTTTGATTGAAATTTCAGCTTAAGTAACGTATAATTTTCCATTTAGTCACAGTGGTTCTCGAACTTTTTAAGTCGCACCCCACTTCAAAAAGTCCTTGAGGTGCGCGCGTCACTGTTTGAAAACCACTGGTTTAATAGTTTGTAAGTAAACATGGTTCAATAATATGTTTAGCAGTACTGGGTAAAAGACCCTGAACTCTTTCATAATGTGAAAAGGCATTTTCTGTATCCGACAAGCAACCTAAATCTAGATTTAGAGCGGCAATATAAAATACTAAAAATTGAACAGAAACAAGTTATGATTTAAACGGCTCGCGACAGATTAAATCTTTAAAAACAGAGCTAAGTCAGTGTTGCAGGAGCAGATCAGATTTGTCGAATTCACGAAATCGCAAAACACGAATAAAAATAATCTGGCACGTTACTTCACATTTTAATGTCCGCGGAATGCGGTGGTATTTCATAATTGTAATGCTTATATTTTATCAAAGCAGCCGCGGGTGAGGTTGGAAACAACAAGACATTTCAATCTGCCCGTATCAATGCATTTTGAATATATCCGTATTGCAAAAATAGACATAGTATATAAAGTATATATATTCCGGCAGTTTATCTCACATTTTTAAATCCGCAGATAGCCGTGGTATTTTAGAGCAGACTTTTAAGCTCGCCTTCCAATGCATTACAATTTCCGCGAACCTTGTTCACCTTAAAAATGCTACGATGACAGCAAAGTTATATGAATCACGATGTTTGGCCACCAAGGCATGGTCCTAATTCCGCATTGTTACTCACTTTTCACCATTAATGACAAAATTGGCATTGTTATGCAAGCGTTCCGTTTCTCTGATCTAATGTATTGTCTCGAAATCGCCAGATTTATGTTTTAAACTAGTTTTATTAAATGTGCTTTGAATAAAAATTCTAACAGAATGCAATAGATATAGTACCTATTTATATACTTACTTATATATAGTACGTATTTAAATATGTAATAAAATACAATAAAACGCGTAATTGGCTCTACTTAGTCCGACCCGCCACTGCATTTTGAATATTCAATGTGGCCCGATACCAAAACTAATTGCCCAGCCCTGCGCTAGCTAACTGATATACGGTCTAACTTGGCGATTAGAAATATCAGGAACCCGTAAGTTTTTTTCATTTAATGGCTCTCAAACTCATTAAGTTGCTCCCCTTATTAGAATTTGGCAAGTTTCGCGCCCCACCTAAAAATAACTATCTAACAATAGGCTACAAATAACAGATAGTAAGGCGAAAGTATGTTTTATTCGAAAACGACGTTGAAAATACGTGTACATAATAAAGAAATATAAACAATAAAGAAATGTAGATATCCAGACAAGGCGGGCAAAATCGAATCTAACAAATAAATTTATTTCAAATTAGCATCACGACTTCTCAAAAAATTGTTTACGCCCTCCTTGTGGGGGATTCCCCACCATTTAGGAACTACTGATTTGGATCTTTGATATATGGCGAATCCAACTCGCGTAAAGCCAATGACCCAAGCATCGTAAACACCAACTATATGAGACGCATTCGCATTAGATACTTTGGTGCTCCCGAAGTATTCGTACCAAAATGGCGTACAACCTGAACATAGTATGCGAACCAGGTTAGGGTTGTTCAGGTTGTGCGTCATCTTGATACGAATACTTCCAGAGCGCTGATATTTTGGCAAAAGAAACTAAGTTAAATTATGTATGTCTGAAGAAGTCTGACCTTGGTCAGACAAAACGTTATAAAATATATTTGTGTTATTGTGCAGCAAGACTCTTAAATCACTTAGGATTGTTATCTCTACTCTTGCTACAGCATCCTTGCAATATATGCATACGGATCCACCGACACAAGAAACCAAATACCGCACCGCAGAAACCAAATATTCAATATATTACCAAGATATTTTTCAACATCAACAGCCGCTCCTTCCGCTTCCGCGTTCAATCTATCGACGACAAATTTGACCCTTGCTAGCTTCTTTTCTCGACTAGCAATGTATTCCTCGATATTTTTCACCAGGCCTAATTCCTCGTGCATAAGATCTTCCATTTGTACAACAGATGAATGCCAGTGTCCATGGCTCACTTGTGATAATACGAAAATTATTGCTAGTGGAGTGTACATTAGCTTATCTGAATTGTCTGTTGCAAATACTGTGACATAAAATTGTTTAGACTGAATAAAAAAAAACAAATTGAAATGTTTGACGATACATTCGACTAGTTGATTTCACCAAATCAGATCAATGCATGTAATAAACTGAGCATATTACCTCTGTAAAAACCATGAATCAAGTTCTCAGTATGTAAATCTCTATATTCTCGATCAGTAAAAGAACGAAAAGTTTTCATGGTAAAATGTTTCAATTAAATAATTTCAAATTGAAAATAATTAAAACTGGTATTTTTACTTAAATAATACCTTTCTTTATAATAATAAAAGCATCTCAATTCAATAACTGTCTTTAAAAATTGTCGGTCAATGTACGTAAACTTTGCCATGGGCGCCATTTTACGTAGATACGCCCTTGCCCTCAATACACATTCCGCCTGTACATTACGCTGATAATTATAATTAACCAAATACTAATTTGGAGGCCCGAATAAAACTAGCTGTATTTAGAAATAAATCCTCGACTAGATAAAGTAATTAAATGTACCGTCTGCCACGAGAATTCGACGTTTGAGGTGATCCGAGCTTTGTTTATATTTTATGGTTGATTTGTGTAGCCGCGGGCACGTTAGTTTTATGATAGGAAAGACTATGTCTGCATACAGAGTTTGAAAAACTAATTTTATGTTGCGGAGTTGTATCTACATCGTGCAAACTGAAGCAAAAAATCAAATCACTTTTTGTTGTCATATTTGTTTTGTCAATCAATTTTTGTATTTTTTGTTGCGATATCTGTCTTGGAAAATGGTCGGAAAAGAATTAGTTCCATAATGGTATTGCTGTTTTCAGAATAAACACATTGAATAGTTCAGAATCTCTGTTTAAATTTGTAATTTGCACGTTTTATATATTGAACGCTTTGTGCGTGTTTTTTTTTTAAATTTTTGCTTGCATTCCAAATTGCTCGAACCTAAATAGTAAAATAATTCTTGAATACAAGGTTCACATTCTTGCTTCATTAATTAATCGGACGTTTCTACATAAAACAATGTACCACAGCAGTAGGCTACAAATCTTGTGATACTGCCCTAATGATAATGTATTTCTACATGTCACTTCTTCACGCCATTCACTCCGAACATGGCGCTGTACAAGCAGCCAATAAGCACCTGAAGCTATGTATCTCTAGAGCAGAGTGGTCCAAACCCAGTCCCGGCCACATGTGGCCCGCCGCATTATCATCTGTGACCCGCGTCGCATTCGGAGAGTAATCAAAAAATCGCATTTCGTGTTGTTTCGTAATAAAATTAATCACATAAATCTTTTGACATATTGTTACATCAATAATGTCACTGAATTGACTAGTGTTATGGCTAGCTGAGGCAACTAGCGAAGTTTAATGATTTTTTGGCAGTCTAAATTATTATCTGGCTTTCTATCTTTTTGGTCGGGAAAATATGCTAACAATATAGGCATCATAGAAAACTAAAAATCGAATGTAGATACTATTAGCCGTGGATGGCTAACTATGTGTTTGCACAATAAAAGTGTTTGTTTTGTATTGCACTGTTTACCTATTCTTGGCACTATTGTGGCCCGCGAAGCCGACAACCTTGGACCACCCTGATCTAGAGTTTGATGGTGTATACTTCGACCGCATAAGCTTCGCCGACGCTGGGCGGTTTATGTAACGGCTGGTCGATCAAGGTTTCTCACTTTTTATGCGACCCTCATTCACGCCTTTCGCTGCAAACAAGCCCCGGACCTCCAGAAGTATGCGCACCAAGATGGCGCACAACCTGAACATAATATGTGTACCGGTTGGGATTCAGGTTGTGTGACATCTTGGTGCGCATACTTCTGGATCACCCAAGGCCCTGTACAAGCAAGTTTACTGATATCAAACGATGTAAGGAGGTAACTATTTTCAGAGAAACCTGGATAATTCTGGTCAGATATTTTCTTCCGTGTTTATTGCACCATGGGGGAGGTGGTGGGCATGGGATTCGAACCCGAGATGTGTAATCTGCGATAACAGCACACTTGGATCTAACGCTTTAACCACAAGGCCCGCACGCCCATTATCTACTCAGGGGTATTGGGGATCGGAATTTTTTGTGGCTTGAAACCCCACATATTCCGTCTTTCGGTCGTACCCGCTAGCTGTTACGTTCTAATTAGCAATCATGAATTTTTACCCCCCCCCCTCCCCCCTTTTTTTTTAAATTTCGGGACACTCACCCGCGGATCTTCTATTCAAATTCATTTAACTCTAAGGAATAATTAGTTCAGCTGTTCCGGGACCCGACCTGTGAAAGTATCTGTGCCGTGGCTTGCCATATGATTAAGCTGTATTGATGGATTCCGTTCCGCTGTATGTACAAATACGTAGCCAACTCTCTCAACAATATAACGATTCGGTTTACTCTAAATTAACAGTGAAAATAACTCCCGCTGTCAATTAATTACTGTGCCATGATGGCCACGACAGCACAGTATTTTATAAACACTAATCCCGTTATTTTGCCCGAAGCACAATTTCGCGTCCGCGTCTGTTTAAACATTAGAAAGCATAATTAGCTAAATAGGAAAGAAAAGATAGTTTAGCAGTAACAGAAAATTTAGATGAAAATTTGGATTTTGGCAGCTCTAACTCAAGCTCCGGATGAGAGAGAGAGAGAGAGAATTTTTTATTGTTTCGTCAAACCAGAAAACACATACAATATATATATGATAGCAGAATGAGAAAAATTGGGTTTCGGTAGATGACACGGTGGTAACGATACGATCATTAACAGTCATCTGAGTCTGTTACCACCCAAAGCATGAATAAATTAATTAATAACACAGGTTCTGTAATTTTACACTCTCAGGATATACATATGGAAAAAAAAAACTATATACACTATGTAAAAAAATGATATCTGATTAGAGATGAGATAAATTTCTAATCGGGATTAGGAAGTTATTTAAATAAATTTTAAATAGAGAAGAGCAAAAAATAAGAATTCCATATCAAATATATTATTATTTAGTATATTAATTTACACTTTCAATCTGTTCTGAATCTTCTTTTTCCAATTTATTAATGAGTATGACGCATACCGTATCAGATGGTTTCAATAATGTAGTACACAGCATAGCACCTAAGTAGCATACCATCGTGTTATAGTTTAGACCAGGGGTGTGTAACTTTTAATACCGGAGGGTCAAATACGATAACTGGGTGAAGTCGCGGGCCTCACCTTTATTTAAGATAGCATTGCTGGCATACACAATTTTTTGTTTGTTATTAATCTTATGGCAGTGTTAGGTGTCTTGACAGTCAAAATGCATAAATTTCTGAAGAAAACTGCTATTTAAATTTAGGGTCACACCTATCTTCAACGAATGCAATGAGAAACACGTTTTTATAACATTTTGTATTTTGTAACAGAATTCTGCTATAGCTAGTTTTGCTAATATGACAGTGGCACTCAAGTAGGCCTACTGGTAAAGGCTTTGCGTGTAAGGATTGAAATTGCTCGCACGTATCAGATTAACTAAACTAAAAACTCGTTTCGTGGACACACCATTCAAAATTGGCACTTCTTTGCGAGTTCGCACAGTTTTTCTTTGTGGGCCGCAGTTTGCACGCCCCTGGTTTAGATAATGCGCCTTGATAATCACCGTACAATATATACTACGGTAGTGTTATTACCATATCATGCTCCGATGACGTTTTTCTGTATAGAAATTGCTTATTTAAGAATTCTAGACCCTTGGGTGCTCCCGAAGTATGCGAACCAAGATGGCGGACATCGGAACGTAACATGGGTAACAGGTTAGGGTTAGGCGATAATTTTTTTCGAATTTTCATTATTTTAGTCCTATTATCAGTTCGAAGACTAGCCAAGAGCCTCCCGTAGTATTTATACCAAAAATTATGGCCTAACCCTAACCTAGTACACATATTACATTCCGATGTCCGCCATCTCGGTTCACATACTTCGGGAGCCCCGACCCTTGTTTGTAAAATATTTTTAGACTTATGCTTTCGATAGTGTAATCCGAAACAAATAACTAATTACCTAATCCCATGCCCGACATGGACTGGTAACCGGACGAGAGGCTCATATGGTTCGCCATATGATTAAGCCGTCTTAGCGGCTTTCCTCACCCCCGAGATAAATATGTAAATCTTATTCAAGACTCGTATGCACACCGCCTACCAATATTTCGCTCCATCGTGATAATTCTTCATTTCCGTCTTTAGCAAGAGATAGTTCAGATAAGCTGATGTACTCTTCACTAGCAATAATTTTCATATTTTCACAAGTGGGTCATGGCCACTTGCATTCAGCAGTTGAAGAAATGGAAAATCTTATGCGCGAGGAATTGGGTTTCATAAAAAATTGTAAAGAATACATTGCAAGTCGGGAAGAGAAGCTGGCACGGGTCAAAGTTATCGTCGACAGCTTGAACGCGGAAGCGGGAGAAGCGATTGTCGATGCTCAACAATATTTAGGTAAGATATTAGAGTTCGTGTCCCTTTGTATGAAGTGTATTTTTAATGCAATTTTGCGGCCTTTGCAGTGAGACATAAATTCATACGCCTTTTCCAACACCATTTTACGCTGTTCTTGAACGATTTACTGAAACGTTTCCTGGCTTGGTATCAATACTTCTTTCATCAAATGAACTAAACGAGATAGATGGAAATGCGCGCACAATATGCCTGGGATAACTTCGACAGTGAAGTACGTCTTTAGAACGATTCTTTAAGATATTGTTAGAAATCCGTGGCTACTTTTATCTGGCTTAGTTCGGATTCATTTTACACCCCCCCCCCCCAAAAAAATTTGTTGTCAGCTGTGATCGTCTAACACTGGAATGGGCAAACTGCGGCCCGCGAGCCAAATCCGGTCCACCGGGTAAATCAATCCGGCCCGCCTGATGCTGCCACAATAAAACTAAAAACAAATTTTGATGTTTTATCCATTAATAACCCAAGGAATTTGTTTAGATTACGATTGATTTTAGTTTGGGCACGAGGCTTATTGTTTTCACGTTTGTTTTTGTAACACTGGGAACATTTCCGTAAAATGTAACTTCCCGCGTACACTCACATGGCCAGCAAGTCGCTGCCCACCCCTGAGCCGTAACATCTAATGAATGGCTCTGCAAATTATCACTACTGAATGATTTTGATATTTTACCATTAAGTACCACCACTGAACTTAAGAAGCTCAATTTCGAATCACGAAATTAATTTTGCAAAATATTTTATTTCGATATCAGGTCATCCTGTCAATCAATATCTTCTCTTAAAACGTCTGATAACGGAGTTTGAACTGATAACAGATTTAACTGATAAGAATCTGACATTTGCTGATAACTTATCGAAGTTTAGAACAAACCTTCCTGATAGAGAAGACATCAAAGAAAGTGCTAAGGAACTTATAAGATCACAGGTAAACAGTCCTATGGAAAATAGAGGCCTATCCTACAGAAATTAAGAAATTATTTGTTTTTGTAGGTTGGACCACAACGCTACTTGCTGTGATATCGGTAGGTCAAATCCAATGGTTGAGTTCCGAACCCTACCCCCTCTTAAAATGTAGAAACAGCATTGTTCTGTACCATACATACCAATTTTCGTCGCTTGAAAATATTTTTGGTCTTGAAACACACACGTTTTCCGTTCCCGCTAGGATCTATGTAATACCGTCTAACTTGGCAAATCGAAATTTCAGACCCCCTCCCCCTCATTTGAAAGTTCCTGGCAATGCTTCTGGGTGTGATGGTAGCCGGTGGGCACAGGGTTCGAGCCTGAAATCGTTAATCTGCGATCCAACATAGTCCAATGCTCTAAGTCTAAACCAGTAGTTCCCAATATTTTTCGTTAAATTTTTCCCTCCCTATTTCGGAAATCTTCACCATCCCCCCATTATTTATTAGTTTATTTCTTCAATTCTTAGTGTTTTGTGCAAGTCACATTCTCGTGTAGTTGCACAGTGTAAGCATTTTATAATGTGGCGTTCATAAATAATAATAATAATAAAGAACTAAAGAATATCAGTAATATTACAGCTAATACAAATCAAATTGCCTTCCCAATCACGACAAAATTTCTTTCTGCGGAGGAATTCCTTTCCAGTCGGGAAACGTGGCTCTAACCACATGGCGATCCCACTCGTTTATCCATCAAATATGAATCCCACAAAGGTTATGGTAAAATTTTTGGCGATCCAGAAGTATGTGTACCAATATGGAGGTACCTAATTTTGTTTGCCTGCTTTACATCAAGTCGTGTGAAGGCATTAAAACCTATGGGCAGGAGGTATATTCACTAGGCTAACACAGACAGTTCTCGAACTCGTAATAGAACTAAAATAAGATCGGAATAAAATTATGCTCCAAACCTAACCTGTCACACATACTACGGGAGTACCAAATTTTCATTTGAATTACAGGGATGGAAAGACAAGTCTATGGAAGATTTCGTTGTCATAAGCAAGCTGGATGGCCCAAGATCGAAACTAGGTCGAACACACGGCAAAGGAGACGAGGGTGATGCAGTAGAGAAGGTTTACTACTCAAATTGGAGTTCGAAACTTGAACATAAAGACTCATAGAACCTGAGAAGAATTTGTAAAAGAAATGTGTCGCGAGGAGGGGGGACCTTTCTGTCTTCAAATCGATAAAAAAAATCAAAACCAGGTAACATGGGTTGCCAATAAATGGATGTACAAAAAAGACCAAGAACTCAAACGATCTTGTGTTCCTAACAAAAATGCCGAAAACAGTATTTTTCAATTTAAATCTTCGAAGTTATTTAAATAAATTGCCCTTTCCCCCCACCCCGCTTCCTGAAATGTGAAAAAAAAATCAATCTGCAATGTATCATACATAGCAATTTTTCGCAGCTTGGAACGCATTTTAGACGCTCACGACTCTTGAAAACCAACGGACCTGGCTGATACGGTCTAAATTGGCAATTAGAAATTTTAGAGACCTCCCCCCCCCTCCTGTTTAAAAATTCTTCTGATCTTGTCAAATGTTTCCTATTTTAGCTCTCTGTCCCACATATTTCAGCCCCCACTCCTGTTTGAAAATTCTCATGCTCTTGTTAAATGTTTTCTATTTTACCTCTCTGTCCTATATATTTTAGTTTGTTTAATATTTTTGTGTATTATTATTGTGAATAAAACAGAAGCAATTGGTTTGAATTACTATTGCACATTGGCATCAGTGATTTTTGAAATTTCACTTAGAGAATGACAATACTATAGTATTATGAGGACAATTGTAGCGTCATTGTTGGAGGACGGGCAGGGTCACGCAGTAATTAATTAATAACGAGAAATATTTTTACTGTCAGTTTGAAGTGAAACAAATTGTCATAGTGGGGAGATGATTACTCATTTTCACATACAGGGGTTTACAACTAAAAAGAGTAAAATTTAGAAAATAAAATTATTCATGATATCCTGCTAATATATACATTAATTAGCAGTTACGTGAACCACCTTACGGTGGCGAGGAGTCCAGCAATCCTCTCACACATGATCATCCCCGCATGGGATTCGAACCTGAGATCCCACGAAGGGTAATCAGAGATGTGGTGGCGAGCGTATTTCTAACGTCTTAGCGCGATGTGGCACACCGCAAGAACGTTTAAAACCCCGCCCCTAGGTCAGTGACCCGGCAAAGTTTTTTAAGTGAGATCCAAATAGTAAAATGGAAAAGGTTTCAAGGCCCAACAATTTTATTGGAAATTTTAAATTCAACCACATAATAAACTTGTTAGGGACATTTTTTGTTGTTGTTTAGTTAACATATATGGTCGTTTGATATATGAACAAAAACTAATTGGCAAAAAATATATATTCAATGTTGGATTCATAGAACTTTTTTGTGTATTACTGCCATAATTGAAATTTATTGGCCTACTAGAAAATGTGCGACGGCCCACAGTTTGCCGACCAATGGCCTGGGCGAACTATAAAATCTAAGCCCATTATATATATTTAATTTTTTTTATTTCCCAGAGTATAATTTTGAGTATATAATATAAAATAACCAGTTAACTGAAAAAGCATTATAAAGTGAGAAACGCAAAGTGTTCAAAGTGAAAACATACGCATTCGACATGGCCCTCCAGAAGTATGTGCACCAAGATGACGCACAACCTGAACACAGTATGTGTACCAGGTCAGGGCTCAGGTTGTGCGCCATCTTGGTGCACATATTTCGGGAGCGCCTTTGAAATTCACATACAGATTTTGAACGTAGGTGTAGCCTAGTAGCATTTGCGGTAAGACATAAATTCATAAGCCTTTTCCAACACCACTCTATTCTTGAAAACGATTTAATGAAAATTGACTATTCCCTGCTTACAACTAAAAATACTTATACCAAATAGACCAACCGAGTGAGCGTCGTATTACGTTATTAGGTAGATACTCCCGGAATATGTACACCACGATTGCGGACACCGGAACGTAGTATGTGTACCAGGTTGGGGTTAGGCCATAATTTCAGGTACAAATACTACCGAAGTCACTTGGCTAGTCCCCTAACTCGTTATAGAACTAAAATAAGAAAATTAGAACAAAGTTATGGTATAACCCTAATCTGGTACACATAATACGTTCCGGTGTCCGCCATCTTTGTTCACATACTTCGGGAGTACCCGTTATTATACAAAACAAAATGTGGCTCCTCCAAAATTTGGGGCTGGCTACGCTCTTACTTCTGAACAATTTCATTTGAAATACTCTTCTGCGATCGCTTTCAACACAACAACATTAACAGTAACGTTGAGTAGGCAAAATAGTATTACTAAAATATACAACACAACGCAATATTGTGACGCCACTTCGCACGATACCTGGCGGTTGAAACGTCAGATTCAACCCTGTTTGCATTGTATGTTACACACTCGAGGTTCGAATCCAGGCATGAATATGAAAAAACGTAAGCATAGCGAGTGGGACAAGAAACTTACGAAAAAATACGCGTCGTATGACAGTAATAACACCAATTTCCTAATTTCATTTATGCGACTGTGTTTTTCAATTTATAACCATAAATGGAGGTTAAAAAATACGATTATCAGCGTTTTCATCTAATTTGCATGGCCTTCTAAGCTCTTGTTCGTATTCATGAATCCACTTATTTGCGACCCATTTCACCCCGGTTAAAACAGGGCAAGCAGCATGAACAGTTCTGCCATCTCCTTCACCAGATGGGTATAAGTTGTACCAAAACACGGCGCTTCCTTTGATCGGATAAACGGCAATTTTTGCATCCAAGAAAACCGTCGCGCCGCCTTGCTCAACATTACTTAAATAAAAAAGCACAGTTGCCATGCGATGCCCCAATTTGTTCTCTATACTACTTTTCTTCTTTCTCAGAGAAAAATCGGTGTGAGGCTCATATTGTCCTCCAACACCATAATTTGATATTTGTAGTGACTCTGATGTTGTCATTGACAACCCGGTAACCATGGAGATTCGTTCCGATACCCTCCGCACTATTTCATGATCGGAATCTTCCAACCACGCAGTTTTGCTAACCCGATACTCCACGTTTTCAAGCGCCCCTGTTGATGGGTTATGCACAGTAGCGCGGTCAAGATTTGGTTTCGATAGATTTTTTATAACTTCGATTTCTTTATCAAAAATGATGTCATAAAACCGCACAATATGGGGTGAATTCCATAACTCTTCCATTTTCAAACGCTGAAGTCGTAAGTAAGGATTGTTATTATTCCAATAATAACATTTAAGCTGCTTTTGGACATGTTTTGGTAAGTCATCGCCACCCTCTCGGCACAGCCTCTCGTACAAATTCAGCCCTTCGTCTTGTTCTTCCATTTCGACGTCATCAAAATCCTTTGCATTTGTATTGGCCTGTTCTGATAGATCTTTGTAGTATTCATAGTTTGCACGAATCGCGATATCATTTGGTTTATGCTTCGTTACTTCCGCAAATATTACAACTGCATCGTCGAATTTCCCCAATTCGTGATACGCACTTGCCAAATAACGTAGAACTATGGACCTGTAATTCAATAAAAAGTTCAATGAAGTTGGATATCGCCCGCCGTGGAGAACTTACAAATGAAGATCAGGACCGTATTTTTAATTACTTATACGGAAATGAAAGTAAATTTGATTAACACTCAAAATTCTGATCGTGTGTGATTGTACCCAAACGTTTTAGTGGTCCATGATGCTTGCACAAAAGTTATGTTCTCTCTACAACAGAGGTGAGCAAATAACGACCCGCGATCCCGATCTGGCCCACCGAAGTGTTTCATCGGACCACTTGTGTCTGCTGAGATTAGTTGAGTTCCGTTGTTCCGTTGAAAAAAATCGAGGAAAATAACGTCATATTGACCCCGATTTTTATTTTGAACTTGGAAATTGAACATGCGGTTGAACTTGGAAATTGGACTGTTTTTTTATTCATAGTTCTTCTTACTGGCAGTATGAGTAACAAAACCTAATATCTGTAACTGGCCCACTCAGAAAGGTAATTCCCCCTTCCCTGCTATAGAAGATATTCCCAATGACTTGTGACTGGTTCTGGTTTTGCTACCCTGCAAAATAGGTCAAAGAAAGGTCCTCGCGACTTGATTCAAATAAAAGTATAAAGATGTGTTTACATACCATTCGCAGCTCGCATCACCGCCCATTATTCTTGTGTATGCTTCCTCTAGCCAAGACGCGCAGTATTGATAGTCTTTGTTACCACACGCAACCAATCCTATCTTATAACAATCATCAGCCGATAACGATCTTCCCGAGTAGGAATCTTTGATTACGCCCGCAGCAATTTGATTGGCATCAAGTTTGTATGTTTTCTGTGAAAAGTGAAGGATCGGATATTTTTGTATGACGCTGATTCACGCCTTTCGTCGAGCAAAAAAAGACCAAGCATACGGTTCAATTATACAGATAAAGGGAGATTGTATTCTGTGTTAGAATAAAACTAAAAGAAACTGGTTAGGCCAAGCATATGAAGGGGAATTTATGTTGTGGTTTAGGTCAGGATAGATTTACTTTAGGCAATGGTAAGAGTAAACATATAAAGTGGGATTCATGCTATGTTCTGGGTAAGGATAGATAATAAAACTTTAGGAAAATAGAATATGAAGTGAGATTCATGGTAATATCTGGGTAATCATAGATAAAAAAAATCTTCAAATGGTTAAAGTAAATGTATAATAAATGAAACTCTATAACATGTTCTGAATTAAGGATAGATATAAAGTTTAGGCAAATGATTAGACTGAGCTTTAAAAGTCCAAGTTGCAACAAAACTGGCGTTTCGCGCCACAAATTAACTTTAATAATATGACACTATTTCAGTCTCGCACCCTCGTTATAAGGATTACCTGCAGTCGCAAAATAGCTTTTGCGCTTCCTTTTAAATCATTTTCATTAGGAAATTCATCCCGCGCCTCCAAAACTTGCTCTAGGATTGCGTCATTCTTTTCCGTTAGTTGATCCATCATTTCGAATTCAAGATTCAATCTTTTCAGCAGAGCGTACTGATTAACGGGGTGTCCTTGAACGAAAATTATGTTTTTGTAAACTGTAAGAATTTTGAATAAGGCTATATATGGGCAAATACCTTCCACGAGTTCGCTATACACAGGAAGAATATTTGATTTGCATGATCGGCTTGCGCTTAAAACTTTAAACTTAACTGTGCCGACATCCCAGTTTACCTATCTCAAACTCAAATCCCATGCCCGCCACCTCCCCCAGGGTGTAGTAAATTTGGTAGGCAACGACGAACCGGAATGGGCGAATCTTTGAAATATTATTTTAAATGGGTGTAGGACTTCTGACCAAGTTTGGTTTACGCATCAACCGGAGTTAAAACTCACAAAATGAAGGGATATGCCTTAAATGCCTTGCGTTTCGCAATTTAAATACAATATTGTAATATATTTGGCGGACCGGCAGGAAAATTGACGCGGATCGGCGGTTGAGGACCACTGCACGGAACAATGCCCTTTACAAGCGACTACTGTTATCGAACGACGTGTAGAGCTAATATCGATTCGGAAAACTGAAATCTTTTTTGGCGTTTCCCACTCAATTTTTTACATCATGGGTAAGGTAAGGTTTGAATTTAAACCAAAGATGTGTAATCTGCAAAGCCAATACAGTGAAGTCTAACGATTTAACCGCCGGCGGGTAAGAATTCGACGTTTTGTGGAAAATTTTCGCTTTGTATTTCTAATATTCTTTATTTTCTTTTTCATATTATTATATAATACTTAATCGTTAAAGCATTATGAATTACTTTAAACTGTACGGAAATGGGAGTTCTATTTGCGCATCATACCAACAAAGGCCATAATTTACCATAATTTTATTCTCATTTTTCTTATTTTAGTTCTATTACGAGTTCGGGGACTAGCCAAGTAACTCCCGTAGTATTTGTACCTGAAATTATGGCCTAACCCTAACCTGGTACACATACTACGTCCCGGTGTCCGCCAATTGGTTCACATACTACACGAGTACCCAAAGAATCCATGAGAGATTGAACAAAACAAGGAGGCTTATGCATAGGGAGGGGGGAAATAAAGAGTTTCAAAATAGGCTGAATGAAAAATTTAACAAAAAGGGTTCGGAACCACTGCGCCTTCCGACTTACCTAAGTATTCTTCCACGTCAGTGAGAGCTTCTCCGACTTCTCCCGACACGCCATCCACCACAGATTTGACTTGGGAAAGTTTCCGCTCCTCTTCCGAGATGTATTCTTTAACGTATGATAACAGATCGAGTTCTCTGTGAAGCAATTCTTCCATAAGTCCAATTGACGAATACCAGTCTGCTAAACTGGATCCAACTAAGCAAAAGTAGACGAGTAGAACCCGCAACATCATTAGAATATATTGTTCTGAAACATGGGAAAATTGATGGTACGAAAACGATTAATCAGTCTTGTGTATAACATTGACGACAGCAACTAATAAATATGTGCCGGGCAGCATTCATGGGCGTACCCTGAAGGGCCATGCAAAAAAATCAACATTTTTTTAAAATACAATTTCGGGAACTCCTGAAGTATGCGAAACTAGCGCAAGTTCAAACCAAAAGGGGACTATTTAAACAAAGATTTATACACAGGCGGGAAAAGTGTGGTTTCTTTGTCATTCATCGAATTCTTCTCTTTATTTATGTGATAAGAACCTGAACTCAGGTTGTGTATCAGGTTAGGGTTCAGGTTGTGCGACATATTGGTGCGCATACTCCGGGAGTACCCAATTTTGTGCCATTTGCCGTGACCCATAAATTCTTACGTCTTTTTCAACACCATTTTGCTCTATTCTTGAACGATTTACTGAAACTGATTTTTCCCGGCTTCCCGGCACTAAATGAACCAAACGAGATAGAAATTTGAGCAGCGAAGGTCTTTACTGTTGCAGGAAAGTTTACGTTACAGATGTTCGCTCGAGACTTTCTCCAGCTACCCGCGGGCCGAATACGGCCCACAAGGAAAAATTATGCGGCCCACGAAAAAGTGCCAATTTTGAATGGTGTGGGGCCCGCGAAACGAGTTTTTAATTAAGTTCATTCTGGAAGTTATTCCAATCTCTTTGTGATGCAAAGCCTATACTTGAATTTCACCGGAGTGTGTACGAAGCACACAACGCATGGTATCAGATCAATAATCAAAATTTTTGTGTCTGCAACTACCAGAAAGCCTATGTTAAATAAAGGTACGGCCTGTGATTTCACCCATTTATTTGTATCTGGCCCTCCTGTAGGTTGCACCCCCTGTATTAAACGACTTAATTGGATATCTATTTCTATACTGGACTTCTCACTGTTGTATGTGCTAATGTTAGGTTTTTCATAGGTGTCGCTGCTCAATAACCAACACCTATTTAGTATGGGCACCCCAACTAGAGCTAGGCTAGCGAAAAAGTGCCAATTCTGAATGGTGTGGGGCCGGTTTTGCGTTCTAGATACCGCCAATTGTTACGCTATTATCACAGTTTAAGCACATGTATATTCGTCACAATTCAACTATACCGTAGACCATAGGTTCTCAAAGTGCTCCGTACGGAGCCCCAGGGCTCCGCGAGAGAAACCCAGGGGCTCCGCGAACTCTTCAAAATACTGACTCAAAATTTTGTAACTGTTCAAAGAAGCAATAACAGCATTGATAAAATCTGACAACAATATAGCCTCGAAATATGGTAAAGAGGCGGAATTAAAAAATGACATTATTTATAAGCAGGAGCGCAGCCAGGATTCTTAAGAGGCAGGTGGTTCAAAATTGAAATCGGAAATTTCCGCGCAACATTCTTCGCAATTAAAAAAACGGATAACGAGATTTCTGTTGCGTAAAATATTCAATCCATGACCGATGCGAGCATTTAACGTGTCTCGTTGTTATCATGTAATTGTGCTCATCGTTACTCACGTTTGGTTCGAGATTACTATTAGGATTACTAAAATGAAAATACTATTCTAAAATAACATAAAATATGTGATAAACTGCCAACTATAAATAAATTGGAGTCGCATTTTTGCGATCTTGGAATTTGTCAAACTTGATTTGTTCTTTTGCGCTTGAGATTATTTTTAAGCAAGATATCGCCGTTTAAAAAATCACAATATTTGGGCAAAATACGAACAATTGAAATTTATTTTATTGCATTCGGCTCTGCCGGTAGCTTCAGAATGAAAAAAGGTACATCGCGGATCGCGCTCACAATTGACTGTGTTTCGATTTCGCAGTTACTACGATGAAAACCTAACATAACACCAAATTTTATGATTTACAATGTCTATAAAAGCGTTTTCAATCTGAGGTGAGTCTGCTGAAAACGAAACGTGTGATCTTCCATTTTAAGTTTCAGTTTTAATATTTTAGAAGGCGTTTTTCAATTAAGAAATTGGAGTTGCGGATTTACCTCTTTATTAATTATTATTTTTAGCCTTTCATCGCCGACGACTATAATATGGTAACATGTTTTTCACATTAAACTCATACTTCCCCACGAAAACAAAAAGCAATTAACGTCGTCATTGTGTAACAATACATGTATATGCCGAGGGAAATTTTTGATTTAGGGAGAATAAACACCGGCGTAAAGATGTTTAAAGGTTCAAAAACACGCCATGCTGACGAAAAGGATATCGCGCACGTTATTAGCGGCCTTTTAAGTCTTTCAATGTCAAAAGGGAAAAATTTCGCCCCCTAATTTATCAATATGTTGGTCAAGTGTCAAATTTACAGCTTTAGTATATTATGTTTGAAATTTAGATTTATCTATGACTTGTGTTAACCCTATTAAAAAGGGTTCAGCATTTAAAATAAGTAAAGTACTTTTAACTTGCTCAGGAATATTAATCTGAAAGTAAAATTTTAACATTTATTTTGGGGCTCCGCGAATAATATTCAACCTTTCAAGGGCTCCGCAACACCAAAAGTTTGAGAACCCCTGCCGTAGACAGATTCATTGATTTGTCAACCGTAGCTTACTGTACATACCCTTACGTGCGCTGCCCTTTTCCTGCCCACAAATATCCTTCCTCCTTTGCCCCCCCCCCTCCAGTCACTCAACTTTGGGAACCCCTGTTATAACACATCTACACTACGTCGATATCTCAAGAATATATGTCAATTGCTAGATCTCGCCGGTACATCTCGGCCGGTATTTCATTAACGAACAATTATCACACAAAGCACACGACCCTTGAGGCAAAATAGCGTTTGTATATAATTCAATGAAACAATGCCAAAGGCAATGTAGTACTAGGACGCGCCAAGATTTAACAGATAAATAAACATTGAAACAAATAATTGTTTTAACTAAATCAAGTGCCTGTCAAGTATGCATTTATATGACTTAAAAGTTGCGATCCTGTCCGCTGCATATTGCTAAGTGTCACGTCTTTTAATAGCCGGGGATCTGTAGACGGACTCAACGGAAACGTATCGAACGCGCCACTGTCAGTCCCAACTATCAACTTCAACTTTTGTTTTGATTCTCGCATAATAGAAATAAAATATCTGAATCTTCATTCACAAACGAGACAGTCATAAAATCAGCTCCTTCTTGTAAAGACAAAGGCGTAGAAGGGCGGTTTTCTTGAATAAAGAAAACACAATTGCTTAATTTTAGGTCACAATACTGATTGCTACAAAAACCTTGGAGCAAAACTCTCACCAAACGTTTTCCAATCCGGAGAATCAAATGCTATCAGAATACAATACGTATATGTATAACCGTATACGTATAACAGTCCTCGATACGGACAAATGTCTGACAGCGATGCTTATAAAACGCACTGCATACGACAGCAAAATATAAACACTGAAAAGGTCCGACATCCAACCCCAAAGACATAGAATCATAGATAGATCGTTTACAACGTAACACAAAGTACGTAAAGCTGCTATATCCCTCTATCTCAGCTTTCAGATATGGATGTTCAAGATATTTTAGTTGGAAAATTGGGTGGTTCACGTGTCCGATGGTAGGTTTTCGGCACTCCCGTAGTCATAATTTTACTCCTATTTTAGTTTTATTACGAGTTCGGGGACTGTCTGCGTTAGCCAAGAAAATATACCCCCTTTCAATATGCTCCAGTCCCTTTTCACAACTTGATGTAAAGTAGGCAAACAAAATTAGTTACCTCCATATTGGTACACACACTTCTGGAGCGCCCGGTTTTTTCAGTAGTAGCTAACTAATAACCTTACCTAATTATTAGCTAACTATAACCTTACCCTACAGGTAACCGGGCAAGAGTCTGTGATAGAGAGAAAGAGTCCGTGTCCGACCTTCTTAGTGATTTGTCATGGTCGCGGAATTAAACAAGGAAGCTCACTTCCGACAACGGTCCACGTGGGACAAGCCCAATTCTATCTCTCAGTATTGTCCATCCCGACCCAATTCAAACCCAGATGACACTGATATATATAAGCATATTTATAATTCAAAACATTTGCTTCTATGTTCGTAATACTGTTCACAATAATAATACACAAAAAATATTCCCAAAAATACATAATTATATGACTAGGCAGTGGATAAAAAATGGCGTTTCAGAAGTACGTGTACCAATATGGAGGTAACTAATTTTGTTCGCCTACTTTACATCAAGTTGTGTGAAGGCATGGAAATTTATGGGCAGGGGGTATGTTCACTTGGCTAACACAGACAGTCCCTCGAACTTGTAATAGAACTAAAATAAGGAAAATCGGAATAAAATTATGGCCTAACCCTAGCCTGGTACACATACTACGGGAGTACCTAAAAATACTTCAAAACAAAATAAATTCAGGAGTATAGGGAAGCCATATTCAAGTACATTATTTCCCTTTTTCAAAAAAATTTAATATGCTGCTTATAGGAAATTACAAATCGTTGAAAATTAAATTGATTAAGTTTCATAATGCAGGGAAATTAACATAAACATTAGTTTGATTGTCTTGAGGTGTTGTCAGAGGTGTTGAATGGTTTCAATTCACACACAACTGCTACTTCCTCCCAAACCATGATATACAATATGGATAAAAAGTAGCGAAAGGTTTGATTCTTGGAATAAAATCTGGGACAGCAGGCTTTGCATTATTTTGATATCGAAACATGATTGTTATTCGCAACTACAAAAGCAGATTAGACATAAAAAAAAAATAGTTCAATTTTCCCGAAAACTAACGAGTAAAGGTTTTTTATAAAATTTGTGTGCAAATAGATAAGGCATATTGAATACATGGTGTGGAACTACTGTATCCATGAATACTAGAACTTTTCCTTTAACAATTTCTAAGCATTGAGCAGTGCTCATTCAATGGTAATTATGATTGTGAAGGTGCCTCGCAGCTGAAAAAAAGTGTGACGGTGCCCTGGCTAATTTTAACAAGTTAGGTGCCCTAGCTTTCGTTTAAACTCTTTTAAATATGATGAGTACTTGAAAAAGCATTGTTCCTGTTAAAAAAAAGGTATGACTAGGGCTGTCCAATAGAGTCCCAAATAATTTGAAGTGTATTGGGGTTAATTTGAGAATAAACGAATTGTATGATAATATAATATAACACACACACACACCCCTCGCATAATACTTGAGTATTTTTATATGAAGTTTGCTCAATGTCCTAAATAGAAAGTGTGAAGAGTACGGTACATGGAATTGAAAGCGGCCACCAGTAAAAGCTATAAAAGATTTCATGCTTGCAACAACAAAATATTACAACAAGTTGGCATATATACAGTTCCGCTCGAAATTTTCAAAGTGTGCTAGAGCTGAAAGGAGCAAACGATACATACATTATGGGATTCCTAAAATTCTTTAAAATTGCAAAGAGAATTTATTCATACAATAAATGGTTTTGGCCCTCACAGATGTATTAAATGAGGTAAAAATACTTAAACAATGACGGTTCAAAAAAACAACAAACTTGGTTAAGATACATTGAGAATAGACTTCATAACACAATTGAAATTGTAAAGGGACTTGATGGACACCATGTATATATGCTCGAACTTGTAAGTAACATAGAGTTATGGTCTGGATTTTCATATATCTAAGCTTTTACTAATAGTGAAAGAGTATAAATAGTGGGGAAGTGAGCACCTTCTATCAAAAGCTATATAAAGGTTATATTTGTAACAGAGTAATTGTTCGGGCTTTTCTATGCAATAAAAAATTGCTCTAAGTTAGGTCCCGCTCCTTCAACTAAGTGTGAAAGTAGTACTGCTAAAAAATTTAACAACTTTGCTCAAAGCACGATGCAGAGCCTCCTTTAAAAGCAGGAAGAATACTGATAGAATAGTTGCAAGTTATCTCAAAGCAAGGCGCCCAAGCCTCCATTAATTGAAAGTGGGAAGAATACTGATAGAAGAGTTCCTCAAAACAAGATCCCAGGTCCACAACAAAAAATAAAAATAGGACACACATAATTGAACACTGAGGCTCTAGGAGCTATATAAGGTAGTAAATTATTCTTGCATTCTAGGTGGAATTCCTGGAAATAATGCATCAAAACTAATTTAGTTATAAGTTTGAAACTATTTTTGAAGATTCATTTTAAAATATACTGTTTTCAGCATTCTTATCAAGAGCGCAAGATCTTTTGAATTCTTGGTCTCTCTCGTGGATCCATTTATTGGCAACCCACTTCACGCCATTTAAGACTGGGCACGCAGCGTGATTCGTGCGCAAATCGCCCTCACCTGATGGGTAGAGGTTATACCAAAACACAGCGCTGCCTTTGATTGGTTTCACAGCGACTTTTGCAGTTAAAAAAATTGTTGCGCCACCATATTCTACATTTGTAAGATAGAAAAGCATAGTTGCGATACGATTTCCAACATTTTCATCAAAAGTACGTTTATCACTCGAACGAACAAAGTCGTAATGTGTTTCATATTGACCCCCGACCCCATAATTTGCAATTTGTAAATCCTCGGCCGATTTCATAGAAAGTCCAGTGGCAGCGGCAATTCTTGCGCTAATCCTACGTATGACGTTACTTTCTTTGTCTTGTAACCAAGCGCTTTTGCTCACTCGATAATCTGCAGGTTCTAAAATTCCCGTAGCGGGATTTTGCACGGTTGCTCGATTCAGTCTGGGTTTTGCCATTGCTTTAATTGTGTCAATTTCCTTTTCATTTATGATGTCATAAAACCTCACCAAATGTGGTGCTTTCCATAATTCTTCTATTTTAATTGGTTGAATACGTAACAATGGGTCATTGTTGTCCCAATAATAGCATTTCAAATTCTTCTCGATTTGAGGAGAGATAGGCTCCCCTCCCTCACGACACAATTTCTGGTACAAATCACCCTTGGGTTTCAACTTGTCTTCACGTTTCAGTTTAGCACTCCATTTTGAGTAGTCAACCTTTTCTACTTCTCCCTCGTCTCCTTTTTTCGTTGATTTTAGTAGATTTCTGTAATAATCCCGATTTTGTTTAATCCTATCATGCTGTGGGTTGATCTTCAACATCTCAATTGTAAGTTCGTACGCTCGTTTCCAGTTCCCTTGCTGGGATAAGGAGAAAGCTAGATGGTCAAGAACATCAAACCTAAATAGAATTTAAAAAAAATTTACTTTTCTGTGATAAATAAATATCATTCTGTTCTTAAATAGTTGGGAAGCAGGCGCTCCAGAAGTTTGCGTACTAATATGGAGGTAACTAATTGTATAAAGTGACTTAAACATATGGACAGGGGGTATATTCACTTGACTAACTCTGACTCGTAAGTCCCAAACTCGTAATAGAACTAAAATAAAGAAAATCGGTATAGAATTATGGCCTAACCCTAACCTGTTACACATGCTACGTTCCGATGTCCGCCATCTTGGTACGCATACTTCAAAAGCACCGAAAATATGAAATAGGCTACATAATTCTGGTTAGATAATGTTACCAAATCCAAAACTCTACATTTAAAGACAGTTTGTCGCAGTAGGACAAGATAGGATTTACATACTTTTCCTGGGGGAGAGGAAAGCCGACAAGACAGATTTATCATATGGCGAACCTCGGCCTCTAGTCCGGTTATCAGTCCATGTCAAGAATAGGATTAGTTAGACAGTTATTTGTTTTCGGAAGCACGATGCAAATGAAAACAATCATTAAACATACAAACCTCTCATGGGTTGTATCTCCTTGCTGTATTTTATCATCAGCTTCATTCATCCACAGAACACAATGATAATAATCAGCGCCAATATAAGCAGTTCGTCCAATTTGAAAACAATCATCAGCTGTTAGTTTACGTCCTGCATAGGAACTTTTCACTTTGCCTTGTGCTAAGTCATGCGTGTCAAGGTCATAGGTGTCCTGAAATATTAAAGATCTCATATATAAAGCAGAAATACGTATTTATTTTGCCACAGTTACCTACTCGCAAGCTTAGATGGACCAGGGTACACTCGACTCCATAATCAGCAGTAGACGGTAAAATATTAGATAAAAAAAATAACTGATTATAGAATCGGGAGAGCAAACAAAACCTCAAATAAGGTTTGAAACGTACAGATTTTAGATGGAAAGGTATTGATGAAAGAAGTAGTAGGTGTTCGCTCACCCAACTTGCCTGATTTCACCTGACTGGCAGTAACAATATGACTCTATAAGATTATTTTGTCATAATAGCCATAGTAAAGTGGTAAGAGAATTGGACCAAACTATATACACAACACAAGTAACACATCTTGCGTTCACGCCCCATGCCCGCCAACCTTACCCATGATATAGTGAATTGAGCAGACAGTGACAAAGCATGATGATTCTTTGGTGCTCCCGAAGTATGCGAACCAAGATGGCGGACATCGGAACGTAACATGGGTAGGTAACAGGTTAGGCGATAATTTTTTTCCAATTTTCCTTATTTTAGTCCTACTATCAGTTCGAAGACTAGCCAAGAGCCTCCCGTAGTATTTATACCTAAAATTATGGCCTAACCCTAACCTAGTACACATATCACATTCCGATGTCCGCCATCTTGGTTCGCATACTTCGGGAGCCCCGATTCTTTTTTTATAAGTCACGCTTGTTCGGTGAAAAAGTATAAAAATTTCATAGATAATTGTAAAAACTTGTAATGAAAGTGACTATATAGATATCACAAGCTAAAATCTTGTGTGTCCACACTCCATGGTAAAGTGAATTGAGTATTCCACCATTCTTCCAAGATTCTTATGTATCAGTGGCTGCCTGTACAGGGCTTTGTTCGAAGTGAAGATTTGAAAAAGTCTTTGATGACTGTTTTTGGACCAGTGGCCAAAAATTTTGTCTACCTAGACTGGGGGGCAGTGTTCCCCTCAAGGTGTGCGCGTGCACACAGATGTATTTCGATGTAATGTAAAAATGTGCTCGGTTGGCAGGTTGAGAAAGTTTGTTGTTGGCCCACTTTTACCCGGTTGGAACGCCAAAATTTCTTCATTGGTTTTTGCACAAATATTAGTCATTTCCAAAAAAGTGCGCACACACCAAAATTTCTGCACACACATACTACAAAAAATTAGAGGGAACATTGCTGGCGGGTCATGCAAGTGTGACGTAAAAGGTTACATTTTATGAACAATATTCACAGTGTTACAAAAAAAGGCAAAAACAATAAGCCTTGTGCCAAAACTAAATTTAATTGCAAGCTCAACAAATTCCTTGAGCTATTTTTAGCTAAAACATCAAAGTTTGGTTATGGCAGCATCAGACGGGCCAGATTGAGTTACCCAAAGGGACTGGATTTGAACCGCGAGCTGTAGTTTGCCCATGTCAGGTATAGACCCAACAGGAAAGTGAATTTTTGATTTTTAGTCTTTAAGGAATTTTTGGGCATGAATTTATGTGAATTCTCTGTTAAATCTGACCAAATCCAGGATTTATTCAATATTCAAAAATAATTCTAGAATAAATTAAAAATCATAAATTATTTTGGCCATTAAAGCATTTAAAATTAAACATATAATATAATTTTTGGAACAATAAAAGAAGTTTTATCTTTGAAATATAAACGCACAATTTAGGTTTAAACCATTGATAATAATTTATTTTTGAGCATTTTGCCAGGTAAGGAAATACCTAGTGTGCAATTGAGCATAATATCACTACTGTCATATTAGTAAATGCTAAAATATGTTTGAGTTCATTTTCTTCACCTCATTGCATTTAAATGAGTTAAATTTCCTATTCTGCAGTCATATGTCTTGTTGAAACTATAGCAATTATTGGAAAATTATCATAATGTACGTTATTTAACAATCCCAATTTAGGACCCTGTTTTACAAGAAAAAAGTCATGGCTCGGTGAACAGGTTTAGGACAAAACGCTAAGAACTCGGAATATGCTTGCCAGTTGCCACCAGTGTTCCCTTTAAGAAAATGTTACACTGAGCAAATGTTTGTTTCAGTGAGCATAAATATTTTAAGGCTGAGCAGAGTCCTTAATTAAAAATTTACAAACTATGTGAAATATTACAACAATATAATATAATATCAGAATGCGAACAAAGTACACATTCAACTCAAAAACATGGAATGAGCATTCTCGCTCAGCGTTATAAGGTATGACGAGCCACGCTTCGAAAACGTAATGTACAAGAACGCGAGAATGAGATTTTACTCTGCCTTGTGGTACTGCGCAATGACACAGTTGCGCACCCTAGAGTGAACCTTGGTTGCCACCATGAAATTTGCTGATTGTGTGTATTCGCAGGTTCGAATCATGTCAGAGATGGCTAAATGTGTGAGTAGGAGCACTGGACTCCTATTGCGACTAAATGCCCTTCGCCTGTGTTTCCTAACATATGGGTGACGACCCAGAACTGGGTTGCTTGAAAATACTGTCTATTGGGTCACTTTTTTACAACCATAAAACAAGTTATAGATTTTATTTTCTAAAATTTTTCTTGTTTATTCTTCATTTGGTATTGGTGCGTTTCTCAATAGTAATTGTAAGTTATATGTGGGAAGTATTAAAGCACAAAAACTTGTCAACATCTATTTTGCTTTGAGTAAAGTGGATAAAAATTATAATTTTGTATATGATAGTTTAATTTAACCTCATAAAAGCACTACATACAAATTGGGTAGTTTGAAAAAAAAGTTGGTTGGGAACCCCTGGTCTACACAACTACTTGTCAACTATGCAGGGATGTGCCAAATTTTTCTGCTGTCCAGGGCGAGTTTCTGATAATGATGACCCTTAAACCAAACTTCAAAAATAATTCAGGAAATAAAAAAATTATAGATGTTGTTATACATCAGAATGATTAAATGGAAGGTAAGGTATGTGTGGAGTTTTCATATTATTAATTAAATAAATCGACTATACACATATTGCCAGCTTTTAATTGTGTAATAACACAAACTCTACAACTTGGATCTCCATATAACATGCTGCCCCTATGGCCTCCCCTGGGCCAGCCAATTACAGTCATCATTCCTGGACCGATTCACCCGCATACCCAACCAGGGTGGGGATCAGATGATAGGCTCCGGTTTACCATATGATTAATCTGTCTTGTCATATTTCTTTAGAATTTTCATAAAACACTTCGCTGTTCCTAACCGGGGGCCACAGAGCAGATAGAGGGGCAACAATGCTCGGCACAAAACTTATTCTACTTTTTACCTTACACAAAAACTCGTTTTTCCTAGTTTCATTGCTTGATAAGGTTATATTTTACAGGTTGTTTTCACTTTGTTGAGTATTAATTGTTTGAACATAATGGGATTTGGAATCCACCAATCAAAATAATACTATATATATATATACCACTGGAATGATAAACAGGGGGGCCATGACTGCTAAAATCTTCCGTAGGGGGCCACGAGCGATAAAAAGTGGGGACCACTGCAATACTTATTAATGTCTTTTGCTCTAAATATGACCCAATACAAGCAGCCACTAATATTTAACAAATTTGAGGCGCAGTTCTTACCACTTCATGGCAGCTCCTGCCACGAACAAACCATGGTTTTATAGCGCTATTCAGTAATCATTATTAACAGTATATTCACAAACTAATGTACCAAATTTTAATTGATCATGAGAATTATATCTACTTAAACCCTAACCCCAAATCCATCAAAACTGTATTCATAAGAAAAACGTTCCAAATTACCCAATATTTGTTACCATAAGGAACAGCCCTGGCTTTACGGCCCACCTGCCATGCTTACGGCAGCAAAATTTTACCTGCCATCAATTTTCAATTTGCTGCCGCGGTAACGGCAGCTCGTCATTGGTTTGTGGCAGCTAAAAAGTTAGTCGCCATAGGTTTGGCCGTAGCGGCCATGGTATGAAAATACCACCATGGCTTTGCGGCAGCTGCAGACGCCACAGAATACTTAAAACTGCACTTGCAAATTTGTGTAAAAAGCTGATATTATTTGCAAGGATAGGAAACTTTCTGGTTCAACATTATTTTGAAAATCCAAATTTTTTCATAACCTACCTGCAATCTCATCAGTGCCTTCGCGGTTCCTTGCACATCTTCATCTCCCGGTAAATTTGGTCGAATATCCCGGAGTTGACCGAGGAACGTTGTGTTTTTTGATACCAAACTCTCCATAGTGTCATATTCTGATTTTAGCTGTCTCATGAACAGGTATTGGTTGACAGGATGTCCTGGAAAATGATTGAATAAATTGCCGTTAATCACTTATCATGCTGTTGACAACTAAAAAGCATATTGCGGAAGACACTATTGAAATGGAAAACAGGAGCATATATCAATCTATATTCCTACCCCGCCATCTGTATGATTTAGCGCTCAATGGAGGAAGTCGTTCAAATTACAAATTGAGAACATGAATATCCCTCTTCCTATGCTTCCTGATCTTATAATATATAACAGAGAGTAATATTCATGAATGTAAAAAAATGACCCAAATGCATTGTTTTGTGTCAGTGGCTCCTTTCATATCTTGTGGCCCTTTTCCAGAGTCTTTAAGCACTTATGGCCCCATGTTCATCATTCCAGTGGTATTCATAGTGTTGCATTGATTGGTAAATTTCAAATCCCATTATAATAAAACAATGCTCTACGTAGTGAAAACACCTTATCAAGCCATTAAACTAGGAAGAACAGCGGTTTTCTTGTAGTGAAAAGCAAAAACAATGTGTTGCATGGTGGGCCCCATACAACTTCTCTGTGGCCCCCTTGGTGGGCCACTGGACCCCGATTGTGAACCACTGCTTCGAGCATTAGCATATGAAAATTTCAAGAATCAAATATGACACCAATTGTATGGGTGTAGTGTGGTTTCGTATCTCAAGTACTTCTAGTGGACGTAGCATAACAATTTTTGCATATGTCAATCCTGACCCCCACCTGACTGCGTCTTCCAAAAGTTACATCACTGCAACGTCACATTAACATAATAAGGCCCTTCAAACTATACGAACTGTTATCGAAGACGCCGGACTATCACCCGGATTCGATCAATCTATTTTTCTCGTTGCAACGACAAAATTTTCGGATGACATTGTGAAGTAGGGGTTAGGATTGACATGTGCAAAAATCGTTATGCTACGCCAACTATAGTACTTGAGGTACGAAACTACACGGGACCCAATTGTATTAGAGGAGGCAAAAGTTCTTAATTTAAATATTTCATACCTAGAAATTTCTCAATATTGTCATTAGCTTCAACTGCATGTGATTTCAAACCACTTGCAACTTCCTTCATTCTCTCAATCCTTGTTTCTTCAGCTGAAATGAAGTCTTTAAGCGAAGAAATCAGGTTCAATTCTTCCTTGACTAAATCTTCCATATGACCAAGAGATGAATAAAATTCTACTCCGATTATTGGCACAACAGTCAAAAAGAAGATCACCCACTCATACATGATTGGGTATTTAGTTAAAACTGTGAAAACAAGAATATTTGTGTTCGATGGCAAAATGATTTGAGGGTGTAAGCCGGACTTGTGTGTTTTAGTGATGTGTAGTTTGAGTTGATTCCTTTGCTTTTGAGTTGTTTATAGGATAGGATTTACATATTCATCATGTGGGAGAAGAAGGAAATAAGATGGCTTATTCATGTAGCAAACCATGGCGATGTTGTTTTGTCTTACAAACTCCTTTGTACAAACAGTTTTGTATACTCTACCCTGACCTCTGTTATCACATTCACACCCACTCCTTGCACAACTGTCTGTATACAGGTATAAAGGACCATATTATACGTACCGGTATTTGATTTACCTTATTATAATTTATATATATTAAAAGGGGGGTATGCCGCACATTCGGGTTTTAGGCCACTATGGTTTTGTGCATACATCCCATCTTCAGTATTTATAATCACTAATTCTTTTATATTGCTTTTACGAGACGAATATAAACATACATACATATGGCTTCCCGTCTGGTTACCAGTTCATGTCGGGTACGGGGTTAACGGTAGTTATTTGTTTTTCGGATGCATAGACTTGATAGTGGAGGAAGCAGCGTATTATTAACGCTTAGCATCAAGTGCCACACTGCCGAGCCATCCATCTTCTGAACTACAGATATACAAAAAGTATACATTGACAAGTAATCTTGCCACCATTTAAAAATTGAAAAGATCAGAATCTCCTTTCCTAAACTAATACATTATGTTAGAGCTGCAATTGTTTTAAACTTCTGTCCTCAACCAGTCATCATAAATATATTATAGCATAAGTATAACAATGTGACTCTGCTCTTTGCTATAAACTTTTGATTTCATTTTATTACATTACAATACTGCAATAATATTAAGTATTCTTTTATACGAGTCACAAATCTGCAAATGAATCAGCAGTACAATTTACAACTGTACAATGGAATGATGGGCTTGATAGCCATACGGACCTCACAACAAATTCCTTTTATGAATACTTCATACATTGATAACATTTCATATAATATGATCTGTTGCTGCTAATCCTGTAATCATTTCAATTATATTTACTACGGTATATTGCCAATTCAGTAAATACATATCACTATACAATTTTATCATTACATTTGAAGGTCCAAGAAGTTAGGTCTTTTAAAGTTCTCTGGAGCTCTCTCTAAATGCATTGTCGAAATAAATGGCGCACCACTGCTATGATGGAACTAAGGTAAAATCAGCAGGGAGCAACTAAATGCAGACAATCTTGCAACGACAAAGTTCTCCTGCAGAGTTCATTTTCTTTTACTTGATCAACAAATTCTAGACGTTTCTCTCACACCTTGATGATTTATAAGAACTTCGCGCCTGAGCGAAGACAACCCGGGTAATGTCGGAAGATGACAAAACCTCGCATGTGAATAAACAACGCCGATCGAGACAATTATAGATTTGGAAATACTAGTTTCCTACGTTTTACGCATTTTTTATTCCAGCGGTATTTCAGGCAACGCAGAATTTTGCATTTGTACAGCTAAATTGATTAGGACAATAGCAAAAACCGTCGTCCTTTAAACTGGCTCTACTTTTGACAATCAACGACAGGATGATCGCTCAAGCCTACGATTCTCGTAGGCAATTTTCGATTGTGTTTTTATTGCAATTTCATTGCCGCTAAATAACTACGGTACTACTTCAGCGACCGTGATATTATGGTGAGATAAATAGGACTTGGATATAATAACTTTTTTTGCGATTTTTCGTCCTATAATTAATCTAATTTTCATGTTAATATAGATAAATATACCACACATACATTTTCCCATAAACTGCGCCGCGGTTTTTCCTATCTTGCCACAATTTTTTCGTGTTTTGATTCGAAATGCGTACGTGACTAAAGTTCAGCTACGAGACGTGCGTTATTTGCTTATTAAACAAAAAAAGCGGGGATGTATCATACGGTGCCGCCAAGTCCCGCCGATAGTAGATTAGCGGCATCCTGACGATAAATTACACCCTGCTGGGAAAGTGCTAAATTACAGTTTTTCGTCTGGAGGGAGATAAAATATAAAAGTACTAACATAAACTATTATTTATACAGATTTGATTCGTACCAATTTCAAACCGGTACTATATCGTAAATTGCGTAAAAAAGATTGCGCAAAACCATCGTCTCTGAAGTGAAAAACTACTTCTGCGTTGCTTCGTTACACTTGGTCAGCCACCGATTAAAATAGTTTCGTTCACGCAGGCACGTAGCCCTTACCGCGGAGAAAAACGAGACGAGACTTCCGCTGGAAAAGTTCGCTGTTTTCGATGTCGATGCATAAACTTCGGAAAATTTTTTTTCGTTGTGATTGCCTTTGAAAAGCTCCGCATCTGACATGTTAGGACCGCTTCATGGCAGTACATATATCAGAGTTAGGTTATCCAACTTTCTTTTTTTCGCCTTGGGTGAATTCAAGGTATGTCAAGAACTGACAAAGGACTGTTAATTAAGTCAAAGTGTTGTAGCAGAATAGTCATCTGTTTTACTTAGGGACCTTGTTTTATTTTATATTAAAAATCATTCAAAATGGTGACAGAAATTATTATTTGTAGGTTCACTAACTAAAACAGATGCAGTAAAATAATGATATTTTCTATATTGCTAATTGGAGCATAATTATATAAATTTTAAATTTTGTGATATTTTGTGTAGGGATGGGTTAGTATATCTGTATATTGTAGTTTTGGACTTTATTTTTTTTTTCAATTTCAGTCAAAGAGACACCAAGATAGGAATATTAATGACTCAAATATTGAAGGCAAATTTATTTGACAAAACTATATAACAACAAAAGATAATTCCACATAACACTAGTAAGCATGTTCTAGCTTAGTTAGGTAAAATCGTTTTGTGTGGGAGAAACGGGAGAAACAATATACAGACTGCAGACATGCTATATATACTGAAATATGTCTGTATTCAGGTATTTTCCAGGTATTATTCTGTATCTACAAATATATATATTTATTTTTTACACAGATTTTTCCAATCATGTTTAAAATATTATTATTATTAGTAGCATGCATTCATGTGTGCTGGGGTGAATTTTATTCATCTCTTGGACATATGGAAGATTTAGTTCACGAAGAATTGAATTTGGTTTCTACACTTAAAGAATTCATTTCTGCTGAAGAAGCAAAACTTGAAAGAATAAAGAAAATTGCTAATGAGATTGAACTGCAAGCCGAAGAAGCTGGAAGTGATGTGGAAAAATTTTTGGGTAAGATGTTTTGCAGAGTTGAATGAGAAGATATTATGACTAAACTTAAAATATACAGTATTAGTTATTTTGTGTATATTATCTTATTATTTACATATCCTAAACTGCTGTTAAATATGAAGAGTACTGTACATGTCACAAAACTATGTCTGCAAAAACTATCTGTAAGGTTTTGTGGGTAATATACGTGATGTCAGTAGTAATTAAATAAAGTAAATTTTAATATAAAGCATTGCAGTCATACACAATGAGTTATTTGTCACATATTAATTTAAGCTTTTTAGTATGGTACTGATGAGAAATCTTTAAAGTTGTCAAGAATCATCCCAGGGCTGTCGTTGAATTTCCGCACCAACCATCCCGTCCATCACCCTGGATATAGGGTGTGAGCGTGTGACAAAACTTTTGTCTAGATTTATTCTTGGTATCATGTATGGGTGTTTCTTTTTTTGTCAATTTTCCGATTTTCAAATTGTCTTCAATGTGGCCCAAACTCAATTTATTTTAAGCTTACTAATTACCAAATCTTGCTTGCTTCGGCCACCTGACCTAGCGAATTAAAAGTTAGCCATCACTAGATTATACGTTTTTATACGTATATTTTTATTTTTTCACAGGAAATCCTGTCAACCAGTACCTGCTTCTTAAAAGATTAAAAACAGAATATGATGAAATGGAGACTTTAGTGATGAAGAACTCTTCATTTCTTGACCATCTTGGTGAAATGAAATCGTATATTCCTGGCCAAGAAGACGTCGAAGGAACAGCCAAGGCAATAATGAGATTGCAGGTAGGATAAGCACAAAGATAGGCGCAGAACTGATTTTATTCCACTTTACAAGAAATTCTTCGCTCTTCCTAATTTCATTGCTTGAAAAGGTCTTTTCACAGGGGTTTTCCGCTTTGTTGAGCATGGGTTGTTTGGAGATAATGGGATTTGGAATCTACCAATCAAAATAACACTATAGATACCATTGCAATGTTAAACAGGGGCTCATGGGTGCTAAAAGTCTCTGGAATGGAGGCCACAAGCCATAAAAGGCTGGTAACCACTGTGTTACAAAGAATAACTTTTGTTGAAGACTAATTTGGAGTAGGAGCCATAGTATCCAGAGTTTTGCCCTTGTATTGATATAGCATTTTCTGTGATTCTTACAATTTCTATTTATTTAGGACACTTACAAGCTTGATACACATGAATTGGCACAAGGCAAAGTGAAAAGTTCCTATGCGGGACGTAAACTAACAGCTGATGACTGTTTTCAAATTGGACGAACTGCTTATCTAGACGCTGATTATTATCATTGTGTTCTGTGGATGAAAGAAGCGGATGATAAAATACAGCAAGGAGATACAACACATGAGAGGTTTGTATGTTCAGTGATGGATTTAGTTTACACCAGTGGTTCCCAATCAGGGTCCATTCTGGCCCCTAAGAGGGCAAAGTGTATCTGGAAGGGGCCACAATGCTAGTGCAAAACTAGTAGTACTTTTCTTATACAAGGCAAACTCCCCTTCTTCCCAGTTTCATTGCTTAATAAGGTTACTTCACAGGTTGTTTTCACTTTATTGAGCATGAATTGTTTGAACCTAATGGGATTCGGAAGCTATCAATATAACTAACACTATAAATACCTGTGATGATAAACAGGGGGGGGGGGGGGGTATGTGCTTGTTAAAGCCTCTGGAAGGATGCCACGAGCCACAAACGGTTGGGAACCACTGGTTTACACAATGCTGTGACAAAATATCTTATCATAGATCTTGAATTCTGGCTGGCCAAGACCCAGGCTAGGAGGTATAGTCTGATTCACACCCAATTTCAAACTCTGAGTTATTCTAAAAACAACTCCCAATTCCAGGTTGGGAAAATAATCCTACCTTGAATTTCAAGACTAAAGCTTTAGCCTTCATTCCTTTTCTGTTGAGAATTCTCAATCAACTTTTGCTTTTTGAGTTTCTTTAGAAAATTTTGACTTTCATTTTACCATTTTTAATGCCAGGTCTCTGTCCCGGAGAAAATCATATTATGAGTCTGACTCCTCATTCTGGGGGTCCTAGATACGACTTAGGTCTGACTACGATACCAATAAAATCACGCCAAACTCCCAAACTTGTGTATGACAAAGTCAAATCTCACACTTTCTTTCGATATTCAGATTCGAAGTCTTGGACCATCTGGCATTCAGTTTATCGCAACAAAGTAACTGGGAGGAAGCCTATGCTCTTACAGAAGAGATGTTAAAGATTGATCCAGATCATAAAAGAATTCAAGGAAATAGAGAGTTTTATCGACAAACAATGCAAGCAAGGAAAAAGGGAGATGAGGGAAGCATTTCAGAAAACCTATTCAACAAGTCAAAGTTGAAATTGAAACGCAAAGATGACTATCTTCCAGAACGTCAACTGTATGAAAAATTATGCCGAGAAGGAGGGGAAATAACCCCCCCAAAAATCCAGAAAAAGTTAAAATGCTATTATTGGGATAACAATGATCCATTGTTACGTATTCAACCCCTAAAAATGGAAGAATTGTATCCTTCACCCCATGTTGTTCGGTTCTATAATATTACATCTCCAAGTGAAATAGATGAAATCATAGCTATGGCTAAACCCCGACTAAATCGTGCGACGGTGCAGAATCCTGTTACCGGTATCTTGGAACATGCCCACTATAGAGTGAGTAAAAGTGCTTGGCTTGATGATCATGAAAGTGATCTTGTTTATAAGATAAGTAAAAGGATCTCTGCCATTACTGGATTAAGTATGAAATCAGCTGAAGAATTACAAATCGCAAATTATGGGGTCGGAGGTCAATATGAGCCGCATTATGATTTTGCACGTCGTCGTGAAAAAGGAAGTTTTGAGGAAATGGTTGGAAACAGAATCGCAACCATGCTTTTTTATTTCACCAACGTAGAATACGGCGGCGCAACTGTATTCCTGAATGCCAAAATAGCAGTTCAACCTATCAAAGGCAGCGCGGTTTTCTGGTACAATTTGTACCCATCGGGGGATGGCGATATGCGTACACGCCACGCTGCGTGTCCCGTCTTAACCGGCGTGAAATGGGTATCAAATAAATGGATCCATGAGAGAGAACAGGAATTCAGAAGGCCTTGTGGACTTGAACCAAAGTCAGATAATCGCATATTTTGAATTTGAAAACGAAGCAAGTAGTCGTAGTTGTACATTCGGCATCACAAGTGCCAAGTTTTTCTTTCGCTAGCTGTTCATATATAACAATAAGTGCTGTTTTGCAATATACTTTTTTGATGAATGAACTTAAGTTTTTTTTAATTTTTAGAAGCAAAATGCAAGTTTTTTAATTAAGTACAACTTGAACAACCAGGATAAATGAAGCACAATCATTGTTAGCAAAACGGTGTAATTTACGTACGTTTTGATGAAGAGATTCTGTATAAACTTCAAAACATCTGCAAATTATATCATTTTGCTAACACCGGTTGTGCTTTCTTTATCCTCAGCAGTTATTGAATATTGCCAGCATATTATTGACGAGAACTTCCTTTTTTTTTTAAATTTTTTTACTTGAGATGGGAACAAGCTATGATATTCAAAGCAATTAATGTTTATTATGCCGTTGTTTCGATGGTAATTATTTCTTTTACCGGTTTCAGAATGAAATTAAAGAATTAAGTATTTTAAATACCACCTAATTTTAAATATATTTGAATTGTTTTTTGATGTCCCTTGTTTTATTCCTGCGAAAATACTGGTATGTGAATTTTTTCATATGAAATCAAAGGTGCGGATAATTATACTTGATTATGAATAAATCTGGCAACTTCTTTTTAAAATGAATATTTCAGCATTTATCTTCAACCTTATAACCACAGTATTTTATTTTTTTTATTGCAACTAACACCCTTTGGATTTTAATCTATAATTTACAGAAGAATATCCATTTACAGAAAATTAACTCCTAACGCATAGTACATTGCAAACTAATATTTTATCTTGTTTACCCTTTGACAAATATAAGGTAAAATTCTTCCCCTCAACTGTGTATACCAGGGGTGGGCTACTTCTCTAGTCGACGGGCCAGATGTTGGAAAATAAAGTTCTCGGCGGGCCAGATTATAACATGAATAATATTCAATATCTTAATCACATATTTATTCGCTACTGCAAGAAAGAAAATTATAAACCGCGTTTAAAGTAAAGCTTAAACTACAAAAAATAGAGACCAAAAAACACATAATGAATTTATTACAATGTACTAAAAGTGTAATAGTATAATATCATAATGTACTTATGTACAGTCAGCGGGCCAATCAAAATCTCGTCGCGGGCCGTATGTTGCCTACCCCTGGTGTAGACTGTCTGTTCCAGTGTGCTGTGAGTGAGCGTCGAAAATAGGGGTACTAGTTTAGACCATCTTTCTGCTGCGGGAGGCATAACAAATATTCATTGCATAAGATCCACATTTAGCCTTGTATTTTTTTGCTTGCAAATTTAGCCCCGATGCGGGTCAATTTTACCCTGGTAGAGAACCCCTACATTAGATGAATCCTAATCTTTCAAATTCGTCCAAGTCACGAAGCATCTAGCAAATTATTCAAAAGGAGGAAATCTCTATAATCTTTTTATTTTCATCATATTTTTATGTCATTTTGTGCTCCCAAAAAGTGTTGCTATCAAGCTTTTGCTTTCTGCTATTTTTGCTAATTAAACACATACCCGTCTCCAAACTAAATTTAGAACTTATTTGTTAATCTACAACACTGAACTGTGGAGCATTGAAAGAAAGTAGGCTATGCATAAAATTTATAATGAAATATGAATGAAACTACAATAAAATATTGACACTCAATTGAACATATTAATATATACAAGTGTACAACTCATGGCGTATATGGTTCACTAGCGTTTTTTGACTAATGTCCCTTTCATTCTGTTGGTGCATCCGCATGCAATGACCTTGATGCTGTATCAAGGATCAAAATGTTTATCTATATCGAGTGCTTCCAATATCTTACATCATACTTTTACAAATTTTATTTTGTAGTCATGGTTACAGACAGAAACAATGATTGTGCTTGTCTGAGGAAGTCTGACTTCCACTACAGAATAAAATATGTGCAACTCCAGTGTCTCGTGTATGTAATCAAATGAGAATTATTTACCAAGGAATTAATCTCACTATCTTTGATATATTCACCTTTTTAAACTTTTATCTGCAGCCATTTACTTTTTTATCATTTCATATGCTTTGACAGCGCCATCAGCATGCTATTATACACTTTTGCTATACTTTATTTCACTTTTATCGCTTCTTTTTTTGATGGCGCACATTCTGAACATAAGATGTGTACCAGGTCAGGATTCAGGTTGTACGCCATCTTGGTGCAGATACTCCCGGAGCGCCTTTTTTATTGCACAATGTTACATAATTAATCTTCAGCAAGTTGAACTATATTTTTTAAAGAAGATAGAAACACAACTGCCAAATTTTGTTGAACTTTTTTGGAATCTTAATTTTCATCTCAATGTATTAGATCATATATCTTTCTTTGTAACAAAATACATAAACTGCATAGCAAGAACAGTGTCCTTATATCTATTTTATCCCCCGTGTCATGTGAAACGCAGCCAGACTGAAATTGGCATCAAGACTGATAAAGAGCAGTGCTGGGGGAGGCTTGAGTTGTATAAATGGGATGACTTAGACCAGTGGTACCCAACCTACTATGGCATGTGGCCCACTCCAGAGGCTTTGGGCACTCATGGCTCCCTGTTCATCATTCCAGAGATACTTATAGTGATTTTGATTGGTCGATTTCGAATACTGGAATATCAAATGTTCAAACAATCAATGTTCGGCAAAGTGAAAACATTCTGTGAAATATCTTATCAAGCAACGAAGTGAATGTTTTTTTTTGTAAATGGAAAAGTGAAATCAGTTTTGCGCCTAAGCATTGTGGCCCCCTCCAATCGCCCGTGGTTCCCTTGGGGACCGCCAACTTAGGCTCGCCATCAACTAAGTAGCTTGTATCAGTGACTGACTCGACTTACTTGTGACATTACCCTACACTGATAGAGATCTAGGTGAGAATAAAAAACAATGTAAATGAATATAAATAGCGATTTGATGACCGGCCTCATATACTTTTGTAATCTATAGGGTGCCCTCCCCCCTAAAAAAACTAGATTACAATCGGAGACCGCCGACTTATCGATCATCCACATGTTCTCTCCGCTCTGACTCAATAGCGACACCGCGTGTCTCATCACCAATTAATTGATACCTCGCTAATTATACGACATAATTCATCCAAAATCGATAGGCTTCTGGTCCGAGTGTGATGAGTGCACATGCACAATTTGGAGCAGATTCAATCTCGCTTTCGTGAGATACGTGTGGCATAAGAAATTGTCCAACAGTCACCCAAACAGGCAAATACCTATCAACATACTTACCGATTGAGATTGTTTAAGTAAAGCATAAGTTTATTTCGACTCCATAATCAGCAATAGACGGTAATAAAGGATAAAAACAAAAATAAAAGTAACTGATTATAGAATCGGGAGAGCGAACAAAACCTCGAGTAAGGTTTGAAACGTACAGATTTTAGATGGAAAGGTATTGATAAAAGAAGTAGTACGTGTTCGCTCACTCAAAAGTAAAAAAAAACTAATTAAGGCACGCACGCACACACACACACATACACACAACCATCGAGACATGATACTGTCGGAAGATAAAAAAAAAAGCGAGACTTAAAATCAATTAAATTACTCAGTAAAAGGAAAATATACAAACAAATGAGAAAAAAAAATGAATAAATTCTTTTGCCACACCAAATTAATATTTTTATGAGGATTGCCAAATTGGATACCGAATTAGAATGTACTGTGGATAGAAAAGTATTCCTCCAAAGATATCGTCAAGCTGATTATAATCGGAGTCACCTAATGCCAAATTGCCCAATCAGAATTGCCAAGTTGGCTTTCTATCTAAAAACGGAACCCAGTCTATTTAGGACATATTGCATGAGTTCAATTGCATTTTGGCTCATCCTGTATGTATATGTATTACCCAGTCAGCTTCATAATCATTGAGTTTCTGTACAGTCAGAGCTGTATTTTCAAACCCATTAAATCTGGAGTCCAAATTCGAATTTGTTGCAATCAGAATTTTGGACTTTCAGTGATAGTAAAAAAAACTCAAAACCGTCTACAAAACTCACAAACCGGACTCAAAAGTCAATTTTTTTTAATCCGTAATCGGAGTCTCATTTTTTTTTACCTCGGTGGGAGCAAAGTGATTATAGTCACTGTGGGTGTGGGTGGGAGTTGATTGCAAAAATTATCCGACTCCACAACTAGATAAAAGATCTCGTCAAATATTTTTTGACCGCATGTTGGCGATATGGATCATTTTCTAACTTCTGGTTTTGCTGCTCAAAGTCATACACGCTTTGCTGCTGATAATGACATTTCGTACTTAATTGGGAGCTTATTTGCGGCGTATTTTCGGGATATTGGGTAGTGTTTCGTTATGAGCCAAGAAAAGACCAAAACAACAATTTATAACAACGTTGATATCCACCCTTGTATGCAGGAACAAGAGTTGTCAATATCGTGTATGTCCAATAATAATTACGATCGAGAAACATACAGAGAAAAGTGTGTCGAGTATTTCAGAAATTATAGGGATTGCAAAAGATTTTGGGGCTCTGTAAAACTAAAACGAGCCGGGCAAGGTATAAAACCGCATATGCCCCCTGCAGACGAAAGACAAAATATTGTGGATTACCTTGGAGAAAACTTGCCTTACCAGCTCGCTTCTAAATTCAACACTTCACATTAAAGTAAGACTTCCTTTTTTATCATTTAAGGTTATTGAAATTCAGTAATCAGCAGTTAAATTTCGCACCATACTGAAGGCACACTCCATATCAAAATTCAAAACTTGCAATGAATAATGAAAAAGCATAAGACAGTAAGAAAGTATAACAAGAAAATAATAATATAATTGCCTATACGTTGAGCAAAGCACACTTTTCATATTCTAGCATTTAGTTACCAACCTGTGCAAGTATATTAGTTATTACTAATCATTCAATTTAGAGGTCTTGGGTCTAATGTAGTTTCGTACCTGACATACTTCTAGCGGGCGTAGCATGACAATTTGGGTCTCATGTAGTTTCGTACCTAACATACTTCCAGTGGGCGCATCATAACAATTTTTCACGTATCAATCATAACCCCCACCTGACTACAGTGACGTAATAGAGCCCTTCAAACTATACGAACTGCCATTCAAGACGCGCAAACGAGCACCTGAAATTGAACAGCTATTTCTCTCGTTTTCTCGCCGAAACGATCCCAATATGAGAGATATTTGGCAATCTCGATGATGCGATTGTGATGCTGTAGTGACGCAATTTTTGGATGGCGTAGTCAGTCTGGGGTTAGGATTGATAGGTGAAAAATTGTTGTGCTACGCCCACTAAAAGTAAGTTAGGTACGAAATACCAAGTGCTATAATTATCATTAAACCAAGAAAAAGGTGGAAAGAAGCAGAACGGAGTTCTTTGTGTTTCATGTATTTTTTGGGTTACCCGCTGCTTTCGCACTGTTTATAGTAAATATTGGTTCAAGAGAGGCAGAAAAATAGGTTCTACCGAAATTAATGTCACAATTCCACAACTACTCAAATAACAGCAAACTTAAATGTGATGGAAAAATAAATGTCATAACTTCTTAAATAATGCCAAACAAAAACGTGATGTGAAAATACAGTCAAAATTTGGTGCTCCCGAAGTATGCGAACCAAGATGGCGGACATCGGAACGTAACATGGGTAACAGGTTAGGGTTAGGCGATAATTTTTTTTCAATTTTCCTCATTTTAGTCCTATTATCAGTTCGAAGACTAGCCAAGAGCCTCCTGTAGTATTTATACCTAAAATTATGGCCTAACCCTAACCTAGTACACATATTACATTCCAATGTCCGCCATCTTGGTTCGCATACTTCGGGAGCCCCCAAAATTTTTATTTTTCAAATAAAAATCTGTCTTGCTCAGATTGCTACCCCATTTGGCATTTTTCGAAATAAAAGAAATTTAAGTTTACATTTTCGTTTAGCATTATTTCAGTAGTTACGATGTTTAAATCGCTGGACCAGGAAAAATTTGCATGTAGTCTGGTAGTAGATATTAACTCGTTTATCTCAATTTATTATAGAAAGCAATGGATTTAGATGAAGCTCCAATAATTCACGGACTTGAGCTCCCGTCAAGATGTATCTGCGCACAATCAGCAGACACAAATATCACTCGATTTATGGTCGCAACACAGTCATTACGGCAAGAAAACCAGCTCCATTACGTGGAATTCGATGATGAAAACAATGTCATTGATAAAACCATGTTTTCTCACCCAATTGGTGAAGTCTGGCATCTGTCAGCAAGTTTCAACAATCCAGATGTTTTCACAAGCTGTTATCAATCATTTGAAAATGGAAAATTAATCCATGGATGTATGGTAGGGAAACTACCATTAGATGAGAATCAAAAGCCAATAGTTAATTCAGCCACTACGCAAGACATTACACAAAATCAACAAGGAACACTAGAAAATCTGGCGACCCTAGATTCAGAGGAGTTTGGAAATATATCTAGTTCGCATTGGAAACCAATAGAAGGGGAAAACTTCTTAATGGCTCTTGCTGGCAGCAAGATGCTCCTCTATGATATGGAGCAAGGCACACCAAAGCTTTCTGACTCGTTCGAGCTTCCAACTAGAAAAGGGCATCCTTGCACTATAACAAGCGGCAGGTGAGTAGTTTTGATCATTACGGATGGGACTTTATTATTTACATGGGGTGATAGAAAACCGACAAGACATTTGGAGAACCACGGCCTCATCTCTGGTCAGTATGTTCCTCAGATTTTTTATTTAGGGTAGGAGAGGAGGGGGAGGGGTAAATACTGTTTGTATCTGTTATGTATTTGAACCGGCATATGAGCCACTTTCTGAATATTCAAATAATAGTTCCAGATGCATGGACATATTGGTGGAGAAAGGTGTTACCGACCAGAGGTTACATGAACCACCCTATGACAGTAAGCAGTCTAGCAATTCTCTTGCATATAATTATCCCACGCAGGATTTTAAACTGTGAACTTAGGTAATGAGAAGTGAGATTGCAAAGCGTGTTGGAAAACCCAAAAATTGTTATTATTATTAGTAAAAAAGTTGAAAAGTAGTGTCTTTGAGAAATCTAAAACATAACTCATTAGCTTTCACTGGGCACACTACTTTCAAACTTTTTCACTAATCCTGGGGGCTCTTCTTTTACCCCAAATTAGGGTATTCCAAAAACGTTGATTGTAGATGTTCCTCTAATTGATTTCAGATACATTTTGTGTTTGGCCCTAATTATGCAAAAAAGATGCTTTTTGATCTAATGATAGTTTGCAGCCATATTCACCAAAGTATTTCAATATAAAGTTAGAGAAGTTTCAAGATCAGAAATATCTCATTTACCCAGAACATTTTTTTTTGATTGAGCCATTACATGCTCAGCGGTGTGGCGCATGACTCCTTCCCGCCGCGGGGTGGTTCACGTAGGCCATGGTGTGCCATATGATTAAGATTCTTATCAGCTTTCTTCTCCCCCTGGATAAATATGTAATGCGGAAAACGATGCAGAAAATAACTGATATAAATATCTTTCTCTCTTTCAAGATGGAACCCACATCATGGTGGCAAACAATTTGCAGCGGCCACTGAGCAAAATGTTGTCGGTTGGGACATTCGATCCAAATCTCAAGCTTTCATAATAGAAGGTGCTCATGGACAACTTGTACGAGATGTCGACTTCAATCCGAATAAGATGTATTACGTCGTAACTTGTGGAGATGATTGTCAGGTCAAGTTCTGGGACACAAGGTGGGGCTAACAAGTTATATTTTCTTTATAAATTGTGGGGGGGGGGGGTGATAGGAAAACACGAAAAATATATCTCCGAATTTAATTATGTGTCGTCATTTTGAGCACCGGTCTCCTGTTCTAGAGATGTTCCCGTTTGATTCATGTCCATATGTTTAGATGTCTGGGAACAACACCACAAGCTCTAGATGCAGTAACAATGGTGTGTTCTAAACCACCTTATCCAAAGTAAATGAGTAATATGTATTAATGACGATCACTTTAAAGACAGTAAGCTCTGTGTTTGATATACCCTAACACAGAGGTTCCCAAAAAGTGTGCCGCGAAAATTAAATGATTAAATATTTTACATTTTATATTTATTAGAAATGTTATATTGTTGACCTTTTGCCTTTATTGTTCAGGCCTACATGTTTACAAACTTTAAAAGGCATACACACAAAATTGAGTTTTATTCAAAAAGCAGCAATTTTTTAGTGTAGGTGCTACATAAGTTTTTCCCTGATACTCTGGCTTTGGCGCCTCATGAACGAAAAGTTTGGGAACGACTGCCATAACAATAGAAAATCAAAAAGCTATTTTCTCATTTCAGAGATCTTTCTGATCCGGTTAAAGTTCTCTCTGATGATCATTCACACTGGGTCTGGTCGACAAGGTACAATCCATTCCATGACCAACTGGTGCTCAGTGGTGGGAGTGACAGCCGGGTTATATTGTATAATATGAAGTAAGTGGACTTTATTTTCCAAGTAGTGTTTTGCAGCTTTTTTTTCAAGTTGTGATGAATAAAACTCTGGGCAAGCAGCCCAATATGTATGGGCAAGTACAGTGCTTTCTACCCTTTTTCAGTTTTACTGTTACTATTTTTTCTGTGCAACCCTCAATGAGATGTTAATATAATATGAGAAAAGAAACAATGTATCCCCATGCAATTTAGTATCAATGCAAAACTAGATCTGCATATTGTAAATCAAGTCTTATAATGACGGTAATTCTAATTGTTACATTGTTTTCTATTTGTTACGTGATGATAGTGCCACAATTTCCTTATCTAATTAAAAACTATATGTACCATTTGGAAATACATCCTGTCCTTGTTCGCATAGTTAATATTAACAAAAATGGACTGACCTCATTCAGGCTTATAATTAATTAGCCACTTAGTCACACCTTGAATTAGGTTATGTGCCTGGGATTTTTAACCGAGATGTGTAACCTTACCATTTTTATTCACTAGGATTCTGCACCCAGAAAACAATTTTCAATAGTATGCCATTTTTAATGTAAAATAAATCGCGATTAATGTCAATAAAACAGTTGTATTCAGAATGTTAGGATTTGATTGCAGGATTGAATTATGGGACAGTGGTTTCCATTGGTATTCGTCAGTCTAGGTGCCCCTGGTCGAAAGACCTTGCCCAACTCTGATATATTTCTTTGAGTACTCCTGAAGTATGTGAACCAAGATGGTGGACACCGGAACGTAGTATGTGTACTAGGTTAGGGTTAAGCCATAATTTTATTTCAATTTTCCCTATTTTAGTTTTTTCAAGAGTTCCGGGACAAGTCAAGTGCCTCCCGAAGTATTTGTACCTAAAATTATGGCCTAACCCTAACCTGGTACACATACTACGATCTGCGGTCAGTCATCTTGGTACACATACTTCAGGAGCACCCTTTGATCAGAATGTAAACTTCAGAGATATAATTTATTTTATTCATAACATGACAATATCTTCCGAAGTGTTTGCACCTAAAATTACGACCTAACCCGAACTTGGTACACATACTACAATCCTCTGTCCTCAATCTTGATACGCGTACTTCAGGAGTGCCCCTTGATCAGAATGTAAACTTCCAAAATATAATTTATTTTATCCTTCACAGAACAATATCTTCTGAACCGTTTGAGACAGAGAACCTGTCTTCAGATGATGACGCATCAAAGTCGAGTGATTCAGACGACGAATTTTCGCCAGAAAAAAGACAAATGGAAGATGGTGTGATAGGAGTCTACGAGGAGCACGAGGACAGTGTATATGCAGTGGAATGGAGCGCGGCGGATCCATGGACTTTTGCTTCACTGAGTTATGACGGGCGCTTTGTGATTAACAGAGTTCCAAAGAAAGTTAAATATGGAATTTTGCTTTGATTTTAAAGGCAGATTCGGTTTCGTTTGGAATATTGGCTTGTTTCCACTGACACTGTGGAGTGTGAAATCTGAGAAACTGAAAAAAATTAAGTTGACAAATTGTTACTATCAGTTTTTCAATGAACGCTTGAACATTCTAAAGTTTCCATTCTCTGAGGTTGATTTCCTCCGGTAGTTCAGAGGGTGAGTTTACTACAGAAAACTACTGCATGACTCAAAAAACAACCCATAAATTCATTGATCACTTATATCAGGGGTGTGCAACCTGTGGGCCCTGGGCCAAATGTGGCCCACAAGGAATATTGTGTAGCCAGCCGATAAGTGCCAATTTTGAATGATGTTGGCCTGTGAATCGAGTTTTATTTCATATTAATCTGGTACATGCAGGTAATTCCAATCCCTTTAAATTTATTATTTATGTCTATGACGCTACAATGCCCTAACAGCTAGCTTGTACGAAGCGAACTACGACTCTAGTTTTTCTAGACTCGATTTGTTTTGTGTTATCATAAAGTGTGCCCACAAAATAAACGATTTATTCATTGATTACTTATACCAAAATGATAAGTTTTCAAGGACTTCTCAGCCCTGGATCCCGTTGAGCAGGAAATATTGTTCTTTAGGCTGTTAAGATAATTTCCTTGAAATGGTTTTCAAAAACTCGATTCCTTTTGTGTTATTATTAAGTAGTGTGTATTTATGTATGTCTTGGTGTGTATTTTCCTATGAAAGAGATCCATTAACAATTTTTTAAATAATAAATTGAATGTTGAATGATTGGGATAAGAAAATCGCTAATCCTCACCTTGAAATTTATCACTGAGGTATGAATTGGCAGCAGCTGAGCTGAACTAGTTAGATGTAATAAGATGAGACCGACTAGTCATGCGTCACCAAATCCTGAATTGCATAGATATTAAAGCATACTAGACCTATAAATTGTGATTTATTTACTTTTTTCTCTCTTCTGTTAATATTCTGTTAGACTAATTCATGGGTGTCGCTGCTCTTCAACCTGTTTTGGTTTCTCGCAATTCCTTTCACCCTGAAATGCCATATTCAAGTTCCTTTATTATATTTATTTGCATAAAGTTGTTTTTACTTATCGATCTTTAGATCGGTAAGTATGTTGATAGGTATCTGTCTGTCTGTTTGTCTGTCTGTTAGATGCACGTGATATCTCATGAAGGCGTGGTTGAATCTTCTCCAAATTTTGCATGTGCATTCATCATATCTCGGACCAGAAGCCTATTGATTTTGGATGAATTATGTCGTATAATTAGCGAGTTATTAATTAATTAGTGATGGGACACGCGGTGTCACTATAGAGTCATTGATCGAAACTGCAGTTTCGATCGAGAAGTCTTCGGTCTCCGACCGGTATTTTCGTTTTCTGTTTGGTGAAAAAATAAATTACTGATTTATATTTCAAGGCTTTTAAAATGCAGAAAGGCATACCTTGAAAAAACTTTTTAAAAATAATAAGAAAATTGGGTCCGGAGTCCGGAAGTATGCGTAACACGTTAGGGTTATACCATGATTTCATTCCAATTTCCCTTATTTAGTTCAACCATAGGTTTGGGGACTAGCTAAGTGACTACTGCAGAATTTGTACCTGAAATTATTGCCTCACCCTAACCTGATACATACACATGCTACGTTCCGGTGTCCGCCATCTTGGAACACATGCTTCTGGAGTACCTTGAAATACCTAGGTGATTATGGCTTCAAACCTTCGTGACAGCCTTCTTGTCATTTTTTCAAAAATTTCAATATTTAATTTTGAAAACCTGAATTCGTGATTGTTATTATGTTTCAGTTTTTTTAGGAATATAGTTTTAGGCTTATAAACTTAAAATGTCAACGAAAAAGGTGAAAGGAAAAACGAAAAAAGTATCGCAAAATGATCTGCGAAAAATGATGAATGATATGAAGAACAAACGTACGATAGATGTTGTGAAATCGAATAATCAAAGAGATGGTCGCGTTTTGACAAGCAACCCAGAAGCGTACAAAAAAGCGCTTAACGATCGTATGAAACTACAAGCCTTAATTGCTGGAAATAAATCTGAATCTACACAGAAAAATACGGAATTAATAAAAAGTAAAACGGAATATTCAGAGGAAAGAATAAAATTTGCTACGAAAAAGAAAGAACCGTTAAATCAATTAAAAAGGCCTTTAACAGCTCAAACTCCGAATATAGAGAAAAAAGTGAGACTCGAAAATGAGCCAAAATCAAAAGTCGCAAAAACTGTGGATTTATCTGAAAAAGATAAAAAACCTGGAGGATTACTGATTGGAGATTACGGGTCCGATTCCGAAGAAGATCAGGATGTAACAGAAAAGGTTAGAAAAATAATAATGAAGCGTTTCACTCAGAAGAACGTTCTGTATAAGCAGTCACTGATGAGTAAAGAGCCACTGTTTCATGAAACTTATGGATTATGTAATTTTTTTCTAGAGTTTTACATGCTCACTCAGGACGGCTCTGTTTTTATTGAGACTAGAAATATTTTTGGTTTGACAGTACTTACCAAATCTGTCGTTTGAGGGTGCGATTTCACTCCGATGTGTATGTAATTTTTCATGAGTTCATGCTCGCTCGGATCGAGGCTCTGTTTTTATTGAGACTGGAATATTTATGGTTCGACATTACTTAGTTCATTATTGAACCTTAAATCTATAGTCTGCAATTCCAATGTAGTTAGGTCTAACAGGATAGGATTAACATATTTATCCAGAGGGGAGAAGAAAGCCGATAATAATCATATGGCGAACCATGACCTCTCGTCCCGTTACCAGCTCGTGTCGGGTGTGGAATTAGTTAGCAAGTTATTTGTTTTCAAAAGCATGGACTTGATGGTGGAGGAAGCCGTAACTGACCAGTAGTTATGTGAATCTCCCTGCGGCGATGAGGAGTCCAGCAACCCTCTCGCACATAACCATCCCGAATTTCAGTGGGGATAATTATGTCTGCGAGGATTGCTGGACTCCTCAACCACCATAAAATAGTTCATGTCACTGTTAGTTGGTTGCAGGGATGGCCATTACCGAATAGTTCACTATTTCGAATACATTCAAAATTATTATTTTCGAATATGAAATTTCGAATACTTCGAAAATAAATTCAAGTAAAATAAGCTTATCTTGGTGTATGTCAGTATTTGCATACAATAAACAATGGAATAACCGTTATCTACAAGCTGGCTACCAAAAAATTTATACCCGCTGTTGACGTGGTATTTCTAAAGTTATTTTCATAAAAGTAATCTATTCATTTTTTCGTAGGACGGCTCAACCATGAGTTAGGCTACGTTGAACGCAATTAAATTAATACTGCAAGACATTTTAAATTCTGTCGTCGATTTATTAAATAAGTCAATACTTTTACCTATCATTATCAAAACTATTTGCGGGAAGTGGGTAAAAGTATAAATTATATTTTGTGAGTATGAAAATATAAATTAAAAATTAATTATATTCCGGCATTTTGCCACACATATTTCCACAGATTGTCACATTATTTTAAAGTTGTATTGCTTTCGTTTTTCGTAAGTACAAAACTGAGAATCGAAAATTAATCATAATCAGGTAGTTGTTTTATGTCCACAGATTGCCGCCGTATCTTTTAGAGTAGTTATGCATTAATTTATTCGTAAGGTCGACGTAACTATGAGTTACCTTAAACACAATTAAATTATCTCGGTAAGACATTTTAAATGCTGTTGTCGTCCATGAATTTGAATATTTTGTCGCAACGGAAAATAATCCTAGATAAAAGTCCATACTTTTAATTATCAATATCGAAAGTAGTTTCCTAAAAGCGGGAAATAGTATAAATTATTTTTCCGCGAGTACGAAAATACAAACCAAAAATTAATTGTAATTGGGCAGTTTTATGTCCACAGGTTGCTGTGGTATTTTAGAGTTGTAATATTATTTGTTTTTCTTAAGTGCGGAAATAGGAATAAAAAATTAATTATAAATGGGGCAGTTTACCACACAATTTATGTCCGCAGATCGCCTCAGTATTGAATAGTAATACTTTTATTTTTTGGTTAGTTGACGCAACCATGAGTTACGTTAATTAAACAAAATTAAATTATTACGGTAAGGCATTTTAAATGCTGTTATTGTTCACGAATTTGAATATTTTGTCGCAACGGAAAATCACCATAGTATAAAGTCGATACTTTTTGACTATCATTATCAAAATTATTTGCCAAAAATCGGGAAATAGTGTAAATGATTTTTCCTAATAAATCAACTTGTTTTTTCCGACCTGCGACAATTTATTGGGTGTCGTAATTTGTAACAAAGCGTACGACTTTATTTAACTTATTTGATATCTGACTTACTGGTAATGGATTTATGTGAGACTCGTGACTCAATACAAATGAATGCGTAAATTAGAAGCCTTGCAAGGGAATGGCAATAGTGCCAATCTCACAAACGTGCGAATGTGTTGCAACCATATGAGGCGCATGCTGGCACAGAAGATAACAAACAATTAAAGCGCCGATACTATTTCACCGTCATTACAAAACATGACAAAGCCTGAAAATCGTTTGAAGATTTCTCTTCAAAACGAAACGAAACTCCTCGCTGACGGCGAAAAGTGGCTATTATTCGGAATTATTCGAAAATCAGCTGAAAAGGTATTCGAATACTTTGATATTCGAATGTTTTCGAATATTCGATTCGTTTTGGACAACCCTGGTTGGTTGCTGCTTCCTCTACTATCGTGTCCGTGCACCGAAAACAAATACCTATTCATATATCTGACATGGATTGGTAACCGAACAACAGGTTGTGGTTTGCCATGTAGTTATGGCTCACCTCTCCACATACAGGATAAAACATGAAAATCTCAATCCTGCTTCAATTGGCAATTTGACTATATAAAATCTATGGGTATTAACTAAAATTTGATTTTTTTTTCGCACAGATGGAAGAAAAAATGGAGACGAACGAACCTAATCCAGAGCAGCAACCATCAACGTCTGATACAACTCTACCGGAAGGATTCTTCGACGATCCGGAAGTCGACGCAAAAATACGAGGGGTTGAGACACCAGCGGATGCGATGGACCGTGAGTGGGAAGATTTTCAAAAGGAAATAAAGCGAGAAACTGACCAATCAGAACACATTGTAGAAGAGGAGCAAGAAGTAGGGAATGTCGATAGACAGGTAAACACAAATCTTTGAATACTTCTATAACAGAGGTGGGCAAAGTTTTTGAACCAGGGGCCAAATGTGTTGCCCACTTAAGATTGGCGGGCCATGTAGGTGTGACATTAAGAGTTACATTTTATGAACAATATTTACTGTGTTACAAAGCAAAGGTGGTAAACAAAGAGCCATCGTGTCAAAACTTAATTTGACCGCAATCTCAACAAATTACTTGAGCTATTTTATCTGAAACATCAAAATTTGATTCCGGTTTGTTGTGGCAGCATCAGGAGGGCCAGATTGAATCAACCAACGGGCCGGATTTGGCCCGTGGGCAGTATTTTGCCCATGTCTATAAGGTTTGAGTTGGTTTCTCAAGGAATTTCCATGAGTAATTCAAGAGTTTTGCTGCACACTGCCACAAATGTATTTCTGTAACATTTCTATTTCTGAAATATTGATAAATATAGGATGTCCAGGGAGTCTTTAAAATTTTTTGAAAAATGCAAAGGGAATTTATCGATACCATATATTGTTTTGTCCCCCCTAAATGAAGTAAAAAAAAACTTCAACAATTACTGATTGAAAATCAACAAACCTGGGTAATGTATATTGAGGACTGACTTCACACCAAAATTGTAACTGTATGGACTTTATGGACACCCTGTATATTTATGTTAGTGTGCAGCAAGACTCCTGGAGCCAGTATAATATCTTTTAACAATATAGCCAGTAAAATATCTTTTAGCAATATAAAATTATCTATTGTACATCGATTTAATCAAGTTCTCTGTTACAAAATAACTATTTAGAATATATTTGATATTCCGTATAAGTTGAATCACTTGGAATAGTTATCTTCACTCTTACTACAGCATAATCGCATTTATGCATATGTATCATACGTGCAAAGCATGAAAGAAGGATGTGTAGTCGGTCCCACAGAAACCCAATTAATTTCATAAATAAAGTTGTCTTTTAGAGAAGTAAAATTGTCTTTTTGGGTTAACTTGTTTCACAGAGTGAAATTCATTGAATTCATTTTTCCCCATAGAACTGTTCAATCAATTGAAACTCATGAAAAAAAGCTTTTTTACCAATACAATGTGACATCCAATGTCCAAGTCTTTTTAACATTTGACTAAAATTGCAGTGTTTTTAATGTGTCATTTGAATCCTGTGGAGGATAATGTGATTACTGGACTCCTCGTCGCCATAAGGGTGGTTCATGTAACCGCTGGTCAGTTACGGCTTTCTCCACTGTCAAGTCCATGCCTCCAAAAACAAATAATCGTCTAACTAATCTACGTTACATGATTAAACTGTCTTATTGGCTTCCCTCTCCCCCAGGATAAATATGTAAATTCTAACCTATTCAAGAATCTTTGACATAAATTGTATTAATTTTTCTTAGATTGAAGAAATAGATGAACAGATCATGCATTTTTCAAGAGTAGAAAAACTGAATATTGTGAAAGAAGGAATTAAGAAGAAGGCAAAAGAAAAGAACTCAGATTCGGAGTCGGAAAATGACGAGGAAACAGGAAGTGATGAACTCGATGAATTATTGGATTGGAGGGAAAAAGATTCCCATTTTTGAGTACGATTTACGAAAACGTACCCTTTCTTGGAAAGATAATTATGCTCCATATGTTGGCATTTAGTGACAGCCTGGAAGTTTCGATTGCGCATACCACCGCTTAACAGTTAGATAAATGAAGTATGCATATGTATTCAATGCATAATGAGGGAGAAGTGTTCCAAAATGGGTTTGTTGTATATTTGTAAAGCATTTCCGCAGCCAATAATAATAAATAAGAACGTTTTGAAACACAGATTGGCAAACTATGATCCAATTTCTTACAAATACATGCAAATTGAGATGTAAATTTGATATTTTATTTTGCAAGATGTTACAAATTGAATATTTGTTAGTTTTGGAAAAACCAGAATCATCATTCACTTTATGGAAAGGTGAACATGGGCTTGAAGCACGATTTTTAATTCGTGGCACCTTATTGTCTGATACCACGACATCTACTTTGATACCCACTTGAAATGAAAATTGTCACTAATGCACTGCGGGTCTGCAAAGCTGCAATTTATGACATCATAAAAGCCCCAAAATGGAAACATGAAAGCAGCAGCTACCTACCAGGTCTGAGGAGCCAGAGCCTTGACATTTTGTTGAAGCTAGCAGAAATTTTAGTACTTCCGAAGTATGTGAACCAAGATGGCAGATGCTGGGACGAAGTATATGTACTAGGTTAGGGTTAGGCTATAATTTCATGTACAAATACTATGGGAGTCACTTGGCTACTCCCCTAACTCGTAATAGAACTAAAATTGGAATAAAATTATGGCATAACCCTAACCCGGTACACTTACTACGTTCCGGTGTTGCCATCTTGGTTCACATATTCGGGAGTACAATACAGTTGATTTAAACCAGTCCTGTTTTGACCAAAAATCGTTATTGAAGCGTGTCCCATTCGACTTTATAGAGTATGTTGTATCGAATTTCGTTCGTTTGTACAGATTGAAATGTTCCAATACTCGTGGCACTATAATAAAAAGAAATGAATATTTTTAGCTATTTATTTTGATTCTGAGCAGCAGAAAAATGTGAGGACAGAGTCCAGTGTGCAAAGTGGGCAGTCTGCAAAACCAATCATTTTGTATAGGTTCGGTGATTACGAATTATTGAAGTATCGAAACAAAGTGTTGGTAGTCCCGATGTTTCTGCAAAGAAAACTTCACTTCTGTCTATCTGATTAACCTGTTTGACAATTTAGTTTGTCATTAGATTTGTTGGGGAGTTGAGGGGGCTTGAAGCTAATTAAAAATGAAAAAATTTGTTAAATTTGATCTGGCCTGCCTTTTTTCTGGATATTTACGCTCCATCCGAGTATTTTCAACGGGGTTTTTGAATAAAACATATTTTCACGTTACTATCTGTTATTTGTAGCTTATTGTTAGCTAGTTATTTTTAAGGTGGGCGCGAGACTTGACAAATACTAGAAAGGGGGCACGGCACGGCTTGAGAACCACTGGCTTAGATGATGGAATTGCAAACCATGTTCTAGATGTGACCCTATAATTAAGAGATGTAACTATGGACTATCACAAGGGTTGGCTCGTGTTGCTAAGTGTTAGGAATATGTTTGATGTCACATTTTGATTATGCTATGTTGATTAGCATATGCGAATTCTGTGTGGAATATTTATGTGCAAGAGGTTTGTCATGTATATCATCACCATCAAGGGGTTCATGTAATCACCTAAAACAAATAAGTGGGCAACTCATTTCTAACAACATGGACTGTGACCAGATAAGAGGATGTGGTTTCCTGTATGTGATTGAACAGTCTTATCAGCTTTCCCTCCGGATAAATATGGAAATTTTATGCAATGTAGTAAACTACAACACAATCAGAAGGGATTGTTTATGGTCTGGCAAATGAATGATGAAGTTCAAGTGGCTAAATTAATATGCTGTGGTCGAATTTTTATTTTTCAATGTAGGAAAGTTTGCCCGAAGCCAGGTTTAAAACCAAGTAGATAGCTAATTAATCTGCCCACTGATGCACTACAAATTGATCTACTGGTGATATGTAACGTCAGCAGATTGCGGTCAACAATAATGCATGGCTGCATGGTGAGATATTACATGACATTACAATAATGGGGTAGCCCTAATTTAAATTGCTAGCCTAGCTAAATGCAGTGGGCGACTTATCATTGTAGCCCTCTTAACATTAGAGTGTTATTTTACATGCGTTTCAGTTCAAATTGACCCATAAAAAACTGTTTGAAGGTGCAGTTTTATCAACAAAATTTCTGAAAACTACATTCAGCTACAGCCTACAATTAATGTGTTACTGCACTTCCACAATTCTAAATACACCAAAAACAGATCCATGTGACTATTTTATAAATTTCAAAGTATAAATAATCTAAAATAAAACACCACTACCAGATATAAGTGCTTTCCCCTGCATGCAGTGAGGTTTTTGGCAAGTTGAATACCCGCCGAAATTGTAGAAGGCACTATCAGAAAAAAGCAGAAAAATGAATTCCTATTTTTTGAGTTTAAAAAACAGCAACAATGAAATAAAAACCGTGTCGCCCGACTTAAAATATAGAAAAGATATTGGTAAGTGTTGTGTTTAAAATGGGAATTATTGCAGAAATTTGGTCGTTAAATTATCCAAAATTCAACAAACGCAAACCGATCCGCCATTTTGACATCGATATTTGACAGAGCCTTTGTACAAGATTACGTGTAAAACTGATCAAATTACTGACGTTTTTAATGGCGTCGCAGTGCGTTGCGTCTACAACGTTCGAAGTCTGGAACTTGAAATCCGGTACAAATAAGATGCTGAATAAAATTTCACACTTTAAACTTTATTTTTTGATTATCAATATTTATGTATAACACTAATAATATTGATTGGTAGTTTATACATTAGCGAATGTAACCAGATAAAGTAGTATTTTATGTCCGGATTTGTGGATGAATTTTATTGAGCACTACTGATAACAGATCAATCGAATCGATCGTCCATGACCTTATAGCGTTGCCAGATTTATGTTTTTAGTCATTTTTTATTCAGATAATTGCTCACTTATTTTTTTTCTTGAATGTGTGTATGTTAATATTATTTGTATTGTTTAAAATCATTTTCATGTTCTTAATACCCATTATTTTTTTGTGCTGTATTCGCATAGATATTACATTCAAACAAGTCGATGAATTTATCGATGTGATTTTATCTGGCAACTGTCTTCAAAATTTACAGAATTTTGCGCCGGCCTTTTTTCTCTTCGTCTGGGTTAGATTGCGTGGTGTTTGTCGCTGTTTATAATTTGTCGGTGTTTATAATAAAATGATTTGATACCAAAATATTAATACGAAAATTCCGTTTGGCATTGGAATTTATTTGGCACGAAAAAAAAAAAAAAAAAAAAAAAAAAGTGGTGTTTGTCGCTGGCAGGGATTTCGCGAAAATAAAAAGCTTGTAAAATGCATTGGGTTTATATGTCTTCAAATATATGAAGGACCTTGAACAATTTTATCGGGTTAAATTTACACCTTTTTTTGTTTTTTGATTGTTGTTATTTAGGTTAGTGTCGTAATTTGTCAGCGTATTGGTTTGTATTTACAGTACCGGTACCGTCAGACCCTACCTTTTTTGTTTTTGGACTAAATGCTCAAATGCGCAGATTCCGTTAATCATATAAATAGGTACCGGTACTGGTGACAGCCTGGCTTAATGATTAGCAACTTGTTCCAATAGTTTTTCCACGAAATTGCATGTTTAAATTAAATAAGCATCTTACTGCATATCAGCCAACACAAAACAATGTGTAAATTGGATTACTTCTTCGTTTATGTTGGAAATTTCAAGTTTGCACTATATTAGCCAGACTATTGTATCCTGATGAAAATTTATTCCAGAAGTTGGTTGATCTTGCAGTCTTGCCTTTCCCCTTCCATTATATTTTTCAACTATGATTATTTAAATAAATCATTGCTTATCCATCTCCCCTTTTATTAATTGTAATACCTTAAATTAAACTGCGGGGATCGAACCTTGTCTATTATTACATCTCACTTTGTTGATGAACGTTTTTTCGCACTCAAGTCTTAATGGCTTTAAACTCTTGTGGGCTGAAATATCTGTAATCCTGCGGTGTGCACTTTTAGCACTAGCTTAAAATATTGCAGTACGGCACACTATCCAAATTCCAAGCATTTCTCTCCATTTGATTCAATAAAACAAACACTCATGTGTCTCACAAACGAGGGGCGTTTGGCACCACGTCAGATGCGTCATATCGCACCATGCTTGTGTCAATAATAATCTAAATTAATCGCAGCTGTCACGTGACCAAAGTTGCTGTTTTTTGCTGAAAACTCTCGAATGCCACGGTAAAATTGTTTTCCTTCGGTAAATCGGATTATTTTTTCCAGAGGAATTCAATGATGACATTATTAGATTGCGCTTCTTTGTAGTATTTTGCGCTACTTCACTATACTGTATTTTTACCGATATTGAGGGACAACAATGTCCAGACGTCTCCCAAAGGAGGGGTGTCTGATCGTTGGTAAAATAGGTTTCTCTGAAACGAGACAATGTCACCCGATCTGTATAGTGTACCGTACTGTATTGTGTGATATCTTTATATCAATTTGTTTTTCAAATATTCCAATTGCTAAACTTTATTTTGTCTTTGGTTTTACTTCATTGTCCAAAAACTGAATTGGGCCTTTGGCTCATACAGCTTATAAATGCCTTTATTTAAAATATCCTGCGTTTTAATATCAATTGTGTAGGATTTCAATATAAAAATGGAAAATGTTACAAATGTTGAATTTAGAATATCATTTTTGGTACATCCCTATTGATGTTTTGGGTCTCATGTAGTTTCGTACCTAACATACTTCTAGTGGGCGTAGCATGACAATTTTTTCACGTAGTAATTCTAACCCTCACCTGACTACACCATCCAAAAATTTTGTCATTACAACATCACAGTGACGTAATAGAGCCCTTCAAGCTATACGAACTGCCATCCGAGACGCGCAAACGAGCACCCGAAATCGAACAGGTATTTCTCTCGTTTTCTCGTCGCAACGATTGCAATAGGAGAGAGATCGATGACGTCAGTCAGTTCCTTATCGTCGGCGCCAATGTCATTTTGGTCGATCGTGCGTATATTTGGCAAGCTCTATAACGTGATTGTGATGTCGCAGTGTTTTAATTTTTGGATGGCGTAGTCAGATGGGGGTTAGGATTGACATATCAAAAAATTGTTATGCTACGCCCACTAGAAGTATGTTAGGTACGAAACTACTCGAGACCCGATGTTTTCAACATTTGATGTCTGAAATCTGCATTAGATTAGAATTTTGTTATAGTGAATTAATTATGCAGAATAACTTGCTCACTGCTAGCTTGTCAAGTTATATCTTATACTTCCCGGTATATCAATTTCATATTAAAAACTTGCAAATATTTGTGTCAAAATCCAAAAAGGCAGTAAATCAACTGAATAATTTAAAAAGTGTTGTACAGTATTTGTATTAGTTATAAAGTAAATTAACATACCAAGAAGTTAGACCTGACATGGGTAAACTACAACCCGCGGGCCCATTGCACGTCTGATGCCGCCATAAATTTCTGCTTCTAGACAATTCTGCATGCACTATGGGCAGGGGGATATTTACTCCGCTAACACAGACAGTCCCCGAACTTGTGATGGAACTAGAAAATCGGAATAAAATTATGGCCCAACCTGGTACACATACTACAGGAGTACTCTATGTAGTTGTTATTGAAATCTATATAGTGCAATAGGCTTGTTAAATTATGATCGTAGTCTCTGTAAGTTGGATTTCAGGTTTCATACTTCTTTCTGTCTTCTTGTGCCTTTTAACATTTGCTTTTGTGTGTGAATAATATTCTGTCATTGAAATATAACTTTTTGCGTCACACTTACATGGCCCACCAGTTTAGATGGGCAAAATTTTTGGTAACCAGTTCAAAAACTTGCCCGCCCCGAGTCAGACCATTTAAAGTTTAAATTTTATTTACTGGTATATATTTTTGCTAAACTTAAAAGTAAAATATGATTGCGGATTAATCATTCAGACTATCGGTACTCTCGAAGTATGCGAATCAAGAAGGCGGACTTCGTAACGTAGTATGTGTATCAGATCAGGGTTAGGCCAGGGGCGTAGCCAGAATTTTTCAAAGGGGGGGGGGTCTGTATTTTTTTTTGCCAAGTTAGATTGAAACTGCTAGCGGGTCCGATCGAACGCTGGAATACGCGTGTTTTTATTAGTCTTGTGGGTCTAAAAAGCATTTCAATCTATGGAAAATTGCTATCTATGATACAGAAAAATGATTTTATTTTTTTTACATTTCGAAGGGGGGGGGGGGTCGACCTGCAAAACCACCCCCCTGGCTACGCCATTGGGTTAGGCCATAATTTTTTCCTTATTTTAGTTCTATTACAAGTTCAGGGACTAGCCAAGTAGTAATTGTACCTGAAATTATGGCCTAACCCTAACCTGGTACACATACTACGTTCCAGTGTCCGCCTTCTTGGTTCCCATACTTCAGGATTACCAGGATATCTTGTCTCCTACCGCTAGCTTATGTCTAAAATCTATATTTCCATTACAGTATAAAATTTTAAAGTACCAGATTTTAGTAGATATTTGTATTTGCAATCTGGGTTTCTCCTGAAATTTTGAGGATGTCGGGGGGTCCTCCTATGCACCCGCCCACCGATGTCTTGGAAGCACTGGATGAAATGATGGTCGGTCGTCGTCATAGACCAGAACATCTTGACCATCGCTCCATTATTGACACCAGAGGTCTCCCTCTGATGCAACCGAGTGGAATACAAAGACCCTATGCTCTTAACGCAAGAGAAAATCTGTACCTGCCGCCGAGTAATCATGAGAGACATTATATCAATGCGACTCCCCCGAGAGAAAATCATTCTTTACTTCAAGCAGGTCGTGACCGTGGTTATGGGCAAATATCAAGAGATTCTCCATTCTTGCCACCTAGCAATCGCGATCGTCAGTTTCACGGAAACCAACGAGATAGCCCGTCCATGCATGTTGTCAGTCATGAACAACAATATGTTAATAGAGCAAGAGAGAGTCCATCTTTGCATTCAGGTACTCATGAACATCACTTCGTTGGTTCTTCAAGAGAAAGTTCAGCGTTACGTACTCACCAGCGTGAATATGCTGATAATCCAAGCACAAGTCAGTCCATGTTAGTAAATAGCCATGAACGACAATATCCTAACAATAATGAGTTGCAAGAAACTACATCTATTATTGTAAATAATACAGAGCCACAGTTCGATCGGAGAGAAAGTTTGAATCAAATTGTTCAAACGCCTAGTCATGAACAACAACAACCCGCAGAGGAAGCTTCAGAACCAGAGCCGTTTCCTGCGCCCACTAGCCGTGAAAGAATTTCTTCAGGAGATCCAAGAGATGAACCTTTTCCGATGCCGACAAGTACCAGAGAGCGTCAATCTTCTGAAAGTCTTAAAGATGCTCCGTTCCCCCCGCCTGCGAACCGTTCTTACACGGGAGCTTCTATACTACAAGGAGGCAATCATGCTGGTCGTTCACAGACAGATGGATTGATAACAGAATTGGCGGAAGCATTGGCTCAAATGCAGGAATCTGTGGGAGTAGGAACAACCTCGTCTTCAAGGAATCTAGAAAGTTGTAGCGCGGTTAAAGATGTAGGAACAGTTATTGCAGAAGCTACAAAAGCAGTGGTTAAATCAAGTCATCAGGAAGCATCAACAAGTGGCTTCAACCCTCCAAGAGTGAACTTAAATAGTTGCCTGATATGCCAACGTGAGTTTGCCAGTGTGAAGAAATTAAAATTACATTTAATGACGCACACTGGAGAGAAACCTTTTTCATGCGAAGTGTGTGGCAAGTCGTATGCTCAACTTACATATTTGAAGTATCACATGCGAACACACAGTGCTGAACGACCCTTCTCTTGTAGGATTTGTGGGAAGACCTTTATAACAGGAAATAACCTACACGACCATCTTCAAACGCATGATGTAAATCGACCTACTTTTTCATGCTTGGAATGTGGAAAAACCGTCTCGACAAAACGATCTTTGAGAAAGCACATGAGAGCGCACGCAAGTGATAAACCCCATGTGTGCACTGTTTGTAAAACTAGGTTTGCTTATCCTACAATTTTAAAATACCACATGATGAAACATAATGGTAAAAAGGATCATTTTTGCAAGTTATGTGAAAAAGGTTTTCTTTTACGATCTGAACTAGTGAGTCATTCATATGAACACGCCGGGGATAAAAAATTTCGCTGCGAGATTTGCAAGCAGAAATTTCCCAATGACGATGGCCTAAAGGCACATATGCGTAAACATTCTGGCCTAGACCCATTCTCTTGCAAGACATGTGATAAGACCTTCTCACAACGTTCTTATTTAAAGATCCATAAACGAATTCATACTGGTAACAAACCGTACCCCTGTAAATTATGTGAAACAAAATTTTACACCAACGCTGCTTTAAAATATCACATTACGGAAAAACATAGCGAAGAACATGCGTGCAGAAGATGTGATCTCACTTACAAAGAAATTGATGAGCTTCAGAGGCACAGACAACTTGTTCATCTAAAAAAATGGTCTTGTAAAACATGTGGAAAAGCTTTCAAACGTCAGACTCAGTTGGAAGAACATGAGTGGGTCCATCTTGGTAAGAAACCACATTTCTGCGAAGTGTGTGGAAAAAAATTCTCGAAAAAGAAAACCTTACAAAGACACATGAGACAACACAAAATTAAGAAAAAGTTTGAGTGTAAAATATGTGGAAGAGCTTTTGCTCAGCGTGGCTGGTTGAAATCACATGAGTACAGTCACATGGGGCCGCAACCTTTCCCGTGCAGCGTGTGTGGGAAGAAATTTGCCACTATGAGCACTTTGAGAGCCCACGCACACATTCATGATGAAATAAAAGCTTTCTCGTGTGATATTTGTGGGAAAGCGTTCGCTCAGTCCAGTGCTCTCCATCGTCACAAATACACTCACACCGATGAAAAACCGTTTTCCTGTGACACTTGCGGAAAAGGCTTTAAGCAGAAGGCATCTCTGAAAGCACATCTTCATACGCACAGTACAGAAAAACCATACTGTTGTGAAGTCTGCGGAAAAGCATTCAAAAATAAAAGTTATTTGCGAATTCATGACCGGCTACATAGCGGTGAAAATCCTTATGCTTGTGCCCATTGTGATAAAGTTTTTGTTACTGCAACTTCATTGAAAATGCATGAGCAACGTCACAGCGGAGAACAGTTTCCGTGTCCTCAATGTGACAAAATATTCTCTACCCAGTCCTATTTGAAAAAGCACAGTATGGTACATTCTCTAGATAAGCCGTTTCAGTGTGATGTTTGTCTAAAAACATTTGGTCTCAAGCAGACTCTGAAAGATCATATGAGAATACATACAGGGGAAAAACCTTATGCCTGTGATATTTGTGGAAAGCGTTTCATACAGGGGTCATATTTAAAGTATCATAGAAGAATGCATACCGGTGAAAAACCATTTGAGTGTCACGTATGTGGTAAAAGATTTGCTTTAAGCCAGCCTTTGAAAAACCATATGCTCTTACACACAGGTGAAAAACCATTTGCTTGCGAAATCTGTGGTGCACGGTTCCGTCAAAAAGGAGCTTTGAAAGACCATATTGGAGTTGCACATACAGGAGAGAAGCCGCATCAATGTGAAACTTGCGGAAAGACTTTCCGTCGTAAGGGAAACTTGAAAGACCATATGCAGACACATGCAAGTGAAAGATCTTACAAAAGTCTATGTGGAGTTTGTCAAAAACCATTTTTGACTAACAACGCTTTAAAGGTTCATCTTTTGACACATACTTATCGTGAAAAGGTCCATGAATGCCGGCATTGTGGCATGAAATTTATGAATAAAAACGGTCTCAAAGCTCATGAATTTGTACACGCTGGAGTAAAACCTTACTGCTGCGACGTTTGTGGCAAAAAATTTACTTGGAAAGGTGGGCTTGTCACACATCAAAGGACCCATTCTGGTGAAAAACCATACGCATGCGATTACTGTGGCAGGGCATTCACTACTAAGGCAAGCATGGTTCAGCATAAGAGAATTCACACAGGCGAAAGGCCTTATGAATGTGAAATTTGCTATAAAAAATTCAGACAGCAGGTCACACTGAAGACTCATCTCCGAACACAACACGAAGTTTGGAAATAAAAAAAAAAGAATCTTTTCTATCAACATAATTATGAATGAACAATTGAAGAATGGTTTTTATTTATGACAAAACAATTGAGTCCTGAAGATTTTTAATAATCATATATGTCAGGAGAAAGTTTTTTACGCTGAAACGCAAACTAGTTGGTTCAGTAATGTGCAACTTTCGTTCACTTATTGTACATACACTTTTTATTTTGATTATCTTGAGAATATTACCCAAATTTTTAATGCAATATCAACAGAGCACAGTTTATCTATGCTGCAGAAGTGCATGACTGCTACTACATGACTAAATGGGTGCTCCTGAATTATGCGCGCCAAGATGTCGCACAACCTGAACCCTAACCTGGTACACATACTATGTTCAGGTTGTGCGCCAATTTGGTACTCATACTTCAGGAGGTCCCATAAATGACTATAAAATTGTGACATACGGTACAGTATAGTTGTCCCGTACTTCTGCATCGTGGACTAGTAACCATCTATGGAACTTGTAGTGCCAATGCACAGAAACTTCTAGTATGCATTCTCATCACTGGGCAACAAATCGACCCTCTTAAGCAGTTGTTCTCAACCTTTTTTCTTTCTTGGCCCACTTTTATTACACAAAAATTCTGTGACTTATTAACTTTTTCATGCAAGGGAAAAACCAATAATTCTTTGCAAAGATCGACAACTCCACTTAAATAATTAAAATAAGAATTACCGCTCAGTGGCAAAAAACAGCATCGTCATTCATTGCTACTACAATCGAAGTCTTCCTAATTTATCAATAACAATTTCAAAAAGTTTGTGGCCCAACTGAAAATGTTTCTATGGCTCAAAAATGTCCCACTGGTTGAGAACCTGTCCTCTAGAGCAGTGGTTCCCAAACTTTTTAAAGTTGGGACCCACTATTTATTACCAGAGTTTATGGCGACCCATTTAACTTTAATAAATTAATAAAACATTGATGGAGGAAACAAATTTATTTTCTTCAAATTGAATTTTCAGTGAAGCTAGTGAGAAAGATGAGCTTGTTTCTTGCTATTTTCCATAATAGACTTGACATTTATTTCAATTTCAGATAGTTTTAGACGTAAAAAATTGAAAAGTTGCAGTTTATTTCGCAATTTGCTTTGCCACTGATCCTAATAACCAGTATAATTAATCAAAGCTTTCTACATCTTTTCACGACCCACTGAGATTCCTCTTGCTACCCACCAGTGGGTCGCGACCCATAGTTGGGGAACCGCTGCTCTAAGAGTCTAAATTAATATTAAAATTCAATTTTTGGTGAAGAAAACTATTCAGTATGTAGTATTGCATATATACAATTTATTGATTTGTATGTCTTGCTAGGCAAGACTATGATATGTTTGTTTTAGAGGAGACCAAGCTATGAAAAAAATTTGACATTTTTAACATTGACAGTTAAAATCTTGTAGGTGTCAATTTCCTGCTTTTAGATGTCCAATTTCCTGGGTCAAATCGTGGTGTTGGGGTCAAATGTACATCACAATCTATAAATGGCTCTGGTCTCCGAATAAGCGTTATTTCCACCTCATCCCAATTTTACGAATTTGCCTGGTCACATCGAATTTTTGATACTCCCGAAGTATGTGCACTAAGATGGCGGACACCGTAATGTAGTATGTGTACCAAGTTAGGCCATAATTCCAGGTACAAATACTACGGAAGACACTTGGATAGTCGCCAAACTCTAAATGGAACTAAAAGAAGGAAAATCGGAATAATATCGTGGCCTAACACTGACCTGGTACGCATACTACGTTCCGGTGTACGCCATCTTGTTCACATACCAAATTTTTTTATTGATGTTAATGTTTTTACTTTTAAGCATTTGATAGTTGTAATATGTATTAGAAATGTTAATGCTTGTTATAATTTGTATAAACAAAATAACTAATTGTGTATTTAGATAAACTTTTTAGATTGCTTGTTACCTATTTTCGTGTCCACTATCTTTTTAATCGAAATGGTAAGAAAGCCATCTATACAATCCAAATTGCTGAGAGAAGTGATATATATTAGTTGATATATTTGGAAATTAAATTTTTTGTCGAGTGTTTTGTATAGAAAAAGCAGTTTGAATGACCCAATTTGGTTTGTGTAGTTGACTTTTATTTTGCAATTGCTTGACATTGAAACAGATGCCGTTAATATTTTTGTATCGCTGGGGCTGGCAAATAAGCTCATATTGTTATCTGAGCTTGAGAAATCAAAGATAAATGGCAACACGTTTCGTTAGAGAGACACTGCGTAGTTGGATAGAATAATTTTCTTTTAAGCCCGTAACCTCTTCCAATATAATAAAATATTCCTTAATAACCTCTGAGAGTCGGCGTTATTATGCAAGTGCGGCACTTCTCTGATTCTATATATCCTCTCAAAATCGATACAGATTGATGTTTCGAGCTGGTTTTAATAATTTTGTATTTCAAAGCAAACGTCTAAAAGAGTACACTATATATTTGTGTCAAATTGCTGTACTCTTTGCGACCCCTGTGGCAACATTGCCAGTGGCTAACAAACGTGAACTTTATATTCAGCCAGCTCCGCCGATTGAAAAACCCTATTTTTTGTGTTTATTTCATGTCAATATTCGTTATGTATATATTTTATCTTCACAAACAACTGTATGTGTGCTATTGTAAGCACAAATGATTGTATTAACCACTTAGGTGTTAATTCGTCGTTTTCATTTATACTGCGTGACCCCAAGAAAAACAGAACCCAAATTATTTGGAACATACTCTACAGAGAACATAACTTTTGTGCAAAATGGGTACAATCATACACAATCATTCAAACCGATGTGTTAGGACCACAATAGTAGTTTTGGTTGCATCGTAATTTGACGTTTAATGTTGCGATTGTGTTTTACCAGTGATTCTCAAACTTTTGGAATTTGTCAAGTCCCCACCTCAAAATTAACAGCTAACAATAAGCTACAAATAACAGATAGTGAAGGCGAAATATGTTTTATTCAAAAAACACGTCGTAAATATGCAGCGTATATAATGAAATAAATGTGATTAAAATATTTTAAGTACGGCTGGCAAGATGGAATCAAACAAATATTTTTATTTTCCTTCACAACCCCTCAAAAAATTGTCTATGCTCCCATTGTGGGTAAGCCACACACCTTTTGAGAACCACTGGTGTATACAGTATGTTGGAAATAAACGAGGCCTACACGATACTGGAAATGTGTGTAAATGGCCCAGTAGTACATAAAGTTTGTCGGTCAATCCGACTAGGCCAACTTTAAATATGTCAGTTTACTAAACATGTTGAACTAGAAAGCTATTTGAAATCTTATGTAAATTTAACTAGCATTTTCAAGCACAGTTTTATATCTACTTGCACTACTGTTAACTAATGCATGATCCAACCACGGAAATGATTGTTCATTCAAACTTCAACTTAAAAATGAAAATTCAAAAACATTTTGCTGTGAAAATATATTTGGTATCGACTAATCCCGATTTCTATTACGCTTGTACTATCGTTAGCTTGTGCAGCAGTTTATGATGTGACCACATGAATGATTGTTTATCTAGTTTTTCTTAAGGATCATGACTGAAAAATTCAAATAATCCTGTTGTGTGTTATCATGTACATTATATATCGCCTGAATCATGTTTCGCGATTGAATTTACTGGAATAAATGCTTGTTTCAATGAACAGTTGAATTTTATATGTTTGGTGAATGAATGTTACCTTGTGCAAAAGATTCCTAGTCGTCGTACATGCAGTCACTGATATATAAAAAGCTATTTTTCCCAGCACATACACAAAAGCTTCATGAAGCCTAGTTAATTTGTATGAGTGAGAAAAGGGTCTGAGGCGCTGGCCAAATTTCAATTGTTACGCCACAGCATACCTAAAAACGATAATATGTTATTGTTACGGAAAAAAGCAAAAAAGCAAATGCTCGGGGAAACATTCTTTATGCAAAGTTTTCTTTTGTCTGCTGCACTGGTTCTCATACTTGTAAACATATTTTGGATAATTTCAATGTAGCTCTCTGACTCTATCTAGTGACAGACATAAATTATAGAACGTCAGCGGACGTATTACAAATATAACATTTTCGCGAATAGGTGCGTTTCGGTTGTTACAATTCTTCCAGCTCATCACTAGTTTGGACCAGAGTATTTAAAACATACTTAGCACGTTAAGCCATTGCTTGGTGAACATTCCTTAGAATTTATCACATTCTGGGCATCGGGTTGTTGCGTTCATGAGGCATGCGGTTTGGACGGTGACCGTACATTTGAACCCACGTACATTTGAACTCATGCGTATATCCACGGGTTCAATCTATATGCGGGTGCTAAAACCCATGGGTTAGGGTTAGTATGGGTTTAACTATCCGTGAAACAAAAAAAATTCCATAGGTGCAATAGCATACAGGTGCAATTGTCATGGGTTCAAATGTAATGGAACCGGTTTGGACTAGTGTCATACCAGGGGCGGCCAACCAGTCAGATACCAACAGCCGCATTTCGTACTTCGAAACCGCGAAGAGCCGCATTTCATACGTAATTACCGCGAGGAGACACATTATAAACATAAACACACATTAACATCAGATATACCTTTATTCGGCTGTGTCAGTAAGTTGACTTATTAAAAATATTACTAACCAACATGATTATGACAGAAATTTACAAGCCATCTATTAATATGCATGCTACTTAGTCGGACTTCTGGCATGGTATGTCGTTGTAGCTAATCGAAGTAGTTCTATCACATGGTGTCAGTCATAAATGATCAATGCCTTGACTTCACGTCTACTAGGGTAGAAATCACAGATTCGCAGACGCAATTTATTTTTATTGGCATGCTTCTCCACAACTCAATGGCCCGTTCCCTTGATTTAAAGCGCACTTCAGTTGGTCTTCATAAAGATCGATCATTTTCAACTCAGTTGCAGCGTCATATGAGACTATATGGAATAACTAACTATTTGTCTCAGAATTAAATGAGCCGTCGACGACGGAATCTGTGGCGTTTTATCTGCACTTCATTCACTCCACCCAAATGGTAAATTGCGCGTTTCTCGCCGAACTACGACCATGACAGCCGCTGTAGTGCAATAAATGCGTCTCACAACAGACAATCTAATTGTGACGCAATTATTGACGATCGCATGGTAAAGTGTATGAAGGCGCGAATGCTCGGTGAATCACACACAATACAGTATGTTTAATCGAAAATGATTAATCGTAGTTTGCACGGTATTTTCGCCGGTCCAAGAGCCGCATGCGGCTCGCAAACCGCTGTTCGGCCACTCCTAATGATGTAGATTGTAAACCATGCACCCCCCCCCCCAAAAAAAAAAAGGTCGCATTTTTGCGGTGTTTTTGAGACATAAGTTCCTACAACACCATTTTGCTTCATTCTTGAACGATTTACTGAAAACTCGACGTTTCCTGGTCCGAGAATTTCAAACTCGAAATACTTAGCGTGTTAACCACAGTTCTTGATACACATTTCTTAGAATTTCCATCGGTTTCCTAAAGTTTTGAGACACAATTACGTAATGAATTGGAGTTTCTGTGTTGGGTGAGGTAAATAACCAGTGAGCAGTCGGCAACGTCGGCCAACTTAAACTTGGCGATTTCCTTATCGGGCGGGAGAAATTAAGACATGAGTTTCGTTGTTCCTTATATGGCAGCAATACACAGAAATTATCTTGGGAGTTGAAACAAGTTGTGTATTACGTTTTGCATTCCATTTAAATAGCAAGATGACGTTGGCCAAGTTGAACTTAGCGATTTCCTTTTCGGGCGAGAGAAATCGAGATACGAGGTAATTCTATTTTGGTCTTCATATGACAACAATACTTAGAAATTCTATTGGGAGTTAAACGAAGTTGTATATTACGTTTTGCCTTCCATTTGAATAGACAGACGAACTGTTACTCGATTCGGTTAGGGGTGCCAGCGTACTTCGACGTGAACATAGTTGCGTTTTGATGAAGACTGCACGGTCCTATTCTGTAAAGCAAGTTAAAGGTAGATTCACTCCAGAAATGGCCAAAACCGAATAACTTACTGATCCGAGTATTTTATTATTCTAAAATTATTTTATTTATTCTAAATTATTCTATAGAATATCATATATATCAAGTGAGGTTTATCTTGAGGTTCTATTTGATAATGCAGGAAGGTTGACGTAAAAATTATTCTTTGTCAGCCCAGTGTTTGCTAGCTTAGAAGAAATACATCCTTAGGCTCAGAAGGATTTTATTGTTCTTTTTTATTTGTATATTTTTGCGATGTATTTGAGCGTGGTGTTACTAATATTCTTTACTACTATTGTTATAAGTTTTTACATGAATATCATTTGAACAATTTTTTTATCGTAATAATCCCTTGTTTTTTAAAAAATGAGAAAATATCAATATCCGATTTTTGGGCAACTACGATTCCAAGAATTATTAAAATTTTCACTTTTTCGGATCAACCATTTTATTCAAAAAATAAATCTTTGTTGGTGATAGGGCCGTGTCTCCGTCCATTCCTTCGCGACTAGAAACAGGTATTATGACGTCGACTTTTGTGATGCCATGGCATTTAGGACAGCCTCGAGTTTCTTAGATTGTTTTTAAAATAAATTAATCCTATTTTATAACACGCACCTTCAATAAATTGCTCAAATTTGGGTTTTGTTTCTACATAGGTTGCAACGAACTATAAAACGCAATCGAGTTACCGTACAAATCTTATTAAACAAACAAAAAAAATCAATATTTTTTTATGGTTTTTGTATTTCATTCAAACATAACCTAGAACGGTAGTTTGTTCATAAAAAATTGGGTGCTCCCGTAGTATATGTACCAAGATTGCGCACAACCAGAATATGGTATGTGTACCAGGTTAAGGTTAGCAGCTTGTGCGCCATCCTGGTACACATACTGCGGGAGCGCCAAAAATAGTACCGGTACTGCTTTCGAGTAGTGTAGGCCAGTAGTTCCCAACCGCCGGTCCGCGGACCGGTGCCGGTCCGCGAAGCTTTTTTGCCGGTCCGCAAGAAATTTTGTTGTCTTGTTGTTTTTATGCCGTTTCAATCGCTTTACCGTAGACAAAGTTGCGTTGGCTCATTACGCAGTTCTCTTCTGCCGTCATATTACGACGTCTTTCGCGACATGTTGGCGCCGTGTTACGCGACATCTTGGCGCCGATCACTCACACTTTTCGCTTTTCCAGCTCCGATTCATCGCGAATGCGCTCCATCAAATCTTGCAAAATTAAGAAGCCTAAAAATCGGCACGCGTGCCTTTTCTGTTCTGCGTGCTTTTCCTGATTAATATGACCATTCATATGAAACGTAATGGATATCTCCTTGTTTAAACTAGAAAACAGTCAAGAACAGTATAATAATCCAGTAAGATATGAACTTCATGCGACCCCACAGGTGGTCACGCGATACACGCAAAAAAAGCATGAGCCGCAGAGATCTTTTCCAGACACAGTAGGATTTTGAGCTTGTCGCCAAGTTATCGACGACTTTGTCATTGTAATGCAAATTCATTCCGTTTGAGGCGTCGATTAACTGCAGAGGGATTAATATTATGAACCCAATGAAAAAGAAAAGGCTTGATTAAAATTGTGATTCTTCTTTACAGTTCAGATTGAAAAAGAATTACTTATCACAATTTTAGATATCTCTTGATAACGAATACCCATCGCCAAGTAATCGAGCAATCAAACTGTGGTCCGTCTTTTCAGCCAGTTACTGCGTTATGCGAAAAAACATTCTCATCACTCGATTCAATTAAAACCTCACTTTGATTAAAACGAGGCAAGGGAATCGGCTGCACGCGGCTGCAGAGCTACGTGTTGCAAAAACTTCTTTGCCTCGTTCGCAATCTTGTATTTGAAACGAAACAGCAGCAAAATTTTCACAGAAGTTAATTGTGCATTATTTTAATGTGAGAATTTAATGCGTGCCTTTCTCACGCATAATGGGTGCCCAGCACTGCATTTCATTACGCAAATATAGGGTATTATTTTATGTTTCACTCATTTGTAATTTTTGGTCGGCACATTATTTGGTAGTTATTCTTCGTGTGAAATGTTTTAAAGTGTGCTTTTTTGTCTAGAAGCATATTGAGTGCCCGACATTGCATTATAAGACGCAAATATATGTTATTCTTTTCTGTTACGGCCATTTCAATTTTTGGCGGTCCGCGAGTACATTTAATCTAATTTTACCGGTCCGCCAGGGTAGAAAGGTTGGGAACCGCTGGTGTAGGCAATAGGTTCAATAACGCATAAAACACTACCTGATCTATACATTACGCGCAACGCGTCGATTTTGAAGAAAACAAGTATTTAAAGTGTGCCTTATGGTTCGTAAAATATGGAACTATCTCTAATCTACTTGGGTGATAGCGCACGTACCTTGCTCGTGACTAAAATTTTGTGTTTCAAGCCATTTAAAATTTATTTACAACGTCATAATAATTTTTACATGATTTTACTGGCTTATAAGATGATTGTTTGTGACGTCTTGTTAAACAGGGCCTCAAAAATACCTAGATAAAAATAGCGGATAGTTCCAGCGAACAGTTACTTTATGAAAATCATAATTTTCATAAAGCCTGGTTCGCTGGTTTGTAGGTGCATGAGGCATGGGGTTTCAATCCGAGTATTTCGAACTTCAACATAGTTGGGTTCAACGT